ATTTTGCTGGGGTGTCCTAGGTGCAGAAAATGTGTGATTTATTCCCTTATCATTACAAAGATCACTAAACTGATCAGATATAAATTCTCCACCGTTGTCACTCCTAATAGATCTTATTCCATTTTTAGATTCATTCAGTACAGAATGCACAAACATTTTGAATTTTGTAAAAGCTTCATCTTTTGAAGCGAGCAGATATACCCATGTATACCTTGAAAAATCATCAACTAATACAAATGCATATGACTTTCCTCCAAGACTCTCCACATTTGTAGGTCCAAATAAGTCCATATGTATTAGTTCATATGCCTGAGTGGTGGTAACATCCTTTTTTGACTTGAAACTCTTTTTGGCCAGCTTTCCGCTAACACATGCATCACAAAAGAACTTAGAATTATCTTTCAGTCTAGGAATGCCTCTGGCAGATTTTGTTTTGGAGAGTTTTGAAAGTTTTGAAAGACAGACATGTCCTAACTTTCTATGCCACAACATTTCTAGGTCAAGAGAAACAACTTGAAAACAGGTTTCATTGAAAGCTTCCAAACATTTTAAGTTTACCATATACATGTTGTTTTTCTTAGTTCCACTGAACAACACCTTGTTATCGTTAATCCTAATAATTTGACAAGAATCAGCTTCAAATATTACTCTATTTTCAGCACAACATAGTTGACTAATGGAGAGGAGGTTATGCTTCAGACCTTTAACAAACAACACATTATTCACAACAGGAAATGGACTTTTACCAATAGTACCAGTTCCCATGATTATTCCTACTCTATCATCACCAAACACTACTTTACCTCCTTTCTTATAAGTAAGGGAAGAGAATAGATCTTGTCTACCTGTCATGTGGTGGGAGCAACCACTATCCAAGAACCAAATGTTCTCATTTTCTCCCTGTTTCTGCAATCAATTTAAACATTAGTGCATTTTGGTACCCAAAATGATTTATACACAGGAGGTTTCCTTAAATCATAGCAGAAATTAGCTAAATGACCTTGTCTTTTACAATGAGAACAGGTATATATGGTGGGGTACTTTCTGACTATTCTAGTCTCAAAGTGCTTTCTTTGAGATCTGAATTCCCTTTTGGGATCAGTTCTGATTCCTTTCTCATTGTTTCTTACACTGTATCTATCATTTGTTTTCTTGCATAAAGTACTAAGCTTGTGATTTTTATCAGTTAAGTCAAAGATCTGCTTATTAAGTTTAGTCTGACACTCATCTTGAAACTTAATAGTTCTCTTGAGATTATTTATTTCCTGTTTCATTGCCTGATTTTCTGTCATAAGCATACAGTATCTACTTTTAATCCTGTTGCATTCTTCTTGTAAATTTCTTAAAGCATGCAGAAATTCATTTTTTGACATGGGATGACCACTTCTTTCAGAGTCACTATCATTTATTACCTGATAACTTGTTGGAAAAGTCTGATCATCACAGCTGGAAGAGTCTGAATCAGCTTCTCCTTTTGAGGCAAAAGCCATATAGGCCAAGTTTTTTACTTCCTCTTCTTCTTCCGAACTGTAGTCACTCCATGATGCTGCGAGTGCCTTCTCTTTGGCTTTGTTGAGTGGACATCTAGATCGCATGTGACCTGTCTTACCACACTTGTAGCAGATTGTTAGATCTTTATCAACAGGAGACCTCTGGTCTCCCTTATACCTTTCCCTTCCTTCTGAGCTTTTGTCAGCAAACATTTGATTGTGCCTTTCAGACATATTCTTATTCATAAGCCCTTTATCTGTATGTTTAGAAACAGGTTTCTCTTCTCTATCTCGTCTATAATCTGAGTGTCTGTTTTCCGAGTTTCGAATGTCATTATAAGCTCTATTTGTTTGGAATTCTCTTTTCAGTCTTAACATCCTATGAAATTTTCTGCTAACTAATGCAAATTCTCTTTCAAATTCTTCACTGATATCATATTCAAAGTCACTCTCATATTCTTGAGCTTTAAATGCAATCACCTTTTTCCTCTTATTATCTTCCTTATTCATCTGTGTGATTACTTCTTCATGGCTTAGTAGGGATCCTACCAACCTCTCAATAGACAGAGTATTAAGATCTTTTGCTTCTTCTATAGCGGTTCTTTTAGGAAGCCATTCTCTAGGAAGACTTCTTAGAATTTTTCTAACTAGGTCTTTTGTAGCAAAAGTCTTTCCTAAGCCTTTCAACCTATTTATTAGATCATTGAATCTTTTATACATACTAGAAATAGATTCTCCTGAATTCATTTCAAACGATTCATATTCATTTAATAAAACATCAATTCGACTTTCCTTTACCTCAGATGTACCTTCGTGAGTAGTTTGCAATGACTCCCAAATTTCTTTGGCTGTTTCACATTGTGCAACCTGATTTCTTTCTTCGGGTGATAATGCTGAGAATAGAAGATGCATTGCCCTTGAGTCGAGTTGCGAGGAAATCTTCTGCTCATCTTCCCATTTCTCTTCATCATCAACATCCATAGGGATTGGCCCCTTTCGAACGATGCTCCATAAGTCACCATCAACTCCTCTTAAGTAAATCTTCATCCTCTTCTTCCAGACTGAGTAATCAGTCCCATCAAACCATGGAGGGTTTGTATTCGCGGAATAAGCTGCAGGTGCCGATGAGGATCCAGCCATCTTACTGATCTTCTTTGGCGATAGTTAATCCAACAAAGAACCTGCTCTGATACCAATTGTGAAATCAGAGTGTGAATCAAGAATGTATTTTGTAAACCCAATCACACTCGATAGAAACACCCCTTTTGGAAATGGATACTATTATTTATTTTGAAGAACAGAACTCAAAAGAACAACAAGAGCCAAGCCAACGAATTGGCTCTTTGAACAAACAGACAAACTTCCCAAGAACAAAACACCCAATACTACAACACTGTGATTTGTTCTACTGAAGTAAACCACGGACCCAAAGCAATAGAAGACACTTCTCTATGTTTCTATTACAGACGGCCAAGTTTAAAAGGAGATAAGAACCTACTATTTATACACGAGATGGAGATAGCCGTTAGCTAAGGATGATGATCAAGGCTGTGATCATCATTAGTCTCTGTAGAGGCGGTGATGGTTTCTGCAAGCTTCGAGAGAGGTGTTTTTCTATATAAGAGCAGCGAAGCGGTGAAAGAGATGATCGAGAAGCGAGCGGCCAGCAGATCTGGATAATGGTCGGTTATGGCCATGAAACGTTGTGTAGGAGCATGAAACGACAGAGGTTTGGTTTTGTGAGAGCTTTGAAGGACGACGTCGTTTTCCATTTGCTTGAGTGAGACGTCATAGTTCAACACAAGTCAGTCCGAAGAGCCCCTAACCATTCTCAAGACTTCTGTTGAGAGTAGTATATATACCCGCCACGTTAGTACGATATCATTCGCTTTTGGTATTAAAAAAAAATGCACGAATTTGTTTTGGACACCTTCTCAAAGGGACTGGTACTAATAGAGCTAGGCAGACACTTATATACAAGAAAACATTCTCTTATTTTCTGATACGGTAGTTAGATTGTACTCCAACAATCCTTCCTCTATACTAAGGAACACGTCCGTACAGTGGATTTATCATTCCATTTCATATTTGTCACTAGAAAATTTTAATTGAATTAGTGAGGTAAAATACCCCTCGTACCATCAAACTCTTAGAATTGGGGGAAGAATACCATTAAAGTACAAATAGGGCACTAAATATCATTTATGTTAATAAAATGTGCATCTCTCTATTTTTTCATCCACCCTACTAATGGAAGAAAAAATAAGTGTCGACCATGGTGAAATACACTGGTGAGTGGTGAGCTAGCTTTTGCTATAAAATAGAAGGAAAAAAAATTACCCAAAATTCTTCGAATCCTCTTTCTCAAGCGAACGTATTGTCAAAAGTTTCATTTGGGCGGATGTTTTGAATTTCGATATGGAGGAAGGGTAATGGCTGGTGAAACTTTGACGCAGGCAAGGGACAACTGTGAGGAAGTGGGGCGACGGAGGAGGAGAAAGAATAAGAAGAGGATTGTCGGGAGGAGGTTCTTTCATGCAATTTTGGTGTTGTAGGTTTTCCCATTTCAAAACAGGGGAGAGAGAAGTTGTAAATCTATGGGTCTCTCTTACGGCGGCATTCTCTGATCTCTTACGGCGACTTCGTCGTTGAAGACGACGACGACGATTGAAAGCGTCTAACAAATTCTCCTAAATCAATAACTGTTTCGTATTCAATGAAATTTGCGTTTCTAGAGAAGCCATAAAGCATAACGGTGGGTTTGATGAGAAGTATAGGAGAGATGTATGAGGTGGGATTTTGTTAAAGACAAATCGGTTCTTTTTAATTTTGGGTATGGAGAAATTTGTGGGTGGGAGCAATTTACAGAGAGAAAACGAAAAAAGTGGAGGAAATAAGTTTTATTTTATTGAATTTCTTGGTTCGGATAATTTATTTGTTCTTTTATTTGAATAAAAGATAGAGCCGACAATCTATAGGGCTCATGGTTGCTGAGGTGACAATTTTTTTTCTACCATTAGTTGAGTGGATGGAAAATTGGATAGATGCATATTTTTATTGACTTGAATGGTATTTGGTGTCCTAATTACACTTTAATGGTATTCTTATCCCAATTCTTAAAATTCAATGGTATGAAATACATTTTACCCGAATTAGTGGTCACTAATTCTACAGTTTTGATGAAGTGTAGTGGGTAGTTCGATTTACCCTCCCTGCAGCTTATTACTTGTCTTTCTTCTCCATGTGCTACATCTTGCAAGACCAAGGTGGTGCAGTGACCCATCTTGGGTTGTTGTGGCTGTGCCAAGTATGCGTTGCGACCTGCTCTGCAACGTTAATCAAACCTCCAATTACCTCGCATTGCGAGAATTTTCAATCGATATAAGGGATTATACACATATCTCAATTTCTTCTATCATATACAAATTTTCAATCACGAGGTCACGGAATGAGAGACCACACAACATCAGTATTGCGCATCCAATCCTTTAGGTCTGACACTGATACCACTTATTGAAATCGAACACTACAAATTAGTACAAAAATGTTGGATTTGCTCTTGAACACCATGCTAAAATTCATACTTTCGAGTGAGTAAGATTTGAATGGGAGTTGGATTTCAATCCATCGTCAAACTGAAATCCAACTCCCAACGGCAATTGGACACGATGAGTCCAATGTCCTAAACTACTCACTCGACTTAGCCCAATAACAATCTGTAATGGATAAGGAGAGCAGGTCCAAAAAAATATTTCATGGGCCGGGCCCAATAACCGAAACATATATAAACCGCCCGAACTCCAGCTTGGACTATTCTTCTCCTCCTCCAATTCCTCTTCCCCACCGTATTCGGAGAACCAGCCAGCAGCCAGAAAAGAACGCCGCCGTCGCCGTCATCATTAAAATCCCCCGCGAAAATCCCTATATCCTCTCTCTCTCTAACCATTCCCATCGTTACAAAATTCTCCCTCCCAAGAAAATCGAAGGAAAATCCTGCAAAAAAGAAACGCCTCGATTGATGCCGTCCGTTGTTCTTGCGGATCCAACTGCGGAACCCATCGATTTCCGGCGCCGGGTGGTCCAGAACGTCCAATCTTTCATTCAGGTCAGCCTCTTATCTTTCCCATGGCCGGTTTTCGAGAATTTTCCCAGATTGGGTTTTCCTTTTTGTTCGATTCTAGGGATTGGGTTTGTTTCTTTTTTGAGCTTTTCTCTCGCGATCGCGATTAAAATTTCCCCCAATTTTGTTCGGTTTGTGTTTGTTGCAACGGAATTCGTTTCCCAGAAACTGTTGACGATGGCTGGGAAGGGAGCGACGAAGGCTGCCAGCACTCGCTCTGCCGAAACCACCACCGTCAAGAGGGTCGCCGGCGGCGGCGGCGGGAAGAGGGAGGAGAGGAACAATTCCAATTCCGCCGCGACGGCAGCGAAGCGGCCCAAGGCGGCGTTGACCGCTCCCACGGTCAGCTCGAGCGCCAAGGATGTCAGTAACAACAACAACAAACCGTTAACAAGAGCAGCTGCTGCTGCTGCAAAAGCTTTAGAAGAGAAGCTGAAATTGGAAGGTGGAGCGACGAAGGGCTCTGTTGATTCCAAGGCAAAGGCTTCAGGAGGGGCAGCAAAGGTAGCGGTAAAGAACCAGAAGGAAGCTCCTCCGATGGCGAAGAAGCAACCAGTTCCTAAGAATGCAACTCCGAAGGAGAAACCTGAGGCAGCTTCGAAAGCTCAACTTCAAACTCAGTCTCAACCTACAGGGGAGAAGCTGAAGCTAGGGCCACAGAAGACCAGTCCGAAGGCGAAAGCTACCAAGCAGAAGGCAGAAGAACAACAAGGTTCGAAAGGGTCGCCGAGAAAACAGCAGCAGAGGAAGAAGGCAGCGAATCCTTCCCTGTCGCAGAGCAAGGAAGCAGTGGATCGAGGGATGACATATTACCTGAAGTGCGATGAAGCATTGTATGCTGATTTAGTGGGAGGGGATGAAGGGGATAATGACTGGAAGCTAGGGGAGAACTGCATGATTTGCGAGACGGATCTGGCATATGCACCTGTCCCACCTGAGACCGAATCGGGGGCTGTGAACTTCCCTGAAGCTGCGGTTCTGGGGTGCGGCCATGTCTTCCACTCGCTGTGCTTGGATATGGCTTCCGATGGGCAAGGAGGCGAGCCTGATTGCTTCATATGTGCAAGCCTTAGCTGAAAGCACGCACGAATTCCTTACAGAAGTGTAAATCGTAGGAGTCGAAGTGGTAGACATAATTGTTAGACTTGAGATAAGAGGGCAAATTTTTTGAATGGTTCAGCCTAGGAAGAGCAACAAATTCATGTTTCTTCCATGGGTTATAGTAGTAGAGGATAGGGTCATAAAATGAACATTTTGATATAAGTAGTCTTCTAAGCCTTCAAGGCGAATTTGAAGGCATTGATTCTATTGCATATGTTGAATATTGTGTTTTGGTCCTATACATAATCATATACTTGCGCCAACTGGAATAAGATATATCACAAGAGCAACAAACTTCTCCGGTGATGCATAATCAAATTCGATGGGCACGAGCATCTTCGTCGATCCCTGAACTAGGCTGTTCTTGTTCTGGATACATTGAGCTCCAATTTCCATTGTGAAGAACTCTCAAATCTGCAGCTACCAGAATACAGTCACAAAGACATCATCCTGAAACTATGTACTGATATGAAATGCTAAGAGAAAGAAGAGAGGCAACGATCTACAACGTACGATCCAATTTGTTTTTTGTACATCGGGAAGGAAATCTGGGGATTCTTCATCAAAGCCAAATCTCAGAATCCCAGTTTCACCCCCTTAGGGTTCAAACAAATGCTCAAGCATCCTTCCTATCAGCAAGAGATAGGACATCTGCATATGTAATTTTAAACAACCAAGCAAATCATCTTCATCACAAGAAAGAAGAGGAGAGGAGGGAATAACTATTATCATTGACATCAACAATCATAGGGGGGGGATGGAACTGCAAATCAGGCGAACAATATCTCGACTATCATCTACTCTGATTCTCTCCACCATCCTCCTCCGATATATGGAACAGGAATTTGGGGAGAGACGCGATTCGAGGGAGCTGAAGCAGGAGATCCCCAAACGAATCCTTTCTCGACATCCCTGATGGTGCCTTGATGCTCGACGAGACAGCATCCTTCATGTTGTACCCTTCAGAAGGTTTGAATTCTGGGAACAAAGATCCACTTGGTTGATTCAGCTGGAAAACCGAGTCATTGCTGCTGCCCTCTCCAATGGTCTGCAGATTCTGATGAGATGAAGAGGCGGGATCCTTCTGCAGGAGGCAGCAGAGAGAGTTGACCCTAGCCATTAGCCTCTTCTCATCTGAGGATGATGTGTTTTGGGTGTCACTTAGAAGGTATTGAGCTATGTCTTCCAATATCTCTTGGCATTCTTCTCCATCTGCGGCCAGGGATGATGTATTGCCGGAGTTCATCTGGCCTGAAATACAGTTTCCAATGTGATTCATGAGATCACTCATGGACATTGATGGTGTAAGGCCTGGCACTTTTATTTGATCCCAATTCCTCGGTGCTCGTGAATCAACAGACTCGAAGTTTCCCCTTCCTTCAATCGCATGAGTATCCATCACTGATAGGAACAAACAAGCAATTATACTCACAAACATGTAACATGAGGGAGACATATGATAAAAATTCTTCCTTTCTATGGTAAGCAACAAAAGACCAACCGGTTCCCTTAGAATCAATATAGAGAACCTGATATCATACCTGAGCTGGGAGAGGGGGCTTCACGGGACATGAGTTCTGATGTTGTACCAGTATGATCCCCTCGATCCATATCCAAGGAGGATGAATGACCAGCAGATGGTGAAGCCAGATTCTGGAAGCCAGCTGCTGCAAATGATGAACCTCTTCCATTCTCCACTTGGTTAAGTTCGTGATCATTGGATTCATCTAGTTCACTAAAGACATCTGCCATCTTTTCAAAATAGGGTGAATCCACAACTAACTCTGGTTGCTGACTCAAGAAGTTCAACCGCATATCACACTGTATCAGCTTATCAAAGTGTTTGTTCAAAAGCCCTTGTGGGCATTGCAGAAAATGCTGCCTGCAAAAATGCGTATATAAAACCACAGCATCAGAAGATAGCAACTTTGAAGCAAGGGGGGATCATAGGATATTCTACAACAGCAAATGACCCAAAAGAGCAAACACAGTACGCTGTAATCAATAAGCAAGTAGTCCTAAGAGGGAAACATGATATTCTAACACAAAGAGGGTAAACAGAAATACTAGAGTAAAGAATCAATCAAAATCTTACTTGTGTAAGCTGGCCTGTCCATTGGTGAAATCTGCAGCAGCCTGCCACAATGTATGCTTCCGAGGTTGCGGATTGGTTTCCCTGAAGAAAAGCGGTTGTCTGGCAAGCTGCACATCGACATACAAGGCCCCCATCACCCAGTGTCAATTAGATAGCTCCAGCCCAGCATTATACTTAATAACAAAGGCGAAGAAAGTTCAGTATGTTACCACAACATTCAAAGTTCCAGGTCCATCTTCTGGACAATTCGCCTTGAGACCCATGATATCAGACCACTGGATTTCTATCTTACTCTTGAGACCACCAACAAGAATTTCCCACACGAGCTTATGCTTCGCAAAGTAACACTTAGCCACCAACTCCCCCTCGTACCTTGCTGTATACTGCCAAAGATCCAACATTTAATCAAATTCCACCAAATTAATCCGACAATAAAACAGAACAATCACGGTAGCCTTCGAAATTGTACCTCCCATGACCCAATTCTCAGCACAGAGGCCGGGAAATTCGAAGCCTTGAGCTTATCACTCAGCGGTTTGTCTTTCTTCGCTCCAGAGCTTGGTTTCTCACTCTGCTGAGCTTCCTCCGGCGCCGAAGCAACACCACCCTGAGAGAGCTTCATCTGAATCAAATCCAGCAGCGATGGGCTCTTCCTGAGCCGCAACCCCAGAGGACTCGGCTCATCGAGTGGATTGTATTGCGCCGGCGGCACGGGAAATGCATTAGCACCGGCACCCCACTGTATCAAAATCACAAATACACAATAAAAAAAAAACCCCATCAATTACCCAAAAAATCCCTCAACGCAATGTTCAGAAAACCTAAATTGATTTCCCCTAATTTTGATTCCCGTGGCGAGGGAGAGAAACAGATTAAGCTGGGGGGAAAAAAACCTGTTGCAGAGTCTGCGAAGTCTTGGATCGCTTGTTCAGAGGGCCATACTGTTCCTCCAAGGGGTCCTCGGCGATCTCTAGCTTCACCGGCGCCGCCTTGCTCCCAATCGCCGACGACAGGGATCCACTTGCGGTGGCGGCCGGGAAGTTCTCCGATCTCATCAACTGCACCATCAACGTCTTTGCACCTATCGATTCCGCAGGCCTGAGCTCCTGGAAAATTCGAGACAGGCACAGATTCCTCCCCCGGGAAAGAGAAGTAATTTTCCCAGGAAAACGAAAAACGAACGCGTTTGTTATCTGTTTGGTGGTTGTTGTTTTTTTTTTTTTTTTTTTTTGGGATCGAGGAATTATCGGGGGAAAAGAAAGACGATTCTCGGGAAAACCCTAGGAAGGAGGGTTAGTCTTAACGGTGGCGCTTCCGGCGGAGAGCACGTGCCGAGAACCCGCGTACGGAGACCGACTCGCACGTGCTTGCTTTTTGACTGCGTGGTTTGGATTTTACAATTTCATCCCCCGTCCCTTGGGAGCCTTCAAATGGTCCGGTCTGGTCCAGTTTTGGGTCGATAAACACGGAACAATCGATTTCGTTAACTGAACAGAAAAATTATTTCTAACCGAAATTCCAAGTAACGTATGATATCTAAAAACCATCTCTCGAATTTGTATTGAAGCACTCTAGATATCGATTTGAATTGGTTCAACCGCAATAGAAAAACGGTTTGAACCGGTTGAAATTTCCGGCTCGTTTGGTTCACGGGAGTCTCTCCGTCCGTACTTTCTGACGGAAACTTTTAAAAATTCACGTGCTGGCCGACACGTAAGAGTCTATTTTGGATAAAATGGCGGGCCCCACTTCCCTCAGTTGTTTTTGTCGTTTTAAATGACGGCGGTGGTTGGTCTGACGGGACACGTGGCGGCCGATCTGGAAGGTAGCTTCGAGAAATTATGGCGCGGCGAGAGGACACGTAGGCTAGACAGGCCAAAAATTGGGTACGCCTACTTTGGGAAGTGGCGTCATAGTGTGTGGTCGGGCGCAGTAAATGGAATGTGAGGTCGCATCTCTTTCCGCCGTCCGTCGGCACAAAGTCTCCCGGCGACCAATCAAATCAAGACGGAATTTTCCCCCCACTTTTTCCAATGCTTTGTTAAATAATTTATTAATGGGTAGTGGAATTTTTTTTATATTTTTTTTGTTATGTGAACGAGGGAATGGATAAGGTTGAAACATGCCAGGTGAATTCCTACTAAGAACGATGGGAGGCCAGCAAATTATGATATTATTTAATGTTGAGATAAGTGTTAAGTAGGGTTAAGAGTTAAATTCTTATTAGATTAATAATTGGGTGAAGGTGGAAGTGGGTAAGCACCACCATGACCTCTTGTTCACAAGCTAAAAGGTGTGACATAGCCACAACATGTGTACATATATAAAAAAAAATTAGATCTGATGTTAATGTTTTGATGAACTTGAAGTACGTATATACAAATCTAATCACATTATAGATCATTCTTGGATTTTTTGAGAGGTTGTTAAGGATATTTGTCCTATTTGTAAGCTTTGTGTTGATATAATTCGTAAAGAGTGTTCCTCGTAATAAAGAAAAACAATGTGCCTTCGTATTTTTATGAACGAGTTCTCATAACAAAAAGGGCATGATTGAAACGTTGGTGTTCAACATTCTTATATGGTGGGAGGAGTGAAACCCACGACACTAGAGTTTTGCCCTCTAGGTTGTTAATTAATGATTTTCCAATGCATCATGTCCTTCTAAGCCAGAATTTTCTCTAGATTCGTAGAGCAAGCCTGATGACATCAAGTTCTCTAATTGTATACGAACAAACGTGTTTATGATAAAGATGAGAATTGGTATGAGATAGTAATCTATCACTTAGTATTTTTTTGGTTTAATACATTTGTATATCCAAAACTTTCACGGTTGTGCCAATAATATCCAAATTTCCCGAAATACCACTTATATCCATGTTTTAAAGTTGTTCTTTGCCAAATATATCCATTTCCCAATATATTTTTGGTTAAATACACTTGTATATCCAAAAACACCGTTAAAGAATGTGAAGGAATTGGATATAAGTGGTATTTCGGAAAATTTGGATATTATTGGCACAACGTTGAAAGTTTTGGATATACAAGTGTATTTAACCTATTTTTCCCCGAATACATAGAATAAGCATCAAACACAACTAGCTTTTTATCCGGCCCGTTGGCCGGAGAGATTTATTTTATAATTTATATGTTTAAATTATTTTGGATCTTGTAAATATTTTATAACTGAGTTTGTAGTATGTCTATATTGAAATTTCCAATATTTAGCACACTCACTTGTGATGCTTCGGTTTTCGAATCATAAATTATGCCGCTGTCACGTCCCATTTAGAATTTATGTCAAAATTTGTCAACCAAAACACTAATATTTAACGTACGCCAACCTGAACCACACACACATATATATATAATTCAAGCTAGCGTGCGCCAGGAGTACGCTATACTCTTGCGTTCATACTACCATACGACCATTGAGTTTTACTATTTAGACCCGAATTAAACGGAGTTTTTTGGGGCATGATACTATACCCTAACCTCTAATAGGTGAACTCTAGTCCCTAATTCTGTAACCTCTAATTTATGCACATACTTCGTAATACCTATCTTCTATCGTATCTTGAGTTAGATAAATAGTATAGTATACCTTGATATTACAAATACATGTATGTATATATATATATATGTGTGTGTATGTATATTAGACTCAAAATTATCTAGAGATCTGGCTTTTACCCCCATAACGCCAGACAACCATTGGGGTTGTCTATCGTTCGATATGTAATATATAAAGAGGCAAATACTAAGATCTTACTATTTATTTCTTATCCTCTCCCGCCGTCCTCTTTATGAAGAATAAAAAAGTAGGGATGACAGGATCATAGCTCGATATGGTTTTATTATGTTCATCGTATCGGAGGTTATGTTCTTTTTTGCTTTTTTGGCTTCTTTTTCATTCTACTTTAGCATCTATGGTTGTGATCAGAGGTATTTAGCCCCGAAAGGGATTGGGATTTTAGGTCATTTGGAAATCCAATACACATTCATAATCCTCGAGTTTGGACGAACTCTCGACCAATGTTGTAAAATTTACGACTTTTTAATGAGAAATTCTTAGTAAAGATACTTCATTATTGGATTTATTCATCCATATTGAAACTTGACACACACCGTAACCGTCATGATGACTAAATTCTCTAATATCGACTCATTTCCATTTTGGATGTCTATTTTTTTTTTATCTAGACACTTAAATTTAGTATATTATACAATATGTATCAATTGTTAATTCTTGAAGTTTATACTAAACCTCAACCGGTGGTCATTGTTTATATGCTGGCTTAGAATCTCAATCAAAGGCACTCACACACACTATCGAGGATTTTGGTCTTAACATGATCGTTGAATGTGTAATTTTCAAAGATTTTATCACTTATATATTAATAATTGATAAAAAGTGTCTCCAATACACACATATTTTAAGTGCATTTAAAATGTCTTATCATTTGAACAATATCAGTGTATTTCATTTGATTATTTGCCTTAACTTATTATCTTATACAACACATATTAATTTGTGTTTCTCAAGTCTAGACGATCTGACAACCAATTTTGAGAGTTGAGATTATTGGATAAAGATACTTGATTACTGGATAAATATGTTTATTCCTATTGACGATCTTACTAAAAATTGTCACCTTTATTTGGTAAATGCCTAGGTTAGTAGTTGATGAAACGTGATGTTTATCGTAGATTCTGAACAAAGATTTTTCTAACCTTCACATCAATTATTTTTCAAGGAATCTTGTGTCTCATCCTAAAGTATGAAGTCAAAGTTCGTCAACAATCATACTTAAGTCATTTTGAAAATTTTGATTTATAATCGTCGAAGATAACTCCAAGTATGAAAGAAAATTTCTTAGCATACGACTTAGAACCTCAATAGAGCTTGCTCAATCAACATGATATAGAGCAAATATTATTAATGTGAACTTAGGTCACATTATCAAATTATTGCATATGCGATTCCTCTTCATTTGAGGAATTTAAGGTTAGAACATGATCTGAATGAATAAGAATTTTTTTAAAATAAATAACTCTAACTACTCGATCAAGATTATATTTTGACATTTTGCTAAATAATACTGTTTTATTTTATAGATATATACTGTACGAATAAGAGAGTGTTTCATTGTAACAAAATATAAAGTAATAAAGTTTATTTTTCAAAGGTAAATGAATGTCAAATGTTTATTTTCATATATATTTTGGTTTAATCGATTAAAACATAACTGTTTATGTGTATGTTTGTTTATTTTTTCATCAAAATGTAACTTATCATTGAATTTTAGTAAAAATGAGTAGAAAATTTATTTCATAAGGTTTAATTAGATATTTTTTATTTAAATAAATGTGATATATGTCACTCTCTGTTTTCTTATTTATATTTTGTTTATTTAACAAATATTATTATTTATGAGTGTTTGGTTAAGTTTATCAACATGTAACTTATTATTAAAGACAAAAAAGAATAAATGAATAAATGAAAAAGAATAATTGGATAAAAGAAATGGAAATATTAAAGAAGAGAGAGGTAGCTCCATAAATACATTAATAACTAATTTTTTGTTTGTAAAAAAGTTGTCCAACTTGGCAAATTGTGGATCCTCCAAGTGCTTATGTGGCAAGAATTTGTTTTTGAATTGCCATAATATATAGTATAGATAGATAGATGTGACACTTCGATTTCTATATTGATATTTGGTCGAACGTATATACAATTGAAAAGGGAGTTGATGTGAATTCATGAGTTAATATTAATTTCTATCCAAACCCAAATATGCCCACCTCTTTGGCTCTTGGTTAAGTGCGTGATTAGTAATCATGGGCATGAAGAAAAGCATAAGCTTAATAAATCAAAGAGAGGACAAATTGCTTTCGTGGGAAGGCCACGTATTGATGACCAATTGTCCATGATGATGATGAACAATGGTGACTCACTCGCCGTTGTTTCAAATGATTAAAAAAAGACAAGCACAAGGAGAACGTGTTGAATTTGTCTTTGTATCCTTCTACTGCACTAAAGTCCATGAACATGACCGACAGGCGACAGCTCCATTTTGCCTTGTACCATGTTCGTCAGCTTTTAGAATTAGTCATCAAAGGGTTTGTTTTAATTGTTGACATCAATAGACAACCTAGAAATCATCAAGTGTGCATTGAATAGGAAGAAGCAAAAGAAACCAGCTAAAACTGATCATTATGTGTTCAGCAGAATTACAAGAACGGTACATCAAGGGAAGTTCTCACCCTTGTGCACATAAAATGTAAGCAAGCGCAGCCATAAGTGGCTAATGGACTCGAGGGTATAACTAGCCAATGAGGCCGAGAAATCTACTTTGCCAGTCTGTTCACTTTCAGGTACGGCAGAGCACCGATCACGTTGTCGTAGTCGCTCCGGCTGACTTCGTGCTGTTAGTAACAATGAGAGCAAGAGATGGTTGAGAGAGTGAAGCATATGTATATGCGAGCAATGGAAGTAAGCACAGTGGATATAGGCATTAGCATTGAATAGAAAAAGATACGAATATGGCTAGCTGGTTAATTTCGGGCTTATGAGATAGGAAGTTGGAAGCAGATCAATTGGTTTAAGCTAACAACTGGAGATACTAGAACCAGATACAGTGCAAAGAGATGAACAGGTTGGGTGGTACAGACTCATATGTACTTTAAGTTTTTCTAGCATCCTCTCAATTGTTCTATCTTCGTAAGCAAGAAGGAATCCCGCCTTTCCCAGGACTTACCAGAAGAAGCACAGGCAGATAGAGATCATATCCATAACCAAAGAGCAGTAGGTATCACAATCAAATATTCTCCACTAGGTAAAAGCGAAGTGGATAACAGAACTGATAGAAGCTTAGAGCAGTTATATAAGGCTATCATTATCAATATTTCTCCACTCCAAAAAGCCAAGCGCATAGCAAAATTGATGGAAGCAAAGCTCCATGCTTTCTCTTACTCGGTAACTAACTCCAGTCTCCATATATGATTCTCAAGATTGCGAGCAGCAAACAGAGAGTCAAAATGCTCTCCAATTCAGTACCTTGAGTTGGCTTTAATTGGGTTTCTAGTGCTGCTAGCCACATTTTTAACACGTATGTTTGAACCTCAAACCAGAAAGCTTTGTAATATCTACAGTCCATTTCAAACTAGTTTGAAAGATTCTTACAGCTTGCCGTTAAGACAATTTTAACTAAAGCTCCCTTCTTTCAGCGAAGTGAACGGATTATACTAAATGCATATGATCAAGCAGTGTGTAATTCTATCAAAACAGCCTTCAAGTTTCAACCAGGAATCATTCAACAAGCAAATACAATCAGTAGTGAACATTCAACTAACTGGAAACTGCTTCAGAAAGTGGGTGATTTCCTTGTTAATGACCGTCGTTCAGTACACTATTTCTAAAGCCGTAAATTCTGAACTAGAAGCACTGCAAGAAAAAGTGACATTGTCAAGGGAACTAACCATTTTGGATAGGCGCAATTTCCTCTTGGTATTCTTCTTCGCCAGCAAATGCTGCTTCCCAGCTCGCCTCCTCACAATCTTTCCTCTTCCCGTCACCCTGAACCTCTTCGCTGAAGCCTATTAACAAACACCTTAGCTTCTTTCTCAAACACCACCAAAAACCAAATGAAACCACAACAAAACCAAATCCAACGGAGAAATTCACCTTATGGGTCTTCATTTTGTACCCTTTCGCGGCGAAAACGGTGAGAGATTGGAGCCTCTGAGACAGCGAGGCGACGGAGCATGGCTTCGGCGTCAGAACTGAGAGAGAACCCGATATGCTGTGTGTGGAACTGAGCTTCAGCGAGCTGTGGGACTGGGCGAACGCGACGAGTCGGGTTGAGCTGCAGGAGACTCGGAGTGGAGCGGATTGGACTGGGCAAAGCCTTGTATTCACTGACATAAAGGTCAGAGAAGCCATTGCCGTGGATTTCTGCTCGCGTTCTGTTTTCCTTCTTCTGGGAATTGAGAATTGGGGAGGGAAATGAAGAATGCGGGAGAGGGAGTGGATGACGTGAGGAGGGAAATGTGGATAGAGGATGAGGCAAACTTTTTAGTCCTCAAACTATTAATATTTTGCATTTGAGTACTGCAGAAACAATTTTGGAGAGTAGATGAAGAATAATGGATAAAACCAATTGGAATTCCGACTAACCCTTTAAGGATCGAATTGAACATATACCCGTTATTGGAACTAACTGGTTGTATCGTCCTCACCGGAAATCATTTTTGTACAAAATGATGTACTCACTACTCAATTAGGCATGAGAGAGTATGAGGATTGAGGACCATCCTCTTTTGTAACTTACATCCAAATCTAATCCGATAGGATTGCCAAAATTACGAAATTTAGATGAAAAGTTTGCTGCTTTCACAAGAGAAACAATCAAAATTACACTGGGTTGACTTGGGCTGCTTCATTACAACAATGGTTGGATTTGTGTTGAAAGCCTCAAAATTTCATGGACAGAAGAAACTGAAATGCTTAGCATGAATCTTCAGCTGGAAGAGAGCCCATGCCGGTCACCGGGCTAACTGCAGAAGGTTCCTTGCAAAGGGAGGGCTAAAGCACCATCGTCTCAACTGAAATTGAGTCTTCTGGATCTGCTATGTTAAGGTCTTGATACTATGGCTATGGATTCCCATTCCAAACTACATATCACCTCCTGCATTGGCACCAAATGTGGTCATTGAGAAAAACTCGGGACTCGCATTTAAAATAAGCGATTCAGGGTAGAGGAGGATTGAGCATACCGAAGGGTTTTGTCGATCGATGTCAAAGCTATTGATGGCACAAGGTTCCGCAAGAAGCTCGGTAGGTTCCTCACCTATATGGTAAAGGGTGCCATACAGAAGAAAGTCTCATTATCAAGTTTTTGGCATTAGAGTTTCAGGTACGGAGAGAGAGTAAAAGGCACTTCATTCATTCATTTACCTTGGTCAATGACTCCAAGGATTCCATCTTCAGAGCAGAACATGGCAGGCAGGAGTTTCGAGGATGAGAAATTGTTCATTGAAGACTTTGTATATGAGTCATACTGAACCTCCCAAACCTCACTCTCAGATAATGGCTGAGCCGCGGTATCATTGCTGGTTCCTGAGAGGATAATAGGTTGATGTTGATATCTTAAGTCCCAAGCAAATACAGTTCCAGCAGAACCTCCAGCCTACAAGAGACTATTAAATTAGATGATCACCATGAGAGAAACTAGTGGTACGGATAACAGCAAGGGCATAGCATCGATTAAGGAATGAACTAGCAACTCATATACCCACAGAAACAAAAGGGACCCTAGAAGCACATCTAACACCCTTGTTCTTGCTCAAAGATGGATACATTATAGCTTATCAATTGCCTAGGGTGTATGGCACAAAATTGTTCTTACCTAATTATACAGCTTCAAGAGCTAAAAACGAGTCTCACTTGACCAAGCTAAGTTATCTGTCGACAAAGAAGGCAAGGACTAAGGTCTAAGAGCTAAGAGACTATACAGTATACAAGGTCCTAAATGCTGGCATTTCAAGCATGCTATGGCAAACCTCCAAGCAAGACACCAGTAACAATATGGCTTTAATATGTCAAGGCAGAACAAGCATAATCCTTTAGCCTCCAATAGTATCCAATAGCCATTATCGATTCACTACCACCATATTCATTCTACCACAGGGGAGTATTCATATCTTACCAGACAGGTGTGCTTTCTCGACGGATGAACATCAATAGAATGTATGATCCCAGAAGTTCTTCCCTTCTCCCTACAAATCAATCAACAGAAAACAAGTCACTAAACACAGAAAAATTATCTACTTCCGATTCATTAACCATTGAACTAACAACCAACAGATTCAAACATTTCCACGAAAAACACTCACAAGTTCCCTTTGAATTGAGCAACAGCAGAGCCAGGCCGCCGGAGGTCCCACCACTGCAGCCCAAACCCACACCCGCCGGTCACAAACTCCGTCGGCGAAGCCCACTTCACCGCCGTATACGAAACCAAACCATTCCCGTCGAAAACCTTCCTGTAACTCCCATCCAAAACCCTAACCAAATTCACCCTCCCGTCCTCCCCGACGCTGACGCACTCGTTGCTCCCGCCGTCCATCAAATCCACCCCGGCGATCCGCCCAACGTGGAACCCTTTCCCATCTGCGGCCACCACCGACCGAAACGCCGACGAGGGGTCCTGCGCTTCGGTGGCGCTGAAGACGTGGAGCGAGCCGGAGATGGTGGAAGCGACGGCGAATGCTTGAGTACATTTCAGCGAGGAAATGCGGGAGGGAGGAACCCACGATGAGATGAGATCGAGCGTCTTCGATTCTTGGTCCAGGGAGTGGACTTCCAGAGAAGGAGAGTCGGCGTCGGTGTCGAAGAAGGCCACGATGGCGGATTGCTGGAGCGGGGAGACGGAAGGAAGCCATCGGATTGAGTCCACGTATTTGGACTGCGAGAGTCTGTGGATTTGCGTTTGGGGAATGCCGATTACCGCCATTTCTAGGGTTCTACTGGTTTCCCCCCTTTCAGCACGAGAAAGAAGAGCTCGGGGTCTTGACTTCGAGTCAAACTACAGAGGTTTTTGCCGGGGTTTCTGCGATGGTTTTGCTTCAGAAAATTTTAGTGCAACGCGGGTACATGGAAATCGTCTGTTTGTCTGACGTTTTCAAGCAGAGGCCGCCAAGAGTTTTAGCGGCTTTCGTTTGGGCTTTAGTGGAGTTGGGCTTCACTCCACCGAATGGTATGCCCTCACCAGTTGGGCTCGCCATTATACATATGAGATGTGAACATATATTATAACTCTCAGCTTGTTATTTTGTATATTTCTTTTTTTTTTTTTTTTTTTTGATAAAGGTGAAATCAATTAATTAAAACAGAAGACAGAAAAAAGAAGAGTACAACGCCAAAAGATACAAGACATGGCAGCCCCCAAACAAACAGGCAGGCCACCAGAGCCAGCCCCCAAAATGGAAAAAAAGCCCCAGCACCCAGAGAACTCCCCAAGAAAAAACCAGCAACACCCGCCAACCCAAACGAGCGACGCGGGCAGCAGCAACCAAAACAAAGACCACGACAGCACAATAGAAAACCCAGAATCCCACAAACCAGAACCAGAACAGGTCCCAGCAACCCGAACAACCAAGGGGTTAAGCACCGCCAGCTCTAGGGAGGATTCTGTTCTTCAGGATACGCAGCCAATCATCAGCAACCAATCTGTCAACCTTCTTATGAGCGCATAACCAATCCGCCATGCTCCTTCCAATTCTGACGCAGGTGACGACAACTGTCTCCCTAGCATCACTGAAAACTCTATTGTTCCTTTCGAGCCAAATGCGCCAGCAAAAAGCATGGATGAACACTTTCGAGCACCACTCCTGCGGACAGGCTGGGGGTTTTCTGCTCCAATTTCTCAGAACAGCAGGAAGATCTAAGGCCAGGACCGCGGGGAGCTTCACAAAACTCCTCATGATTTGCCACACGCTGAGCGAATACCTGCAAGTCAGGAACAAGTGATCAACGGTCTCCTCCTCCTCGCAGCACATGACACACCGGTTTGGCAGCAACCACCCACGTTTCTTGAGATTATCCTGCGTCAGCACCTTATTGCGATAAGCCAGCAACAGGAACACGCAGACTTTGGAAGGGACAGCTTGCAGCCAAACAACATCAGCGGGGAACTCGGGACTCAAGTTGGGGTGATCCTTGAGCAAATTCTCGTACATGGACTTAACATGGAAGCCAGTACACGGGGACGGCTCCCAAGTAAGCCTAACCGGCCCTGCAGAAAACAGACAAGGGGAAACAGATTGTAACAGGTTAAACAGCTCAACTCTCTCACGCTCAGCCCCACCCCGAAGAAAATGACGGAGGTTTAACTCCCAAGAAAGAAACCCATTCTCACGATGAAGGACTTCAGCAACTTGACAGCATGGCGACTCGGCAGCAGCGAACACCCTCGGAAAGCTCTCGGCCAGCGGAGGTCGACCCTTGATCCACACATCAAACCAGAAAGACGCCCACGCTCCTCCCCCGGGATCCACCCATGCGAACTTCCAGAACTCCTTCGACGTTTTCAAGATTTGCGACCATGGGCTGCACCCCATAGGAGTCTTCATCTCCCCAGAAATCCACTCCGAAGCAGCATGCGGATACTTAATGCTGATAAGGTTCCTCCACCATTCATCTCTATCACGAGCAAACTTCCACAACCATTTAGCCAACATAGCAGTGTTGCGAGTTCTAAGATCAAGGATACCAAGACCCCCGAACTTTTTTGGCGCCTTGCAGGAATCCCAGGCCATAAGGTGGATCTTCTTCTCTTGCCTCGCACCCGACCAAATGAAGTCCTTCTGCATTTTCTCGAGTTTTTGAATAACACTGATGGGGGCCCGAAACAGCGAGCATTGGTAAAGCGATTGACTAGCCAAAACAGCCTTGCACAGAGTAATTCTCCCACCCAAGGACAAGTAGTTGCCCTGCCAACCATCGAGCTTTCTTTGCGTCTTGATTAGAACATGATCCCAAATAGATGACGATGTTGGTTGTGCGCCAAGAGGAAGGCCAAGATACACAGTGTGAAGGAAACTCCAGTCGCAGCCCAGGATTTCCGCCAATCTCCCAATGTTCTCGACTTCGCCAACCGGAAACAGCTTGCTCTTCTCGAGGTTAATTCTCAGACCGGTGATGGCTTGGAAGCACAGCAGCGCAGCAAGCACATTAAACATCTCCTCTTCAGTAGCATCGCAAAATACAATTGCGTCATCTGCGTAGAGGAGATGGGAAACCTGCCCGCGCAGCTCGATTTCATCAAAGTGGAATCCCGAAATGAACCCAGCTTCCTGCATAGCTTCAACAATGAACGAGAAAACATCCATAACAGTGCTAAACAGAAGGGGGGAGAGCGGATCTCCTTGCTTCAAGCCACGTTCCATATTGAAGAAACCAGACGATTCCCCGTTAACAAGGACAGAGAGTTTCGAGGAGGTAACCAGCCCCATGATCCACTTAACCAGCCTGGCATTCATACCCATGTTTCTTAAAATATGCCTCAGACAATCCCAGTTAACAGAATCGAACGCCTTCTCAATATCGAGCTTCAATATAATACCCGGTTTACCACTGCGTTTGCGGCTATCAATAGCTTCATTAGCTATCAGACTTGCTTCATGAATAAGTTTCTTCTTTCTGCCCGCAAACTGGAATCTGGAGACCATCTTCCCAGCAATCAATTGGAGTCTAGCCCATAGAGTCTTAGAGATAATCTTGTTAAGACACCCAATAAGGCTAATTGGGCGGAAGTCTTTTATTTCCTCAACCGCCTCTTTCTTCGGGATCAAGCACACGAAGGAGTGAGCCACGGAGTGAGGGAGGACTCCATTAAGGTAGAACTCATCAATTGCTTTCATAACGTCTCCCTTAATAATGCTCCACGACTTCTTGAAGAACGCCAGCGTAAACCCATCCGGCCCGGGGGCTTTGTCGCCGTTACAAGAGCAGATAGCATTCCACACTTCTGGTTCAGTGAAAGGAACGGTCAGACTGTAGTTCTCCTCCTGAGTGATTAAACCCCTTTTAAAATCAGCGGGAAAGGGTCTCCCACTCTCCTTCTCGGAGAATCTATCCCTGTAATGATCAACAAAGGCTTGCTGGAGTTGACTCTTATCGGAGGTAGGCCTACCATCAACAAGCAGGTTTCCCACCCAATTCTTCCTGCCATTGCTCTTAGCCCAACGATGAAAAAATCCCGTGTTATTATCCCCAAAACGCAGCCAAACGGCACGGGACTTTTGTCTCCAAGATATTTCCTCCATCAAGAGGATTTTATCCAGGTCGCATTTCATCCTACAGCGCTCCAAAAAGGTTTCTTCAGGTAGCTGCCCCTGCTCCTCCAAACCATCGATCACTCTGATCCTGGAAAGAAGATCTTCAATCTTCCTATCGATCCTCCCGAAAACCTCAGCATTCCAACCCTTAATTAACATCTTTGTGTTCCTTAGTCTTTGGCTGCATCTGAAGAGAAAACCTGACCCATTGACCGGTATACTCCACCAACCCACAAGTTGCTCAACAAAACTAGGCTCCTCCAGCCACATGTTCTCGAACTTCCAGGGACGATTGCGCCTCTCAATGGTGCCCCAACTGAGCACGACCGGGTTATGATCCGATTCCACTCTCTCAAGAGCAGTCAAGGGGCTGGGATCGAACTGCTCCTCAAAACTGGGGTTGACAAGAGCTCTGTCAATACGAGATAGAGACTCCCTATTTCCACCACTGCTCCAAGTGAATAAGGCTCCTTTGAGAGGTAAATCATTCAACCTGTGCGAGGAGATGAAGCTATTAAATTCCATGATAACTTCACTATTCCTTGGGCCACCGATGTAGTCCTCCTGCGAGCGAACCAAGTTAAAATCTCCCATGATACACAGAGCCTGCTCATAATTTTGACAGACCAGACTCATTTCACGGATGAAGGCCAGCTTGTCCTCTTTGTCCTGCGGACCGTAAACCATCATTAAGGCAAAAACACGGTTATTCTCAGCACAACGCAGCCTCACAGTCAGGGCAAAGTTTCCTTCCCACACATCGATAAGATCAAAATCCACCGGATCCCAAAAAATAGCGATCCCTCCTCTGGTCTCCTTTGCATCTTTAGCCACCCACTTAGATCTCCTACTCCCACCAACCGAGCAAATGAGCTGTTGAGAGCACACATTCCATTTAGTTTCCATCAGACCCACTATACTAGGTCTCTGTCTTTTAATGATCCCTTTAATTCTCGCCCTCTTGTCAGGGGCCCCCAAACCACGAACGTTCCAGGCGAGGATAGAATATGCGACCATTAAGGTTTCTCCTTACCAACACCCCAGTTGCTACTGGATTCCTCCGCTCGCCTCGACTTCCTTCTGGCCCTTGGAACTGTAGGAAACTCTCAATCAATCTTTTCTTTAAGTATAAAATTTTCCTCAAAAAAAAATATAGTTATAAAAGTTTTCAAATTTTAAGCTAAAATGAACAATATACAAGTTGATTAGAAGAATTATCATATCTAAAAAGTCTTACAATCTTATTCTTCATATATAACCCAATCCTATCTGACAATAAATGTTATATTCTTTGTCTTTTATTAGCGTTCAACTGTGTTTACAGTTTTATCAATTCGAACAAAATCAATGATATCGTTCTATTAAAAAAAATATACATATCTTGTATTTTTGAACTAGGCATCTATTGTATATAGCAACATACTTACAACATAGAAATAAATCGACTATGGCAACAACTTAACATTATGAATTTGAGTATTTGCATAGATGATATAAAATAGAGGAGTACTTGAATGTGTTGACCGATACGGCGATACCTACGTACATTTGTAATAATGTTTCCATCGATCCATGCATGTGCTCCTCGACCATGGGCCATTATTTGGACAATTGGTGGTCTCCCTCTTTCTCATAATAGCCGATCGCAAGTCATCATTTCGACAAAGTACATAATAATTTTAGTTGTTCAAAATAATTAAGTATAATTTTATGCTATTGCACGTATTCAAATTAAACAAGACTCAATTCATAGGTTTGAAATTTGCACAGGTCTATCTTACCCGATGCTTAAACCAACTATTAATATCGAGAGTCGTGTACATTTGAATGAAAACAGTCGCTTTGCCAAAACAATTTTGATACCACGTAATGTACTGTTTGGTCTCGTTATAATTCGAGAGTTGTTGAGAGAATTATAGTTATGAATCTTATACCATGCACCATGATAAAAGGGTTATATAGTATTGCATAATAAAAAAAATTATGCACCATATAACTCAAACCAGCTAGTCTCAAGTTCTCAACAAAGTTGTGATTTTTTGTGATTTTATTTTGATGTATTACTATTAGGGGGTTGTCTTTCACATATGGTTTGAAAGTTGAAAGGAAATTTTGCACTTATTCCTGCTCGATACGACGCCGTCGGTGCGGGCAATGGGATAAGGAGATGAGGTATAAGCTTCACTTCGCCACTCAAAACACAGCCGTACGTACGTCACAGAAACCAAAATGATCTCCGCAGAAATCGTCACGGCCGGCGGCGGTAGCAGCTTCTTCCGCGGCAATATTGCCAGCTTCCCCGATGCTCAGAGAGCGCCGAGGCTGACTTACCCATTTGCTAAATGGGCGGCATTCAGTTCGAGGACATCGAAATTCACGGCCAGAATGAAGGGCGACGACGAGAGGCCCTTTTCCCGCCTCCCGAAGATCCCGGCCAATCCGGCGGCGGCGGTCGCGGCGCGGGCCGCCGTTGCGGTGTTCGCGCTGGGATTCGTCGACGCCGGGTACAGCGGGGACTGGTCCAGGATCGGCGCGGTCTCGAAGGAGGTCGAGGATTGGCTCAAGGTCGCCGCGTTTCTCGTTGTCCCTCTCTGCGTTTTGCTCGCAGTTTCGATCTCTGGTAGTACGGAGGAGGAGCCTTGAAAATTGTTGTTCAATTGCTAAAAATAGGTCCTCAAACTTTTATCATTTTGCTTCCTTTTTCTTTTATTGTTCTATTATGAAAATGTTGAATTATAATCCAATTTGAAGTGTGATATAGTTTAAAAAAAAAATAATCAAGTGTGATATGAAGTTATTCAAATTTTATTTTTCATATAATACGAGAGGGTACTACAACGTCTCTCGACAGATCGAGCAGTTTATTATAAAAGATTTGGAGATCAGGATCTCTTATATTTATAGAGAGTGTAACTAGATGACAGATTATCTGTTCAAAATATGGCTCATTTCGCTAGTTTTGGGTTTTCATGTTAATGATATTTTTTATATGGGTCTCAATTTCTCGATCTTGTGTCATACAAGGAAGCTCATTTAGCATTTCACATTTTCTAAAAAAAAATGTTATTTTGCGATCCTGTGGCAGATTATGTGGTCAAAATATGGCTCATTTCGCTAGTTTTGGGTTTTCATGTTAATGATATTTTTGATATGGTCTCAATTTCTCGACCTTGTGTCAGACAAGGAAGCCCTTTTAGCATTTCACATTTTCTAAAAAAAAAGTTATTTTGCGATCCTGCTTGATATTCTCAAACCTTAGCAGAAGAAGTTCAATTTTGGCATTATTAAACCAAATATAAGTCCTACGAAATTTTAATTCATCAGCGTATTCAATAATAAATTGACTTATACCAAGCGTCTAAACCGTTAACGCATGCATCTCCAACTAAAGCTAAATCAAATTATCACTACTTAAACTATGGTGAAAGGAAACATCTTGTTAGCTTAAGTCTTGTTATATCGTTTCACAAATTTTGGGATGTCAAACTCTCATCATGAAGGGATAGATTGATCATATCTATGGCTTGCCCTAATCCGGCAACCCATCATCTGTCTATTTCCAGTGGAAGAAGAATACAAAGTTTTTATACACACACGTATGGTGACATTTTTTCTTCACTCTAAAATTTTTGTAGCCGTTGAAGTGGTAACCTACGTGGCACTTGACATTGTGCCAATAAATGAATAAGTTACTGATATGCACGTTTTTAACCATAGACTTCTATAGCATCTTAAATAAATCTAGTATACTGTATACACGCTTCTTCGTAAGAAAATGCTATCTATATTTTAAAATAATCAAATTTTAAGATATAATATTATATTCTAACACTTGATGAGTGAATTCAGGATTTGGATTATCAAAATCCTACAATGATACATCATGTAGTTTGTTACAATATTTTGACGAATCATAATCGTTTATTATTATTTTTTAGTTAAATTGATCTTAGCGTATAAGACTTAGAGAATCAATACTTAGGGTATAACAACATCTCCACCAAATATCCGATCAATTCAAGGACGATATATATGCGGTACGCCCAACTCTGGATACAAAAGATACGTAAACTTATGAATAGCCATACACCCACAAGTTCCTACTAGATTATATATGTTGGATTTTTCCTTCCAAAATTCAATAAAATTTTTCTGAATTTTCTGACAAATACCCACTAAATTAAATTTAGTTTTCAAAAAACTCGACCCATCACCATCCTTATACTCCACCCACCTCATCAAACCCACAAACCTCTTACCTTGTTTTCCCTTAATAGTCACTCATGATTCATTCCTATCATTCTCCAACCTTTTCAAATTTTAACTACACCTGGCCTTTGCATCCCCCAAATTGTCCATCTACAAGATAAAAATTGTGTGGACGAATTTGAGACATTTAGCCGAATGGATACAAAACCCAATCCCATTTTTGACCATATTTGGAAGCACTCGACACCCCACGAAATCTCATCACAATCTCTCTACTAGCTTAGCCTTTTGCTAAATATTCAAACCCCACCCATATCTCTTTAGATTGTCTAGCGGCCTCCACCTCGCCCATTTGCTCATTTCTCTTTGGAGCTCCAAAGGTCAAAACGATAATGGCGAAGGAAACATATATATGGTCTAGCTATCGAGTTATACACATGAAAATGGGTCCAAGAACTCATCACCGATACCTTTCCTCATCACTATGCTTCAAAAAGGTAGTCATTATAAAACATTGGGGCACCCAATCCTATCCTAGGCTAGCAGAGATACTAGTCGGTTAGACAAATCAAACTATATGATGACTTTTCAGGCTTAGTATTTATATATATTGGTTTCGGTTGGATTGACGAAGACGGTGTGTATCGAATCACATGTTGTCATATTAGTGAAGTACATAATAATAAGTTATGATCTCCGGTAACAACATATTTTTCTCGTAGTAAATTTTGATACAATTGAGTCTTACTTTCACACATCTAAGTGAGGTAGTGATAGGATGAACCATCTCTGCTTGATACATGATTGCTTGTTGGGGGTAATTTCTTATGTGAGCTCAAAGAGTTGTTCAATTACACGTGGAGCTCTGAGATGAGCATCATGATTGATGGTGTGATGAATTTTATCAGTTACAACTTTAATCTCTAGATTGTTGGACAACTCATTGAGATCATCATCCAAGCATTACTACTAAGTGAAATCCTTAACCACTCCAAACACAATACAATTACGTCGATGACAGTTATCACTACCATTAGACCAACCTATTGGGGTAGAGCTATCATCCCTTAGTAAGCTAAATCCTTAACTTGATAATCATAGAGTTGGAATGGTGTGGTTCCGACATCGACATTATAACCGGTAGAGACCTTCAAACCAAAACTAATAAGAACTCCAGACCAGTGTCAGAGCTCTTTGATCAATATATTGCTCTAAATTTACCCAGCATTCAACAGCGCATAGTACTTCATATTAACTTAAACGATTAAGCGCATATCGACTATAATCTTCACGTACTTTCACACACAGTTTATCATATCTTATACGATATCATTAACCAGAACCCGACCCAAACCCCAAAATCCCTAAGTCAACAAACAATTAACAAAACCATCAAATTACTTTCCTCCCCCAACTCAAAATGAGAGATGGAGAATGAATGGGGGACCCTTAACCCTATACGATGAGATGGGCCTGAAAAGGGCCGTGGGGTGGGTAGACATGAACACAAGCAAAAAAAAATGAGAGGCCTGAATTTTTTGCCTCCTCCAACCCCAAAACCATTTCATTCTTTTCTTTCTTCCAAACCCGTTTTGTTTGCACATAGGAGAGGAGCTATCTAAGCCAAGACTTGTGAACAAAATATGTGTTAGAAAACCAAAAAGAAGAGCGTTATTGGCTCCAACCTTACCCTTATCCTATCCACCACCACCACCTTCTTCATTCTCATTCCCTTCTCCTCTTCTTCTTCTCCCTTCTCTTTCTCTCCCCTTTTCACCTCTCTTCTTCCCAAACCCATAATCCTTTTCCTTTTTCCTGTCTCTATGTTCCCTCCACTCCAGCCAGCCAATCTCCAGTAGCTCCTTCTCATTGTTCATTTGCTGCTCACAAGGCTGTTTGCTGAGTTGGGTTCTGCTCAGTTTTTTTGTTTTTGTTTTTGGTGTTTGTAAAAGAGAAAACAAAGGATAAAAAAAAAAACCCGAATTGGACCGAGTAAAGAATAGAGGAGGAATTTGGTTGGTGGATTTCGGCCATGCAGAGTAGGGGAAGGGAAAAGATTCATTAGATTCTTCGATTAACTCGAAGCAAAGCTAGCTTTGGTTTTTTGTTATTTCTGGCCATCATTGCTTTCATCGGGTTGGTGGGTATAATTTGAGTTCTTTGGGAGGGAGGAAACGGAAATGGCTCCCAAAACCGGCAAGACCAAGCCTCACAAAGCCAAGGGCGAGAAGAAGAAGAAGGAAGAAAAAGGTCCCTCCTTTACTCTCTCTCTCTCTCGCTCTCTTTTCTCCCTTTTTTCGTATCTCGAATTCGAGTTGTCGAAACAGCGTTTGAAAACGTTCGACATACCAATTGCGAGTTGGTAATGTTGAGTTTGTTCAGTATTCGTTCGAGTTATTGAGAGAAGATTGCATTGGCGTAATTTTAGCGATATGCACCGTAGACCGTGAAGTCATTTGTGTGATGTTAATTGGGTTGTTGGAGTAACTCGAGTGTGTGTTTTTCTTTGGCAAATGGGAATTCTCCGGCGGTGCAGTTCTGCCGACGGTCATTGAAATCGCCGTTGAGACGCCGGACGAGTCACAAGTCACTCTCAAGGTAAAGGCTAAGACTTGCCGCTCCCTCGTTACATTGTTCAATATTAGTAATTTACCTTCAATTTTTTTTTTCTTGTTGTTTAAATTTCTACAATATATTCTTCGATTATTATTCACAAAGACGGCAATATGTTCCATTTTTCGTTTTTGTTTAACTTTACCTTGGTGTCTTTTGCTTTTGTTATCAAATTGTGTTAACATTGGGGTTCAAATTTTGCTTTTCTCTAGTGAGGTCAATGTTCTCCATGAAAAGGAATAATGGGTTCTTCTCCAAATGTAATTTACTCGTTGTTTTCTCTATTGGGTAACATCATATATATTTATGGTGTAATTTTTGAAAAGTTATCATAATGTTGGATTTTCTTTACTAAAAATGGAATTTATCTTCGTTTTTTTGTTTGAAAAAAACATATAATATTGAAGGTCCCCACATTGCAACAAAAAAATATTGGCTTTAAAAAATAGAAGGGTTCATAGGTTGGGCATTTAGCATTTTATACTCTAAGAAAGAATAACACCTCTTGTTTCTTTCACAAGTGTCTTCTTCATTTTATCTTGGTCCAACTTGAAAGCTTGTAGAACATTGTATTATGCTTGCTTCTCACAAGTAAGACAATGTTATTACATTGGTTTTGAAGTATCATATAAACTATTCAACCTCCATTTATTTGTACCTTACAAAACCGAATTTCCAAATTCACATTTTAATCATATTTCATAACACATAATATACACAAATTTTCAACCTACTATCCCCCCCCTACAAACTAGTAGTACTATAAGCAATAATTGAAGACACAAAAGATGTGCATTTTCGTCTCAACACAACTCATTGTTACTATGATATTTAAGTTGTTGAATTTGCTTGTAGAGAAGACCCTATAAAATGTGATAATCTCGTTCCTAAACTTCCTCGGAGCTTGTAGTTAAGCTAACCACGTTAAATCAACGTCAATATTGTTGTTACAATGTCAATTTCTCTTAGCACTAAACGATTACATTCTGTCATATTTTTTCCATAGTTAAACAGACCGACGTAGATATTTCCACCCACTTCCATAGAAGATCGAAGAAGAAACAATCTTCGGTGAATTGGGTTCAAATCTTTGTGTCTCTCTTACTATATACTTGTCCCCCTTCTTTATTGCTCCTACTTTCCCATTTGCTACAACTCAAATTGGTACTTTGGTAAAGATAGAAGAAATTGACTTCCAACCCTATTCAAATTTGAGTTTGTATTGTAGCAACGTTGAAATTCACAAGTCTACAACTATATTGCTATGCAATTTTAGGGCAAGTGAGGTACATAGATATATTTGTGGGTTGCCACATTAGAAAGTTTGAGTTCAATGTTTTGCTTGATGTAGGGAATATCTACGGACAGGATCCTGGATGTGAGAAAGCTACTGGCCGTCCACGTCGAGACATGCCATTTAACCAACTTCTCCATCTCCCACGAGGTATACCCTTCAAAAACTGTACACTTTCCGGCCATTTATTGCTTCAACATGTATGTAAGTATATCATCAATGAAGTAGCTAGCCAGTATTTCGTTCAAGATGGGTTCGTCCGGAAAAAAAAATTTATTGGATACGTGTTTTCATACTCCGAAAAGATTACGAGTCGATCACTTGGTTTATAACCGGAAACCATCAATGCAGCAGAACAGTACTTCCATTCCTGGTCCACCCATCGGCCATCACCAGACGGGTTTGACCGTTTGGGTGGGGGTTAGTTTCTGAAAAATCTAACGCCATTGATTGGTTGCTATCGGTTTCTCATTTATGCGGTTCGTACAATACGGCCGATCCCCCTGTCGTTTTATTCCGTAGCAAACATCTACCTAACAGAGTTCCCCACAGCTCCATGTGTTGGCTGTTGGGTTTTTTTTTTTGGGATGGTCTCATAAATGGGCCCCGGCCCAAGCTTTACCATTTTGCTCGGGGTCAAATTGTTGAAATGGTCCCTGAAATTTCCGGGTAGCTGTGTCATCAATCTCGAAGGTTGATATAACTACAATAACAATCACCTTCTACGTCATCATCCATCTTCTGAATTTCTGCAGATTTTTCATTTAAAATTTTCATATGAGCACGCAAAATCGACTCTAATTATTTGACATAGCGAATACATATGAACTCATATTCTGTCCACATCAAAATGGTTACTAAACTTAATTAATTTCAACTTAATTACATACTCGCAAGCCAATATCGCGTTTCTCTCTATGTGCTCGAGCCGAGAATTAGTTAGAGGCTCCATGTATTGTCACTAATTTGGTCAATTTACGACATGTCGACATAAAGAAATCGAACGAAAAAAACTTGGGCAGATAAATGAGGTGTGTATATATTAGTCTCCAGTCATAAGAGGAATAAAATCATTATGTATACATCATTGTTGTACAACAATGGGGCCAAATGTTATCTCCAATATCCCCCAGCCATCTACCAAAATTCATTATGACGTTGGTTGTGGGTTTGTGACCTCAATTTTACTATTTTGTTTTTTTATAAATGCCAAAGTAGCACCTTTACATAAATTCAGGTATTATTTTGAAATTTGGCTCTGCTGCCTTTGTGTAATAAAAGCTCCACTATTAATCCCCTGCAGGTAAAGGGACCCAGGCTAAAAGATTCGGCGGATATCATCTCTCTCAAACCCTGCCACCTCACCATAGTTGAAGGTAAGTCACGAATCCAACGGCTGTTACCTCATCAGAGCGCAACATGTCCCACTACAGCCGCCTACAGCTGATCAAACCTCCCGCCTCAACCCCGCCATATTTTCCTCTTAACAAATATTTAAATTATTATTTCTTTATTAACTTTTCTTGCCGCTGCAGAGGAATACAGTGAAGAGCAGGCCGTATCTCACATCCGCCGGCTCCTCGACATCGTCGCCTGCACCACTTCCTTCGGCTCGTCGCCGATCAAGCCGGCCTCCGTCCGTGCGAATCCTAAGGACGCCGCCGGGAAGGATGTTAGCTCGACGGAATCGGAAGCGAGTCAGAGCGACGGCGGGGATGATGCCGGCGCCACCAAGTCCAAAGGCGGAGGAGATAAGAAGGCCGGCGCGGCGGTCAGCAGAAGCAAGAGCTTCGGAAAGGATGGCTGCACGGATCTGTCTCCCAAGGGAGATTCGGCTGCTGCTGCGGCTGCGATTAACATGTACCCGCCGCCGCGGCTAGGGCAGTTCTACGAGTTCTTCTCGTTCTCAAACCTAACGCCGCCGGTTCACTGTAGGTTTTCCGTCCTTTATCAGTTTGGAATTTTCTATTACAATGTCATGTAGTACTGGAATTTGAATGAAATTGAGTGTAAATGGAATTTCTGGAATTTTCGCAGACATTCGAAGATCTAATCGGCCGTTCCTCGAAGATAAAACGAACGATGATTTTTTCCAGATAGATGTGAGGTTTCTGGCGAGTTTTTGGTGTTTGATTCTGGATTTTGAACTACAGACATTGTAATCGGCATTACGGATTGAATTTTTGCAGGTTAGGGTTTGCAGTGGGAAACCAATGACAATTGTTGCTTCGAAGAAAGGGTTTTATCCATCCGGAAAGCGCATCCTTCTTTGCCATTCGCTGGTTAGCTTGCTACAACAGATTAGCAGGCCTTTCGATGCTGTAAGTTTCACTCAATTCCCCTAATGGCGTTTGCATTTTAGTGATGATGTTCTTATGCCATTTTTGTGGAGCTGGTGCAGGCTTACACAGCTCTTATGAAAGCTTTTACAGAACATAACAAGGTCAGGAATTGCATGCTTCTCTACGTACTTCTGTTCTGATTCTTGTCCGTATTCATCGTTATCTGAAGGTTGTTGTTGAATTGTTACTTGTTTTTTCATTTCAGTTTGGAAATCTTCCTTATGGTTTTCGAGCAAATACATGGGTTGTGCCACCAGTTGTTTCTGAAACCCCATCTGTTTTCCCCCCACTTCCAGTGGAAGATGAAAACTGGGGTGGAAATGGAGGCGGGCAAGGAAGGACTGGTAAACATGATCACAGGCCGTGGGCAAAGGACTTTGCCATTTTAGCTGCAATGCCTTGTAAAACTGCAGAAGAGAGACAGATCCGTGATAGGAAAGCCTTTCTGCTCCACAGTTTATTCGTCGATGTTTCTGTTCTCCGAGCTGTTAGGGCAATCAAGCAGATTATTGATACTAATCAGTGTTCTCTAAGTAAGACTGGCCTGTTTCCCCATGAGGAAAGAGTTGGGGATTTACTTATTAAGGTGACAAGAGATGACTCTGATGCAAGCACCAAGTTAGATCGTAAGAATGATGGTAGCCTGGTACTTGAACTGCCACGGGAAGACCTCGCGCGTCGAAATCTGCTTAAGGGCATTACTGCTGATGAAAGTGCAACTGTTCATGTGAGATTCTGACATTTCCCTTCAATTCTTCAATATATGAAGTTTAAAAAAGTTGAATTGGTTTCTGAAGCCTCATTTTTCTACTCCTGTAGGACGTTTCTACCCTCGGAGTTGTGATTATCCGACATTGTGGATACACAGCTGTTGTGAAAGTCTCGGGAGATGTGGACTGGAAGGGGAGTCCTATTCCTCAGGACATTGATATTGAAGACCAACCAGAAGGAGGTGCCAATGCCTTGAATGCCAATAGGTTAGTTTGACATGGCTCGTATACATTCAACAACAACATAAGCATCTTACATTCCTACTAATTCTATCTTCGATTTTTATTCAGCTTGAGAATGCTATTGCACAAGTCGCCAACATCTCAATCGCCGAATACGAGCCAGAGATTACAGAGTGGAGACGCTGAAAATGCGCGTTCTGCGAGGGCACTTGTCAGGAAGGTACTGGAGGAAAGTCTACAGAAGTTGCATGAAGAACCCAGTAAAAGTGTCAAGTCCATCAGATGGGAACTAGGCGCGTGCTGGGTTCAACACTTGCAAAATCAGGCCTCAGGTAAAACCGATCCTAAACAACCTGAAGAGAAAAAGCCTGAGCCTGCTGTGAAGGGACTGGGAAAGCAAGGCGCTCTGCTGAAGGACATAAAGAAAAAACTAGATGTAAAAAATGGTAAAACAGAAGAGGGAAAAGATATTTCTTTAACTGAGACTATGAAGAAATCGGATGGCACGGATCAGAAAGAAGAGGAGAAGAAGAAACTTGAAGATATGGAGGTCATTTGGAAAAGATTGATTCCTGAAGCTGCATATCTGCGGCTTAAAGAATCTGAAACTGGTCTTCATCTAAAGGTTTGCTTCCAAAACTTTAAGTGGAATGCTCATCTGCTTAGAGCTTCCTTTTACATCAATATTGTTTTCAAGTTGACATCTGATAGTTTTTTTGTTGTTATTGCAGTCGCCTGAGGAGTTGATTGAAATGGCACATAAATACTATGCAGATACCGCTCTTCCGAAACTGGTCAGTCATTCAACCACTCAGATTTCCTTGACCCTGCTAAAAGTTTCCTAAAACTAACTTGCATATGGACGTACAACTATCTTAGGTAGCAGATTTTGGCTCCCTCGAGCTGTCTCCGGTTGATGGAAGAACATTGACAGATTTTATGCATACAAGGGGTTTACAGATGTGTTCTTTGGGGCGTGTGGTAAATTTCTCTGCTATACCATCTCTGAAAGCTCTTTCGAAAGTGAAGTACTTTAGCTTCAGTTTGGTATCATCTTGTTAATGAGTTTCCTGTATTCTAGGTTGAGCTTGCAGACAAACTCCCCCATGTGCAATCACTCTGTATACATGAAATGATTGTTCGAGCCCACAAGCACATATTGCAAGCTGTTGTTGCTGTGGTAAACGACGCTTCTGAGCTGACTGCATCGATTGCAGCATGCTTGAATATATTGTTGGGAACTCCTCTACCTGAAACAGAGGATGCAGAGATTGTTGAGGATGATAAGTTAAAGTGGAAATGGGTGGAAACCTTCCTTTCCAAGAGATTTGGGTGGCAGTTGAAGCACGAAAGCTGCCAAGATCTCAGAAAATTCGCAATTCTTCGTGGACTTTCCCATAAAGTAATTGCTCATGCCACTCTATAGATATTCCTCTGATACCTTAGAGCTACATTCTTACCAAATCATTGGATCATTATGTTTGCAGGTTGGGCTTGAGCTCCTTCCCCGGGACTACGAGGTGGATACTGCATCTCCTTTTAGGAAGTCTGATATCATAAGTATGATCCCTGTCTATAAGGTAAGGTGACAGCCTCCGGAAACTGGGATGTGAAGTTTAGCTATTAGCTCATTATCTTAACTTGGTTGTGTTCATGTTCCGCAGCATGTTGCATGCTCGTCAGCAGATGGACGGACATTATTGGAATCATCCAAAACTTCCTTGGATAAGGGGAAGCTGGAAGATGCTGTTAATTATGGCACCAAGGTGGGGATTATTGGCTTCTCTCTTTACCTATATCACTCCGTGCCTCTTGCTGAATCAAATTTTTAGTGGACTGTGTGAACTGATATGGTTGTTCATATGTTTAAAGGCACTCTCAAAGCTGGTTTCAGTCTGTGGCCCTTATCATCGGATGACTGCTGGAGCGTACAGTTTGCTTGCTGTAGTTCTTTACCATACTGGTGATTTTAATCAGGTACAACATCTCAGACAGTTTCAGGCATCTCTGCCATTGCTAATCAATAAGTTCTTGTATGTTCCTGAACCTAATCTTCTGACGACACTGGGGCCGATTCAACTGCTTTTCTCGGGGGGATATTATTATACTTGCTTGCTACTCAAACTAACTCATTTGAGTTGTCCAGGCAACCATTTACCAGCAGAAGGCATTGGACATTAATGAAAGGGAGCTTGGACTTGACCATCCTGATACTATGAAAAGCTACGGGGATCTAGCCGTCTTCTACTATCGTCTTCAACACACAGAATTAGCATTGAAGTATGTCCCCTTTGTTCCCTTCCTTAAAAATTCCCAAGAAACTTTGTTAGTTTCATTCACTTCATGCTTCTGATGTAAACACTTGAACAACACTTGCTATTATTTTGCACCTATCATTGATTGTTTGCACTTACTCTTCCAGGTACGTCAACCGGGCACTCTATCTCTTGCACTTAACGTGTGGACCATCTCACCCCAACACAGCTGCCACATATATCAACGTGGCGATGATGGAAGAAGGATTGGGAAACGTTCATGTTGCTCTTAGGTATCTTCACGAGGCTCTGAAGTGTAACCAGAGGCTACTTGGGGCTGACCATATTCAGGTAACACTTCTCTCTCTGTTGCAATGTAAATGTGAACAGAGCGGTATTGATTAAACGCCCTGACTTATGTCTCACCTTTCTTACAGACTGCTGCCAGCTACCATGCCATTGCAATCGCTCTTTCATTGATGGAAGCTTATTCCTTGAGCGTCCAGCATGAGCAGACTACGCTACAAATCCTGCAGTCGAAACTTGGGTCTGAGGATTTACGCACTCAGGTCGTGCTAAGTTCAGAGAAATCATCTTTTTTCCTTTTCATGTAGCAGCACAGATACAATCTTAAGCCACTGATCAGTACTCATATTAGTCTATGATGCCATTTTTCTACAGGATGCTGCAGCCTGGCTCGAGTATTTCGAATCCAAGGCTCTCGAGCAGCAAGAAGCTGCGCGTAATGGCACTCCCAAGCCTGATGCCTCCATCTCCAGTAAAGGCCACTTGAGGTAAAGGAGTGTTCCTCAAAGAACTGGGAGTTACCTCTACCCTTCACCATCCATTAGTAAAGTGTTCTTCAGAGAACTAAAGCAATCACCCGTTCCTCATTTTTCCGGTACTGGACCAGTGTGTCGGACCTTTTGGATTACATAACTCCAGACGCAGATCTAAAAGCAAGAGAGGCCCAGAAGAAAGCACGCGCAAAGGTAGTGGAAATATTCACTCTCCATTCCATCATTCCTACCACCTTCAGAATCTTTCCCATTTTCTGAAATTTCAACTCACGTCCATATTCCTTATCAGCAGATTAAAGGAAAACCAGGCCAGAATGGGGAACCGGGCGTTTCAGAAGAATACCAGAAGGACGAGGAAACACCACCCCCAACTTCCCACGTCGAGGATAACTCCAGCGACAAGGAGAACAAATCCGTGGCCCAGTTCGATGCTCCACGAGACGAGAAAAAGCCCGATCAGAACCAGTCCCAGTCGATATCGATCAAGACCGACGTAGTCATTGTTACTACCCAGGAGGAGGACTCCGACGAAGGGTGGCAGGAAGCCGTCCCCAAAGGCCGCTCCCCTGCTAACCGAAAACCTTCTGCTCCAGGTGGCGGTTCGAGGAGGCCGAGCCTTGCGAAGCTCAACACCAACTTCATGAACAATGCCTCTTCCCAGTCGAGATTCCGCGGAGGGAAGCCGAGCCCGAACGACTCTGCTTCTCCTGCTTCCGCTGCTGCGGCAGTTGCTGTTCCCGCCAAGAAGTTCGTTAAGAGCGCGAGTTTCAGCCCGAAAGTCAACCAAGCCGTTGGTGGACAGGAGAAAGTTGCGGGAAATCCCAAATCTGCCCCTGTGACTCCAGCTACTAACGACGTAGTTTTGAGACAACCGGTTTCGGCGGGAAGCCAGATCAGCGTTCAAGCAGCTGGGAAGCTCTTCTCTTACAAAGAAGTTGCTCTGGCTCCTCCAGGGACGATCGTGAAGGCGGTGGCCGAACAGGTTCAGGTTCTGCCACCCCCGAAGGAGGGGACTCGTTCGAGAGAACCGAGTCCCGAAATCTCCGCTACTCCTACTACCGATTCCTCGAGTTCAAAAAATGGAGAGGAAGGAACAAAGCCACCACCACCACAAACAGAACAATCAGCCGAGACTAAGGAAGCAGAAACAAAGCCTGCTGAAGAAGTAGCAGTAGTAGCCGAAACTCGAGCTTCTGCCACCGCCGACGAAGTTGGGATTCAGGAATCAGGAAATGCAGTTGAGGAAGAAGTGTCATCGACCAATGTGGGATTGCCCCAATCCGCTGCTGCACCCGATGAAGTGGCAGCCGTTGCTGCTGAGCAGCAAGAAGCAGAGGAGATTCTTCAACCAGGGGAGAAACAGAGTGAAGCCGAGAATGGAAAGGAAGGAACGAAGAAGCTATCAGCAGCTGCACCCCCGTTCAATCCATCTCAGATTCCGACGACAGCAGCGATCATTCCGACTTTCGGCTCTGTCGGGGTTCCGGCGTTTAAGGACCACGGTGGGATTCTGCCTCCGCCGGTCAACATCCCTCCGATGCTCTCGGTCAACCCGGTAGCGGTACGGAGGTCTCCTCACCAGTCGTCGGCTACGGCGAGGGTGCCATATGGTCCCAGGCTGGCCGGTGGGTACAACAGGTCCGGAGGGAACAATCGGGTCCCAAGAAACAACAAACATTTCCACACTGCCGGTGAAAATGTCCCCGCCGGTGACGGGAATCAGTTGAGCCCTCCAAGGATTATGAACCCACATGCTGCTGAGTTCATTCCTGGCCAAACTTGGCTCCCCAACGGCTACCCGGCCGGCTCCCCCAACGGTTACCTGGCTGCTCCTCCGACAATGACCAACGGGTTCCCTGTTTCTCCGACCGGCATTCCTCTGTCCCCCAACGGATACCCGGTGGCTCCGATGAACGGGTTCCAGGAGTCTCCTCCTGTTAGTCCCGTCGAAGCCACTGCCACCGCCGAAAACAACCAAACTGAAACCGCCGCGGAGAAGAGCGGCGGAGTTGAGAGTTCATCTCCAGAAGAAGCAGAAGTAGAGAATCAGCAAGATGATGATCACAATGAGGTGGTGGCTGAGAGTGCCTCCACAGAGGAAGGAGAACAGTTGGCTGATTCAGTATCCGTTCCTGCTGATAAAGTGGCGAATCCGATCGTCGAGGAGAAACAGGGCAAGTCGTGGGCGGATTACAGTGACAGTGAAGCCGAGGCTGTCGTGGACGTTTCGTGTTGAAGGGAAGATCGACATCTGAATTCGGAACAACAGGAAACGAAACCCTTGATCCATTTTGTAGATTGTAAGGTTGATATGCCTTAGAGAATGAAGGAGAGAAGAACTGAAGAAGGGTGTACAGTAATCACGACGCTGTGAGAGGGGATTTTTTCAAACAGGAAAATGCATTTGCCGGTCAGGGAAGAGAAACAAAGCCTAGAATAGCAGCATTGGCGAAGATGGACGACGAGCATTTCGCCGCCGGCCACAGAGAATCGCCGGTATCGTTTTATTTGCAGCTTTCCGACATTTGTTCGTTCGTTTTGTTTTTGTTCGTCTTTCGTCTTATATTCTTCCTTCATTGCTGAAGAAACCTTTTTTTTTTATCGGATGATGGCACATGAAGGTACTCAGTAATAAATCGAATCAATAATTCTATTTATCTCTTACAAGTTCAATGCAATGTACCTAGGAATGATAATTTTGATGTGATAGTTAACTTTCGATGAGTATCGATCGGATTAGAGCATCGTCTCTAAATAAATTTACCCGATACAATCCTCAACTAGTGGTGTATGAGTATGAATATTAAGGTACGACGTAGCTTGTCTCTACTAAATCATTATTCCTAGCTCTTGCTATTACTTCTATGACACTGAATTTTTCGTGATAGTATTGGAGCGGAGTATTGTCTCTAGATCAAATTATCTTTGATATGGTCCTTATCTAGCATTGAACGAGTATGAATATTAAGATACGAAACTCGCCCAACGAGATTGTAATTCCTAGCTCTACTACAATTATTTCTACAATTGAGCTGAAGCGTCAGAGATAACATTACAAATAAATCTTTTCTAGTACAAACAATCACAGCCGTTACAGACAAACAACAATTGACCGCCAAAACGTTTCCCCTCTCTCTCTCAACACGAAGGCGTCCCCTGCCGGAAATGCATGATGATGAGCGTCGCAAGGCTGTGAGCCACGGCAGCCATAACCACAAACACATGGAAGATCTGGTGGCTCTGCCCGGCAATGTCGAACACACCAGGCCACCACCGCTCCGGTATCCTCCCGACGTAGAACCCTGCTCCGGCGGCATACAGAACCGCCATGATCACCTCGAGCATGACCGAGATGAACACGTGCGGGTGGCCCCAGTGGATGGACACGGCATGGACGGCGGGGACGATTCCGGAGAAGCCCATGACGAGGAACAAGGTGGCCCGGAACCTGCGGTACTCGGGGGCCGAGAGCTGGGGAGAGAGCAGGGTGATGATGGCCATCACGCCGACGATGGTGATGGTGGTGAGGTAGACGAAGCGGGAGATCGGGTTGCAGTGGAAGATGTAGTAGATGGGTGCGTAGAAGGAGGAGACGATCATGATGGAGATTCCGGCGTAGTCGAGCCGCCAGAAGAAGAGGTTGAAGGTCTTGGAGTGGCAGGCGAGGAGGTGGGAGAGTGAGCTGCAGATTAGGCAGGTCATTGCTCCGGCTAGGTAGACGAACCACGGCCATTGTGCGATGGGCTCCGATCCGGCTTCCAGCTCTGATATTCGCCGGAGTTGTTGGTCCTGCAAAAAGAGGTACAACAGGTTATTGAAATCAGAGTATGGAGCAAAAAGAAGGGGGAGAGTTGTGAACTATTTAGTGCAGATTGAACTGTGACATCTCTAAGAACTTTCCTTCAGCTACCAAGACACCTAAGTGGTAAGGTAGGAGATTCAGCTATACTTTCGAGATTACAATTACGAGAAAAAAAACTAATAAGACTGTATGTCCGAATTCTCTAATCTCGTGAGTTTGCGGAGTATTCATTATTTGTAAAGGTCTATGAAGTAATTCATCCACTGACGTCTAGAAAGTTTGGAACTTTTCTTTAAGGAAAACAGAGTATGGAGCAAAAAGAAGGGGGAAAGTTGTGAACTTTTCAGTGCAGATAGAAATGGGACATCTGTAAGAACTTTCCTTCAATTACCAAGACAACTAAGTGGTAAAGTACGAGAATCGGCTATATACGTTAGAGTTTACAAAACAACTAATAAGACTGCATGCCCGAATCCCCTAGTCTCGTGAATTTGCGAGTAGTCATCTAGAAAGTTTGAAACTTTTCTTTGAGGGATCACATAAAACAAGGGAAGTTTGCATCCCCATTACTATTTACCATCTAGAAGACCTTTCAGCGACCTTAAAGGGTCAAAAGGGAAGAAGAAATATCTCCTTCAATAGATTCTGCAGACAATTTCTTTGGGTAGAAAACAACCCAAAAGACAAAAGGATTGATTGAGGTACCAAACAGAGAGTACAATTAGAGAAAGGGAAAAGTCATGAGGAAAGTATTGGCACCATTTCCTACTAAAAAGTAAAAACAAACAGTACTGTAGCCAGCAGACATCATAATTCACATGGCGTTTGGGTTGAGATTGGAAAAGGGGGAGTCATCACTCATCACATGGTTCGTTCCCCACACTCTCTTGAAACCCTTTATACCTTTTTAGTCACACAGAATATCCCCTCTTTGATCATTTCCTTATACTATTGATTTCCAAATTCAAATTCAATCAGTGTAAGACTATCAAACTTTCTACTTCACTGATCGTCTTCTTCGTGGCTATCGACGGAGCTATACTGCCTAATCGCTCACTCTTATAGACTTGTATGGAAAAGGGGGGAAGAAATGAACTTACAGGAACCAAGCTGTTATCAGAGACGTTGAAATCACTGCCATTGTTCATTATCAGTGCCATCAACGGTCCAGAAGCTTGACCACTGCGATCAAACAGTTGCGATATAGAAAACTCGTAATCGATAATCGAAGTCTAAAATGGCGTCAGCAGAAATGAAATTCAGCGGCCGTACCTCGACAAATCGGTGAGAAATCCTCCGATCTCGTCTAATTTCCCCAAGCAGCTCATCACCGTCAGTCCAGCAAAGATCAGAAATCCTCCCAAATGCCTACAAGGTAGAGCAACCAAAAGGAAAATCCACAATTCCACGAAATCAAAACCCTACCATTTCTCCTAATCAGGAAACTGAACAATTTCAAAAAAAAAAAAAAATCGCGATCGATTTTCCGATTCCGTACGTACGTCCAGATGTTTAGGGTTTCGTTGTGCCAGGAGAAGACGCTCCACAGCGCGTCCCGGAGCGGCCACTCCGACCGGTAATGGTCGAGGATGAACTCGTTGTCTTTCAAAAACTCCGGCAGGTCCTTGAATTTCACCAGCCTCCTCTCGAACCTCTCCTTCTCCTTCCTCCTCCGATCTCCTCCGCCACCGCCGCAGCATGAGAACGAAGTAGTAATCACTTCCTCTTCCTCCTCCTCCACCATCGCCGCCGCGTTCGTCTTCCTCCGTACGCCGCCGCTCATTTCCCTGACGAGAGGAAACAAATGAGTACTCCGTTCTCCGGCGAGTGACGCGGCCGTGGATCCGATCGGGAAAGCTTCCCCTCTACTTTCGCTCTCTCTTTCTCTCTGTTTTTAGCTTCTTCTTCGTTTTTTGCTGCTTTACCATTTTTCTGGTTTCCTGTTTCGAGGGATTTATAACGAACCGGCAGGATTTAGCCGCGTGACTTGTTTGAAAAAAAAGAGGATCGGATCATAACCCGACCCGCCACGTTACGCGCGGTGATTGGCTGGTGCAGGTTTAGGAACTTGGTCCCGGCCGCACGTGATTGGTACTTCTTCCCCGGGGAATTTTTATTTTATTTTTGGCTTAACTGCTTCTCTGTAATTTGGTTGGGAAAATTAAATGTGTAGGGTTGGCCGGTTTGGGGAGATATATGCATTAAATTAGGTGACCCCAAAATTGATGATTTATGGGACTCTTTTCTTATCACAAAACTTTTATGGTTTCCTCTAGTTTGCAATTTGAGAGTTAGTTAGCTGGAGAAGGAATCAATATTATTATCGGTAAAAAAGTGGCATTTTTCTGGGAAGGAAGAGCGTCAAACTGCGTCCTAATACATTACAGTATAGCATGAAGAATTAGCTCGTGAATGGCATATACTAAGCTATAGTAGCAGGCTGACTGTACCATAGTTGTGATTCGGTTCAATCGCACAATCAACTGCTACTATCCGATAATTAAGTACAAGCATAGTTAAATGGTACACATGTTTCTCGTCAGAATCCATGCAAAAATTAGTGTTCTGGCGATAGATAATGAAAAGTGTGGATGTATTTTATTAGTTAGCCGTGATGATAACGATTATGAAAGATACATGGGGGCTTAAATGTGAAATGGAAATATGATGCAAAGATTGTCTTTTTGGTACCGTAAGGTAACCCCATGCATGATTAGGTAGAAAGGCATTGCAATAATTATGCATGGGACAACTAGATTTACTTAATCTAGTGTTATAAAGGCATAATCATTGTTTCATCCAAATATTATTACATGTGTCCCAATTTAGACAACCATTTTTTTCATCCAAAAGTGCAAACGTATACCTTAGCTTACTTCCAAGCATATTCATTGAATGCCTTAGGAAACACACATAGAACACTGTATCGTTGATATCCCAAAATGCATGCCGGTAGATGTGCCCAACAGACGCGCGCGAGTAAGGTTAAACACAAGTTCGATCGATCATATCAGCATGTTACAGTTTGATCATGACGTGCATCAATCGGGTTTGGGGTTGGTTAGGATACATATCAATCACAAAATGGATTAGACTGAGTCACGATTAACAATGATTGAATTTATCATGACATGAGTTAATTGGATTTTGGTTTGGTTACTATACATATCAATAAGATGGTGTGAATCAATGGGAACCCAAGTTGTGCGGTTGAATTTGGCAGGTTTGGTCATGCAAAAACCAAACTGGCATTTATTGAGTCGGCCACTAAAAAGAGTCAATGTTCTATCTATTCAATGTGAATTAATTGATGTAGTGTTTAAGACAATTGAATGGCAGACGTGGGGATGAAGCTATCTAGCTAGCTGTTGGAAGCTCACCTACTTGAGTAGGGAACAAGTTAGGTAAGTTTAATTCGATGCATATAGTACACTTGAAGAAGGTTTTAGCTAATTACGTGCACATCTCAAGCTAAATGTTTGGTTACCAATTGGACACGATTTTGCTACCAAATTAGCAAAGAAGTTCGTCTACCATTAGTGGATACACTAACCCAAATTTAAGTTTTGTTAAAAGGGAAGGAAGGACTATTCTAATTGGTGTTTAGCTAAAAATGCAAAACGTAGTTGTGGGTGTTAGGGGAAATCACACACTCCATGCATGTGTTGGGCTAGTGGAGATGACCTAATGGGAAAGAATTAATGAATGGTTGAGTCTCTGGTGTATGTGTAATTTGTTGGATTTCGAACAGTCGAGTAATAGTCCGTTGAACAGACTTCGATGGTGATTTTAAAATGGATGATAGGCACAATCAGGTAGGGGAAGGGGAAAAGGGTGATGTGAACCGTTATAGGTTGGTTTCGTAACACCATGAAACCGATTCTTTGATGCTCTAACATAAGCAATACATTCATCCAAAGATGGTAAATATGTTTTTTTTTATAAATTTCAAACCGCATCTAGCTGTCATTTTCATTTTTCCTAACACTTGGTATTTATGACGAGCAAACTCATAATTAGTTCACAAGCAAATACTTTAGTGAATACACAATATAGTTAGTTTCAAGATCTTTCTTGAATATGCTTATCATCTCTTCTTCGATTGTATACAAAAAAAAAATATATATATATATATATATATATATATAAATAAGTACGATATCAGAAGATTCATTATGATAAAAATGTATGCAGTTTAGTAGTCTTTATCGATCGAAAAGTTATGGAGGATTCCACACTCATGCAAATTTTGTTTGTGACTTACTTAAGGTGGCAATGTGAATTCCATGGCATGCATGTGCAAAATGTCAAAATCATAACCTAATAATAACTACCAATGTGTATTCGTCCAAAAACATTTTTGTGATTGGATGTTGAACTTGACTGATAGCGACAAAGAAAGCCAATTATCTGGATATGGATCCATCTCAAAATACAAAAATGGGCCATATAACGCAACTAGTTGGTCATGAATTTGGATAGGGTCAATACTCACATTAGTGGGCTACCCAGAGATGCCAGTACTGGACCTAGCCTTAGTTATGGAGCTAATAGAGCCCAATTCCAAACCAATTGAAGCCCATAGCAAACTGCTTAAAATAGTAACTACTATGCGATAAAGATCAAACTTCGATAGTCTAATCAAAATTTTCAGATTTTTATCATTGGTCCAGTAGTTGTTAGTAATATGTTGACGATTTTAATGTGGCCGATTCCAATCTGACAGAATTTTCATTCTACGCTATTTTTCAAACTTCGATAGTCTGATAAAAAATTTTTGGTTTGATCATTAGTCCAGTAGTTGCTAGTAATATGATGTCCATTTTAATGTGGCCGATTCGAATTTCACAGACACAGAATTTTCATTCTACGTATTTTCTTATTTAATGTAAAAATAATGTAGATGTTATATATTAATAGATTTGAGTGAACTACTATTACTCTTACACGATGAGAATTTTCTTGCAATCATACCATATATTATAATCACTTAATTACATGTTGTTGTTGCAGCATTGATGTGTAAGTGCCATATTAGGATATGCTTGATTTTATTAAAACCTCACATAGAATGTGTCGCACTCAATTATAAGAGTGCAAAATATTTGTCCTGTTCAAGCATACGGAGATGGTTTGGCCTGCAAATCTCAATACATGGAATTGAAAGGCAATTTTGTATCATTAATCACTTTGTATGGTATGTTGAAGATAAATTGATAATCCTCTGGGTGTGGTTTGTCTATATCTCGTCTTCCAATTCTATCTCTTTTCTCTAACGATCAGAACCGTTAAAGTTCTTAATTTTCCCTCCTATAGATAGCTCAAAAGAAACAAAAGATATAACATACAAAAGTAATAGGCCTATAACATCTCTATGCTATTCATTTTCTTGCTAACTATCGTTGCAAACGGCCAAACATAATGTCTTATCGAGTACTCTTTCATGTTGCGAGAGATGCAGTCCTTAGGTGAGATTGATTGTCGTGAAAGGATGGTGCAATGTGGTGTGGTTCGACACGAGCAAGCTAAGTGGTACGACCGAGGAAGGAAGAGGCACAAAAAATTGCAGAGATTTTTTTTTTTTTTTTGTAGAAGAGAAGTGCAAAGTTTCGATGCATTGTGCCAATGACAACAAGCCAATACGAAGTAAAAAAATACACATAAATAAAATTATCTAGCCATTAATAATTATCATGAAACTATGGATCTTGAATTTATTATTATGTGCATTCCTCTTGTTTTGACAGCTTTTGTACCCTTTCCATAATTCACAGACCTCGTTTTTGGATCTGTAAAAAAAAAAAGGAATAGTGAAAACAAAACAAAAACGTCACTTTTTTTATCTGTCGCAATTAAGTCGCAAACTGTCAACAAATCAAAGTTACCGGTTTTCATAACATTATTATGAAAACAACTTAAATAAAGAAATTTTCCAAGAAAATAAGACGAAGAAAAAGAAGTTTTTTGCAATAACTGGATTTGTCTTCAATGATATACTTCTTTCTCACAAATGTCCGGCCAACATGTACACGGCCAAGGTACGGTTTATTCTCGTTGCTCATTTGTTTTTTTTTTCACTCTGTATATATAGTTATGAGGTTACAAAATTCTCCATTGGTATGCATGATTTCTCTCATTTCGTAATTAGTTTTATTTTATAAGAGAACGATATGCAATTTACTTTATATAAAATATGTTATTGAATAGATATAACGTGCTTTTTTCTTCTACACAGTTTCATTGCTTATCTAATGTCATTTTTCTTTGTTGGTTCTTTGTTTTTCTGTGATTTTGGGTTCACATAACTTGTTGTAAAATGACCTTCTTGTTTGTGACATATTAGGAAGGCTCGAACCGCTTTTATTTTTTGAGATCGTGTCACATCTCTAGTAAAGACATCTACTAGTACGTTTTATGATGAAACCGAGAGACTTTATATCCCTCTTCCACCCTCGCTCCTATTTCTCGGCCTAAGGACTCGCCGCCCACTCACACATTTCTTTCTATCGTTTTTCTAACTTATCATTTCACTACAATTCTCTCAAAGGGCATTTTTCATATAGTTCTTACTAATCCCATTTGAGAGTTTGCAATGACAGAGCAAACAATATCATTGGTTTCTTCTTGATTTGAAGTTGTAACAAATTCCCCCTCGGAAGCACTCCAGTTTGCCACTAACGAAAGGGTTCCTACGATTATGTTTATACTAAACTGAAAACCACTTCCAGAGCCTTGAATACTGAATTGATCATACTAGATTACTTGGTTCGAGTCTAATTGTGACGAGTCAACAAACATACGCACTTGTCTCAAAGAGAAACACGAAACACGCATATCCTTTCAGTAAACAAAATTTGAGAAACAACACTTTTCTAAACAAACATGGAGAGAGAGCATGAGACGATGAACATAGATAATGCTAACCACATTATTGTTGAAATATGATTTATTATATGCTAAAATACGAGTTCTTCAAAATGAAAATTGCATAAACTTAAACATAGAAAATGAAACTACTCAAGTGGGTGGTCGAAGAAAAAACACACATACCTTCGTCACATCTCAACCGATCATATATTAGAATCGCAATCTTTGAATCAACTTGTTGACATCACTCTTACATTTTATCATCAAAATCAAAACAACTATTACAAACCCACGGCTCATCATCCTGTGTTGGGTAAATTGATAATTGAGAAATGTATGCTCCAAAAGCTGTAGCTAAAAGTCTCAACATACATATTTGAAAAAATTAATGACAATTTAAGTAATTTTTAAAAAAATTTCCGGCTGGAGGTAATTAATGTACAAGCCTAGTTATCGACGCTTCTTTGATCTTAAAACTTTGTCCCTAATCAGATTTTGTCTCCACTCTCTACTGTCCCATAATAATTAATAATATTACAGGGAAAACTTCAAAATTAAAATAAAATAATTCAACAATAACCAAATATTAAAACCTGGCAATGCCATTACAGCAAAGAAGGCATAATAATTAAATAAATACAGAATTAAAAGGGGCAATCACACAAGGCAGATAAAATTTCATTTCTTTATAATTAGACTGTAGCAAAATAATTAAATGAAATGGTTAACTGTTTAATCCAACCAATAAAACGATCACGTATAATCGGGTGCACATAAACAAGTACGTGCCGACGCGGGAGATAAGACGACAAGCCGCGTGAGGACGGCGACGTCGTCGCTAAAACTGTTATAATCGTATTTCCTTATTCCTTTTCTTTTCTATTAATTATGGATGAATTAATGTTTAATTCGTTCTGTTAAACCGCCGGCAACCCCTTTCACAATCACAATTATTATATAGATAATTTTAATTTCATTGTATATAATAAGAATAGACTTAATCTGAATATTATTTTTTAATTTTTTAATTTTTTTCTTTGATTTCCTTGCCAACCCAACAAAAAAAATTCAACCTTATTCTAGCTTTGCTTTCCTTATATAAGCCATTGGGCATTGGGAGAACCATCAATATTCAGTCTTCTAATAACTCTAATTCTTTTTAGTTTGATCACTTCAGTCCTCGCAATATCGGTTACGAAAAAACAAAGTGCAAAATTTCCACTCTTTTCTCGCTCGAAAGGCCGACGCCAAATGGGGAAACAGAGGGCCAATAGCAACGGGAGCATTAGCAACGGGAATCCTGATCAGCAACTAGGTCTCACCAAGGCTCCTTCATCGGCTTCCATCAATGGCGGGGTGACGAAGGTGAAGAGGACGAGGAGGACCGTGCCACGAGACTCCCCGCCCCAGCGTAGCTCCATCTATCGCGGCGTCACCAGGTGGGTTTGGGAGGAGTTTCGAGCTGGAGTTTCAAGAGGATCGGTCTCGTAGTTTCTTTGTAATTTGTTACATAACAGAATGAGATGAAGATTTGAAATCGTGACCTTTCTTCGTGTATTTTTTTTTCTTTTGTTGGTTTAGGCATCGATGGACTGGTCGGTATGAAGCTCATTTGTGGGACAAGAACTGCTGGAACGAGACACAGAACAAGAAAGGGCGTCAAGGTTAGCATTACTATACATACTTGTATGTTTTCCTTCTCCCTGGCCATTAACTGGGCAATCTGACATCTTATGATCAATTGGGTCATGTTTCCAGTCTATCTAGGTGCTTATGATGATGAAGAAGCTGCTGCTCATGCCTATGACTTGGCTGCACTCAAGTATTGGGGTCCAGAAACGATCCTTAACTTTCCGGTACAAAACTCTTCATCTCCATCTGTACAACTTCCTCGTCAATTTTTTTCCACGAAAAAAGCGTTGAGTTTGGTTCATTTGGTTCGGTTTGTAGTTGGCTACGTATGAGAAGGAGATCAAGGACATGGAGGGGCAGTCGAGAGAAGAGTACATTGGATCGCTCAGAAGGTACAAAAGTGTTCTCGAGATGGTTTCTTTCTGTATTCGCATCCATTGCTTTCGATCGAAATTCGATTTTTTTTTAAATGACGATGATAAGGGGACTGAAGCTAATTCAGGACTTCATTACTTGCCAGAAAAAGCAGCGGGTTCTCTCGTGGGGTTTCGAAGTACAGAGGGGTTGCAAGGTATACTGAAATGAACATGACTTCACCATTTGATGATCATCTTGTTATGTGAAATCCCAAGTTTGTATTGGAGTTAATTTGGAGTTTTGGTTGTTTGGTTATGTTAATAGGCATCACCATAATGGAAGGTGGGAAGCCAGGATCGGCAGAGTGTTTGGCAACAAGTACCTCTACCTTGGGACCTATGGTAAAAAATCGATGCTACCTTCCTCTATTTCCCAAACGACCCCTTACAAAAGAGAATCAGAAAATTAATTAATCATCTATCAACTTCCCTTAAAAAAAAAAAGCTTTCAACTTGTGAGGAGATAATTCCAAAGAGTAAACTCAACACGATGGTGACATTTTTTGCCATGTCCTATTCTATTGTTATTTCATAGAAATGAAGCATACAAGTGTGCTTCCTCGGCCTCCTCACTTCTTATCTGACCTTCTAACACGAGACTTTTCGATTATGTTTTTTTTTCTTGAACCGAGCCCACTGAATAAGATAATTATCTTTTGTATTCTTTTTGTTCGTATATAATGAAACCCCAACATTGTAATTTCTCCATCAGCAGTGAAAAGCTCGACGAGTTAGTTGTTTTCGAGTATGAGTAATTATTTAGATAAAAAATTGCACCTGATTTATGAAATTTGTTTAATTAGATTTCCTGGTTGTTGGCCAATTGGAGGTAAAAAGGAAGCTTCTATTGTTTTGTGCTTTGAACTCTAAGTATTTAAGATGTAGCCATTTGTCCAAAAACCATGGTATTAATTAGGTTTGTCAATAAGTATAATTAGATAAGGGTGATATATGTTACTTTATTTTTGTTATTAGGTACTACTGAAGGGACTCGAACCTGGGACCTCCAGGTTCATGGCTAGTGGTATTACCACTAGACCAATCCCTTGTTCGTTGTCAATAAGTATAATTAAGACTGTTGTGAATTGGACTATATTATACTAAATCCTTATTAATGACTTTGCCTAACTGATTTTGAGATTGGGACAAGTAGATACAGTCATAGTGGAGGTTTAGTAGGGAGGTTGGGCAACTTCTAACTAATTATTGATTATTTTATATAAACATATCTCAATGTCACATTAATTAGCTTTAGAATTGTTCCTCCAAAACCTGATCTGATCATCTATATAAAAAAGATTTTGCTTGATGATGACTTCCAAATGGATTTTGGTTGATTGTTTGGTATTGGAATGAGTTGTTTGGTGAAAGTAATGGGTTCAACTGTTTGAGAGGGACTAAACCCTAAAATTTAAATACATTGACGGGCTGAATACAAACTTCATATAAACCAATGTGTATTTACATGCATATGAAGATTATAGTTATTTTAGTGCATCGACTAGTTATAAAATCGTTAAACCTATAACGAGAGTGATTTGGAGTCGAGAAATCTTAAATTATATATATAGTGTTACTATTCCACATGCTCCAATCTCAAACTAAAGTTTGCTCACTGAATATGACAATATCATAAGTCAAATGTACAACCGTTCAGCCATAAAAAAAATAGACATGTGAAAATCACTTGGGTCCCAAAACTTTGTATGAAATTGGTCCATATAACTATATTTTCAAGTCATTATTGTACTTACTAGTTACCACTAAGCACAATTACTGTTTAATTACTTGGACTAATCTTCACTTTATGTTTGTCCATGACAGCTACTCAAGAAGAAGCTGCTACGGCATACGATATGGCGGCAATAGAGTATAGAGGCCTCAATGCCGTCACTAATTTTGACCTTAGCCGTTACATTAAATGGCTAAAACCTAAACAAAACGGGACCGAAGGTACCGACCTCAACCATCCTAACCCTAACCCTAGGATGCCAACCTCACCCACCAACCCTAGCCACGAGCTCGGGCTCAACTTCTTCCAGACCACCCAACCACCGCAACCGAACTACCAACCCACACGGGCCAGTATCGAACCAACCGCTGCTAATGCAGCTACCACTCTGGTCCAACCTAGTAGACCGACCAACACCACGTCCGCGCTGGGGCTCCTACTCCAATCCTCCAAGTTCAAGGAAATGATGGAGATGACATCAGCAACAGACCATCATCAGAATCACTACTCCCCGACGGTTCCCACGATGAGCCTCGAGCTCGAGGCTCCACAATGCAGCTTCCCGGAGGACATCCAGACTTACTTCGGGTCCCAGGACTCGAGCAGTTATGGCGAAGAAGGCAGCCATGACATGATCTTCGGTGACATCAACTCGTTCGTCCCACCGATGTTCCATTGCGATTTCAGTGCATAAAATATCGTTTGACGAACGGTTGATGATAAGCCCGAGACCATGTCTGTTTTATCAGATGTCCCAGTCCCACAAGGGGCAGCCTGACAATGCCAGAACGATGACATTTGGAATGAATCAAATTCAATCCACATCAATTTCGAGTAGGTTTTCAAAAATTATTTTTACTTACTAATTAGTCACAAATTAATTGGTTAATTAGGATTTCTTTTGTGAATAGGAGACTGTAATAGACGGTCTCTAGACCCTCCTAGTTTGTGAAGGGTGAAGAGTTAGAAGATTATCATACATTTATCCTAGCTAATGCTCTAGGCTATGATTAACCAAACTACAGAAACTATAAACCATTTATATCTGTCGAGATTATTTAGTTGATTTATTTGTGGATCAAAACAATATGATGGAGAAAAAGGAGAATCCATTTATAGGGTTCACTCTCTCTTTTATTAATTCATTGTAGCCCTTTTTTTATAGAATAATGTATAAGATGTAATATCTGCTTTTGCTTCGGAAAATCAATAAAAAGTGGGGTGATTTCTCTCCAACCTATCTTTTTTTTTCATTTTTTCATTATGTTTTGTAGTTCCTTAACTATCAAAAGGGGGAAAATACGAGAAAGATAAGGGTGAACATGAAGAAATTTGAATGTGAATTTCAATGAAAAGAGATGTATTTAACATAAGTTAGTTAGTGGACTCGATACTCAAAGATGCATATAAAATATTATTTGAAATTGCATGATAGATATACTTGATCTAGGCTCATTCTCAACAGATCAAACTATTATTTGAAATTAAATTGACAACCCAAAGATGCATATAAAATATTGTTAATGTGGTTGCCTATACAATTCCAATTACCTTGTGAAATTTGATGCCATGGGCCGTCCAATCTCGTATATTTCTTCCTTCATGTCTATGAAGAAAAACAAAAAAACAGCAGAGAGAATTTGTTGTAGTATCACAAGGAATTGAAAACTCTTGTACTCTACATAAAAAATCAATAATGGTATAATAAAGTTAAGTTGCAAAGGTGGGTTTAAATTCTGATTAGCTACTCTTTTGTTTCTAACTAGTAACACGTATTGTGGCGAGTGCAATCGAGATTGCTCGATCTGAATTCTCGTAGTTCACCGACATACTTATAAAGGCAGTAATTCGGACTTATCGTTGGTGACCCACTAAGAAATTTTTCTAAGAATTATGAACGGTGAGATGGGTGGCTCCTCTCTTGTTTTGAAGTCCTATATATATTCATTTGGCACTTAGGGGCCTTTACAATTATCATAGTTGGAATCAATTTTGTCCTAGTTTACTACAAAAGGAATATATAGTTAGCTAGCTAACAAATACTTATGCATATATGCCTAACCTAAGTTTATTCCTAGGGGGAACCATTTGAATATAAATAAGATTGATCCTTTAGGCCAAACTCTTTTGGTCTTAATAAAGCTTTGCAAGAACCAAAAGTTTAAGGTGGTGAAAATGGGAGCCAAAAATGATGATCATGACGATAATCGATATCAAGAAGAGCAATCGGCTAGACTATTTGTGCATGACTTGTCCAAGATTGTTCTTCCACCTTTGGGTGTTTCAACCCAAAACCATGATCCATGGAGATCTAGAGGTTGGATCATTTCTCCCCTCAATTCAAAATACAGGTACTTAAAATTTTCATTTCCATTATTTTTCTTCCCTTGTCGTTCGAGTCTGGCTTGTGACAAGCGATAGTACTATACGCACGTACACGATTTCTCGTTTTGATGTTCAATCGAGCTTAGTGAAACTCAAACTCACAACTCTTCATCCCAATTCCAAAATGTTGATTCCAGATGTTGGGAGACATTCATGGTGATACTGGTAGCCTACTCGGTCTGGTTTTACCCGTTCGAGCTCGCATTCTTAGCTCCTTCTCATCACAGGGGACTCTACCTGGTGGATGTTGTAACCGACTTGTTCTTCGCCGCCGACATCCTTCTGACCTTCTTCGTTGCTTACATCGACTCCAAGACTAATATGATTGTTTACGACTCGAGAAGGATCGCGAATAGGTATGTAATATCCATCGAGCTTGATCTCAATAACGGATCATATTGTGATGGATATGAAAAGATAGATTAACTAACTAATTATGCTATCACTCTCATTAATTATAGGTACCTATCAACATGGTTTGTCATGGATGTGGCATCCACCATCCCTTACCAGGCCTTGTACCTCTTGTTCACGGGCAGGCAACAAGTATGGTCGTGTTATTCGCTTCTAGGGTTGTTCAGGTTTTGGCGATTGGTCCGAGTTGAAGAACTCTTCAAAAGGTAAATAATATTAATAACCAAAACAATTGGTTTTAGTTAAGAAATTAAAATAATTTGCTTTGGTTTCTTTTTGGCAGGCTTGAGAAGAACATCAAGTTCAACTATTTCGCAGTCCGGTGCTTTAGACTATCTTGTGTGAGTAATTTTTTTTTTATTTAAGAAAAATCCAAAAAATGGTTTCATTTCGTGAAAAAATATATAATTTTTGTAGTGTAGGTGGACTACTAATTAGGTGCTGAACTCACAATTGTTTGTACCAAAATGATGAACCTTAATTTCAACCTACAAATTACAGTTTGGTATCATAATCTTGACGATCTCTTGAATCGAAAGTTGAAAGATTCATATAATCAAATTTTGTTACGTACCTACCTAGCTGCTCGTCAAACAAATTATGTATTTTGATGGCAAGTCGACGGATAGTCGGATACAATATCAAATGTCTTGAATACATAGCACAATATCTGTTAAAGTACAGTGATGTTGAAGTATATACTTTGTATAGTTGAAATAAAAAGCATCAAATATATCCAACGATATTAGCAGGTGCATAGCCAATTAGCCATGAGCACCTTAACCGATTTAAATTTTGTTCAGGTGGCATTGTTTTCGGCACATTGCGCGGCGTGCCTCTTCTTCCTGCTGGCCGAGGAGAACCACGGCGGCAAGACCTGGATCGACGACTTCGCCAAATACGGCGACGAGACCAACATCTGGCTGCGCTACACCGTCGCCGTGTACTGGTCCGCCACCACCATGACCACCGTCGGGTACGGCGACCTCCGGGCGGAGAACACCCGGGAGCGGATCTTCATCACCGGATACATGCTCTTCAACCTCGGCCTGACCGCCTACCTCATCGGCAACATGACCGATCTCGTCGTCGAGAGCGCCCGCCGCACCATGGAGTACGTAAGTATATAAAATCACCGTTAGTAAATACTCCGTCATGACTGTACGTATTTATCTGTTTAAAACTTCCATATCCGTATTATTGTCAAAGTTGTTTCATTTTCTCCTGTTTATTTGATGATTCTTGTACTAAACATGCATTAAACCCGTACAACATGTTTAGTATTCGTATTTAATAAATTTAATGGCTAATTTAACTTTTATTTTTATATTAATTTATTTTTAAAATAATAAAAGTTTATATATTTTATAACGGTTAACGTACTATTAAACCTACAATTTGTTTAAAAGCAAAGTAAAATACTTATATGTATTTTATACATAATTTACCCATATTTTACTATGTATAAAAATTCCAAAGTGGTCGCTAATGATGAAGGTGATTAAAGTGGTGGCTAAAATGTTTGTGGTTGCTAATGATGATACAGAGGAAAAGCATCGAAGTGGCGTCGACTTTTGTGAACAGAAACTGCTTGCCCCGGCGGCTGGAAGAGCAAGTTTTGGCGTACATGTCGTTGAGATTCCAGGCCGAGAGGATGAATCAGCAGCGTTTCATCGAAGAGCTTCCGAAATCGATTCGGAGGAGGGTTTGCCGGCATTTGTTCTTGCCGGCGGTACAACAGGTGTATCTTTTCAAGGATGTCTCCATCGGAACCCTAACGTCACTAGTAAGTTTCTCAATTATACTTATGATAAGAACCATACTACGCAAGCACGTATATGCTGGTTAAAAGTAGCGATTGATAAATCGTATCGTACCGATGGTTCAACCAAACAGACTTTGTATCAGAGGCTAAATCGGTAGGCGGTATTTAGCCGTACGAAACGGTTGAACCAACAGTTTTAGAATAAAATACCTTACCTTTGACTTTTCCAGTACAACCTCCGATACGGGATTGCAATCTTTAGCTAAAAAGCACATATTTATAGTAGAGACTAAATGATACGAATAAGAGTATGGTCCGGTGATAATATCACTAGTTTTGAATTCGGTAACGACTAACTATAAAAGTCAAAAAAAATACGTTGACTAAATGTTGTTACATGTACTATGAAATGTTTAGGTTTCGAAGTTGAGGGCAGAGTACATGCCGCCACGAGAAGAGGTCATCTTGCGGAAGGAAGGGCCAGACGAAGTGTACATTATCGTCTCCGGAGAAGTCGAGATCGTGAGTAGTACTACTACCGGCGGCGAGTCCCGGCTCGACGGAGAGTTGATCCGGTCGCTCGAAAGCTTAAGCAGCGGCGACATGTTTGGGGAAGCCGCCGCGCTTTGTTGCACACCTCAGAGGTTCACTTTCAGGACCAAAGTGTTGTCGCAACTGTTGAGGCTCAAAACGGCGATGCTTTTGGAGGCCATGCGGATCAATCACCACGATTCCGTCACCATAATTAACAACTTCCTCCGAGTAAGTATAACTATCTATATCTCCTACTCAGCTAATCCAGTGTGATAATGATGGTAAGAAAGTTGTTAAGTATCGGGGTTAATTGCACCGGGTGCCACTTAACTCTTGTAATTGTTGCACGTTAACCACTTAACGTAATTTCGTTGCAACTAAACCATGTAAGTTGTATTATGGGTGCACCGTCATCACTTTCGTCATTAGACGTAACGGCAGGTATCAATACGGTAATTTGCTATGCCACACAAGCGTACATGTCAGCATATTTGCTGAGTCATTTGCGGGCCTCACCAAAACCCTGGGGCCCACCTATTTTGGTCGAAATATTTGAGCAAGTTTAACCCGCGACTTCTCGTATTCTTTCACTTTCTTCTCTGCAAAAATTTTTACACTGAAGAGGAAAACCATTCCTCTTCAGAGAACCCGAATTAGCAAAGGCGATCGTGATGCATAAAGCAAACCAGTTCAGCAAGGAGATTGTGAGAATAAATGAGAATAATCGCACCATTGACGGACGGAAAATAGGAACGACAAGAGAAAAGAGCCGCAACAGAATAACCGCACCATTGATTCCGACGATGGTGAATGAAATCCGAATGCTCAAAATTTCGGCGGGCTAAGTAACATTCAGCTCTTCCCGAGAACCGTCTTCAGTGGACCTCGCCTCTTGGTGTTTGGCTTTTGTTTCCGATTCAGCGTTGACTCCGGCCCCTGCAACTTCGATTTTTTCATTCGTCCTCTGATTCTATATTCTGTTTACTTTTAGTGATGTTGCTAGGGATTTGAAACGAGCATCTAACGAAGATAGGTTGTTCATGTATCAGAGTAGGTGAGGTTGTTATGGATTCTTTAGAAGATGAAGTGATGCTCTGTTCTTCATAAGAACTCTGTGTTTATTATTGTTGGGTTCCATAGCCAGTTTGTCCAAGGTTTTAAAATCCAAATAATTGTTTTGCCAGGTTGGTTATATCACTATTGTTCTAATTACATGAGAATCTCCGGGTACAGGGCAGCTGCAATTGAAACCCAGGAGCAGATTAAAGGTTTCAATGGAAGAGGGAATGTAGGTTTGGGGAAGGACTGTTTAGGGGAAGAAGAGAGATTGATGTTTCGGGGAAGAAGAGAGAATGAGTAGGAAAAGTTTCTAGGTTTTTGGGAAGAAGTGAGAATCTGTTTTTTGGGTTAGTTTTGAAGAAGATAAAGCAGGAGGAACGTCCAAAATAGGTGGGCCCGCAAATGATTCAGCAAATATGCTGACATGTACGCTTGCGTGACATGACAAATTACCGTATCGGTACCTGCCGTTACGTCTAATGACGAAAGTGGTGACGGTGCACCCATAATACGACTTACATGGTTTAGTTGCAACAAAATTACATTAAGTGGTTAACGTGCAACAATTATAAGAGGTAAGTGGCACCCGGTGCAATTAACCCTTAAGTATCGTATACGGAACTTTCCCAATAACATGATCATGATTTGTCATTGATGTCACGTGTTGAAGTTCTCACGATCCTAATATTAACCGTTATCTTAAATCATATTATGGTATAGTTGGGTCTGTGCAAAATTCAAACTCATGAGTTTGGTTTTTGTTTGAGATGGTGTATAAAGAAGTGGTTAAAGTAACATAAATGGACCTATCTCACGAAGTTGAGTTATTGGGACAAGTACTGGTATATGACAATGATAGCCAATAGAGCGTTTTGTCTGTTTCGGTTTAGTTTGGTTTTACTTTTTAGGATAATTTCCCCCCTAATTGTTTGCTTGTCTAGATAATATTAATATTAGGCAACAGTTATTCTTGAAAACATATTTGTTGATTGATCAACTAATTAAGATGGTGGATCCACTACTTATCTCCATTTGTAGCATTACAAAGTGTCCTCCAAGATTATGGAAAACGACAACATGGTTCCATTTCACGACGATGAATTCGACGAGGAAGAGACGAAGATGACAGTGAACTCTTACAGCTTGTTGTCTTTAGCGAGACTTGGCAATGCGTTTTTCATCGAAGAGTTGCTCAAGGAAGGGTTGGATCCTAACATCGGAGATTCCAAAGGCAAAACTCCATTGGTATGTTAAATAAATTGATAAAGTCATTAATTAACAAAAGGAACATTAATCTACATTAATTATTGACCTAATTTGTTAATGTGACAGCACATAGCAGCATCAAAAGGGCACAAAGAGTGCGTGTTAGTGCTCCTTAGATACGGCGGTAATGTACACTTGAGAGGTAAAAACGACATTATATTATAATCGATTTATTTGTGCGTTGAGTAAGATTGTTAAACACTTAAGATACACTAACAAACGATTCAGAATGACTTCGTGAAACATCCAAACACGATCTATCATTAGTAACAACTCATGCGCCCTAAAAACAATTGACCCGGTCCTTTATGAATCGAGCAATTTGCTTACCATATGACACACTACTATAAAAGGCTATGATCACCATTTATTTTCTTGGTTGCAAAATATCTCCTTATATGGTGACTATTGCCAACAAATTAGTGTACATTGCAGTCATGAAATAGTAACCTAGATTTAGCGACCATGTTTAAGTAATTATGATTAGCGACCACTTATTTTAGTTGCAATAGATAATTTTGGTTAGCAATGATGATTTAATACGATATTTTGCTCAGATGTGGACGGAAATACAGCTTTATGGGAGGCAATATCATCGAACCACAACCTGATATTCGGGATTCTGCTCAGTCACGTCAACATTAACTCCAACGAAATCCAAACCATCCAGGGCGATCTTCTATGCTCAGCTGCAGAACAAAACAATCTCAGAGTCATGAGAGAGCTCGTGAGAGTGCACGGATTCAACGTTCACTCGAAGAATCGACGTGGGAATTTAGCTCTTGGACTGGCCATGGAGAGGAATCACGCCGAGATGGTGCATTTTCTTGTGGCGAATGGCAAATTACAAGCTGCAAGTACTCGATTCGATCGGAGTTCGTTGCTCGGGGATTATGATTGCTGTTTGAGAGTGAACATCTTCATGGGTCATCCTGATTTTTTCAGAAGAGAGGATGATGGTGATGGTGATGGAGGAAAAAGCAAGAGGTTTGGGAAGTTGATCAAGTTGCCAAGTTCACTGGAGGAGCTCAAAAGCATTGCAGGTATACATGAGAAAAACAAATGAACAGCAGCAATCGATCTCTATTAGTTTTGTAATCTTTGATTCGATCAACTAACTTTGATCTGAAATTTGTTCTTTTTTTTTTTTTTACAGGTGATAAGTTTGGGGTTGATACAAGTAATGCTACAATAACAAATGAGATTGGAGGAGAGATTGATTGTCTTTTGCTTGTTAGGGATAACGATAAGCTCTTTATAGTTGATCGGCAAACTGTAAATACTTAGTAGTGAGTTGCAAGCCATTGATCTATATACTGATATAAAAACCGCAAAGCTGCCACAGATTGGAAAAAGGGAAAACAGAGGAAGAACAGGGGAAACTGGAAAGGCAGAGGCAGAGGGTTCCACAAAAGTTAAAAAAAAAACATGCAGATTGGAGAAGACGAATTTTGGGAAGAAACAACTGTGCGAATCGCCTAATTGCAATTGGGCGACAGTGAAACGCAGAATCCTCGTTCATGATTGTCGGTCGCCGCGGGCTAGCAACGCCGCCGGCGATCGGAAGATAGGAATCCGAAACGATTTTCTTTTCCCCTCTCATTTGCAGGTATCAATATATCGTTATAAAGTCAGCATATTACTCAAATAACACCATATACCGTCATATCGTGATATATCGACAATTTCAAGTTATCAACAATTTATCGCGTTTCGATTGTGGTTTTGAGAATTCGAGACGTTTCGCATTTATCCATTTTTTTCGTCCCCCTTTCATCGTGTTTGCTTGCGTTTCCGAATTTCCTCAACCATTCGCCTCTTTTTATCGTTACGACGTTGAAGGTGGTGAGTTTGGAGCAAGGTTGTTGACCCTCGGGTCGATCGCACGGTTGACTCATTTTGACACTAAATCAGTAAGAAAAATGGGCCACACACAGGGCGGATACATGGACCTCTAGGAGTGTCCCGGGACACCCCTAAAATTTGGGAAAACGATTATCCAACCTTCGGTAATAATTTCGTATGGGTATACAAAATATAATTGGTGATTCGGGACACCCTAACATTTGAAAAAATGATTATCCTATCCTCGATAATAGTTTGCTTATGATTAACAAAATATAAGTGGTAGTCCGTGTTATTCCAACATAGGACACTACTATTATCAAACATATTCTAATTATGTTGCTACTCATTTTTTATTCTATTTTAAACATCATGCAACAGTAAAACGCTATTTCTTTATCCCCAACTATTTTCAATACCTAATAATTAAACTACGTACACGCTACCCTTAATTTTGAATTGATTTTATGGTTACACGGCAATGTTGAGAGAGTCTTTTCTACTTTGAGCTACATTAAGAACAAGTTTAGAAATCGAATATGTGATAAGTTCGTGAAGTATTGTCTAGTAGGATATGTAGATTTTTTTTTAGCAGTGCATACACGGAGTTTATTTTATATTATTTTTTCAAGATATGAAAACACATCATGAATTTTAATAAAAAAATTTATACACGTATGATATTTTTAATATATGAATTATTTAATTTATTATTTAATTAAATTTAATTTTTGAAGAGGACACTCCTGTGAAAATTTTCTGAATCCGCCACTGCACACACTTCCGCGAGTTGACCCGCTGCAAGGGCTACCTGGTTGGAGATCACACGGGACAGGTTACGGTGATTACTATAAATTAGTAATCATTGTGGTTACTAAGGGCAGATTGGGTATGACAAAAAATATATTAATTACCTTTTTTAATAAATTACATTTTAGGAAATTACAAAATTATATTAACTATAATTTTCTCTCTCTTTCTCTCACTTCCACAATCTTCAGCCAGATGCCTCTTCCTTCTTTTTCTCAATCTTTCCATTGATTTCGTTCTGTCGAACTAATACCGCTGCAACAATAAAACAATACCAATCCATTACAAAACACTACCATTGTACAAAACACCAATACCATTCGAGAAATGAAAACACTACCATTTCACAAAAACACCAATACCAATGCGACAAAAACAATACCAATGCGACAAAAATAATACCATTGCGACAAAATCAATACCAATGCGATAAAAACAATACCATTCAAACAAAAATAATACCAATGCTACAAAAACAATACCATTGCGACAATAATAATACCATTGCGATAAAATCAATACCAATACGATAAAAATAATACCATTGCGATAAAAATAATACCAATGCGATAAAATCAATACCAAAGCGACAAAATCAATACCAAAACAAAACAATACCCAAAAAAAATATACATATACCAATCCCCCAAAAATACATACCAATCCCCAACTGGCACAAGCAGGCGTGCGGAAGGTTGGCCTGAGCAAATATAGAGAGAGGGGATCAGGAGGTTTGGAGAGAGAGGGAGGGGGAAGGCTGGCCTAGGCCGGAGCATATTGCCGGCATCACCATCTAACCCCTCCACCGCCATCTGTGAGAGAGAGAGGTTGCCCGCAAAGGTGAGGAGGGTAGCCGGAGGGAGGGTGGCAGCCGGCAGTGGGAGGGTAGGATAGGTGTTGACGGCGATATAGAATAGGGTTGTAGTAGGTTTAGGTATAATATATAAAAATTAATTTTTTAAAGGATAGAAATCAGGTGTGGTATTTTTTTTATTCTCAAAATTACCCTTAATCTAATCTTCGCCGTCAATTTAAAATTAGAATAAAATGTAAATAATGAAGGGTCTAGATTTTAGTAGCCATGGTGATTACTCAATTTTGAGTAATCATCCTAACGCGTCCCATCGACATGTTTTTTCTTTGTCTAGTTCTATTTTTGTAATTATAAGTTGAATATATGAATACTTATGTTATATGATATTTGATATAGTTTATACATGTATGAACAATACAATGACTTTTTTTTATATCCGGCTAAACAAGATTAAAGCGGTTGGCTCATTAATCTCAATCCACTTGCTCGACCGGACCAAGGGCTAATCCAGTTTCATAACCTTGGCCCGGAAAATGCGGAAAAGAAAGTTGGCCTAGCCCGTTAATCTTTTGAAGACAAGCCAAGTGGGCTGGAGGATTAAGGCCCAAATGCGTTCCCGCTTCTCAAAGGGCCGACCTCTGTTTCCTATCTGGCTATCTCGGCTCCGACTGTTCCATCCCCACAAAACCTCACCGTCCTCACCCGCCGGCTATCTGAAAAACTGTTCCACCACATTTTCCCGCCAATTCCTCTGCTCCCGGAAAATCCTTTCAATCAATGACGTACCTCGGCCATGCCTGGTTCACTCGATCTCGCTGATTTTCTCTGAAGAATCTTCGTCCTTCTCCAGCTCCTCCTGATGGCGAATTGGAAGAGTAACTGCCAGGTCGAAGCAGAAGTCAGTCCCGACGGTTCAGTTAGGGTTTCTTCGCGGCGGTGCTGTGGTGGCTCGTCCGAAACGAGGCAGAAATACGACGGCGGTTGCGAAGTGTTGGAAGATTATGTTAAGTCGATTTGGTCCAGACGACGATGGAATTGGATGCATCGACATCTCAATGCTGCGTTCCGTTTATCGGCGGAGGAACGAGGATGGTGATTCTGATTTCTTTTCGTTTCTCGCCTGTGTTGGAGGTTTCTCCTTGGTTCATCGTGTTCCGAAGTAGAGGTGCGTTGAGCTCCTTCTTGTTTGTGGTCAGGAGTCCCCGAAGTTAATTGGTTACAATAGTCAACTGTTGAGGACCGTCCATTAAAACTAATTTTCTTCTCTTGCAGTCCTGCGGGCGAATAATTGTCATTCAAGGATGTTAAAATTCATTTAGCTCGAGCAATGCGCTGGAGGAACCGAGGAACCCACATGGTCTGGTAGCTAAATAAGAATGTCAATATTCTTCTTTACTTCTCTTGTGACTCTTGCCATTAGTCCTTGCATCTACTCTGCTGCATAGTTGTCTGCCGATAGGTATTATCATTCACCGTTGCAAGGACATTGCAAGCTGTGTATAGTAGGCTTGATGAAAGCAAAAATTGCAACCACCCTTTCTCTCTAGTCTCTAGTGGGTCCGGACTCTAAAGTCAACTGCTGAGTTTTTAACTAGTTGTTACTTATTAGTGCTCAAGGTGTGTGCAGGCGAGCTCTCTTCATCTATTTCTAAACCAAACTGCCGCAGCCTGAAATATTGAGAGCTTTTGACATCTAGGAGATTTGGTTTCTCGATGGTACGATTTTTGGCAAGTTCTCATACATTTAATTCATAGTGGTGTTTTCCGATATGTGGAGATTTTGTTCATTGTAAGCTCTAAGCTTCACTCATTTATTTGTAGGGGGATATGGATCAGCAGATCTGGTCATTATTTCGGGTGCCCGCTTTACTTTTCTTCTCCTTGGGCAGAGCAATTGTCCGTGAGGAAGATTTTCAATATCCTTGGAAACGTAGCAGGATATGGTCCAAGGAGGATGCCTTGGACATGCTGACAGATGAAAAGGTACTGCTTAAGTTGCTCATATTCTTGGAAATGTTTTAAATAGTTCAACACATGCAACTGTGTTTTCTTTTTCTGATGATTTTCAACTGTGATTTCATTTTAACAGGGGTGTGACAGGTTGGAGGTTCTTACCGTTGACATGGATGGTGAGAATTTTGAGCTCAGGAAGAAGGAATTTCAGAAATTGTCAGGGTTACGGTATCTCCAAGTGTGCTCTGGAAGGTTGAGTGGAGATTTCGAAAAGATTCTACCAAATCTGCGCTGGCTCCGACTTCATGAATGCAGTTCAATCCCTATTGATTTCAACGTCAAGAAATTGGTAATTCTGGATCTGATGAGTTGCCCTGTAAGAGATGATTGGAGAAGCTGGAACAGCATCAAGGTTATCAATTTTCCTACTCCATTTATCTTTTTGACGATAAATTTATGCTTGTATTATATGATATCAGTGGCAATGGGCGCGAATGGTCAAAATGGTTGAATTTCGAGATTTCAATGAGATTTTCAGTTGCTGATTACTTCCATAATTAATGAGTCAATCCATTTCTAACAATCTACTTCATAAAATCACACCTTCAAACGTTCCAACTCGATCTTTTCTCAAATAAATCTATGTTAACATCGCATCTGGTTTAACTATTATCCTTATCACATATTTTGTTATTGGTGTGTTTACATATGCCAGGGGGCCCACAGACTGAGAGCTGTAGATCTATCGTTCTGCGACGAGGTGAGAAAACTTCCGGATTTGTCCCATTGTAGAAGTCTAGAACGGATCAGTTTTGAATGTTGTTCAGAGATGGGCGGGGAACTTCACTTTGGCAATTTCGAGAATCTGACAGTGCTAAACCTCTCTGAGACTAAGATTACAAAGTTACTAGGTGACATAGGAAGGCTTCAGAATCTGCAAACGATCACGGTAGATAATTCGCGGTTGAGAGAACTTTCTGCTAGCATTGGTGAACTTTCCTCGCTCAAGATCTTGCACCTAACAGGACTTGAGCTAGAAGTACCAGAACTACCCACAAGTTTAAAGCGGCTATCCCTCTCATCACCTAGGGTTCCCAATCTTTTGGAGCTCAAGGACTTGGAGAAGCTATGGTTAAGTTGTGATACACTTGAGATTCCTTGGGACTTGTTCAAGCTGTCGAACTTGAAGGATCTGTCGTTAATGCAGGCTGGGAATGGTGGATGCCCTTGTTCTTCACCATGAATCAATTGAACCCAACAGCCAGAGTCGTTATTCTCAGGAACCTGGTATGAGAACCCTTATTTCTTCTTCACCTACCCTTCCATCATCTCTAAGCACCCTATCGATTTGCGGTTGTCAGCCTTTGGAGAGACTGCCAAACCTTGCGAATCTAAGTAACTTGATGACATTATATTTGAGTCATATTGGGGTGTGCGAGATCCCCGACCTGGGAGAGTTGAGAATGCTCGAGAAGTTCCACTTAATGGACGCTTCAAATCTGATCAATCTCGATGGTCTCGCACATCTAGAGCTTCTGGAGGAACTGAGTGTGAATGGTTGTGATGTACTGAGAAAACTACCCAGCCTCTCAAATTTGACCAAGTTACGGGAGCTCAAGATCATTGATTGCCCATTCCTCTCTGAGATCCAAGGGCTTGGTGAACTGGAGGATTTATCGTTTCTACTGATCAAGGGATGTAATCAGCTGACTGGGGTAACGGGGCTTGATAAATTGGAGTCATTGCAACAATTGATGATTACAGATTGTGCGGTGATTAAGAAGCTGCCTGTTCTATCTGCTTTAAAGCACTCGTGGAAGTTGAGAATTACGGGTGCAATGGCCGACTGAAGTTTCGGGGACTGAGAGATCGGAGTGCTTACATAGTATCCAGGGTTGTGAGCCTTTGGACAGACTGCCGAACTTTGCCAATCTTAGTAGTTTGATGATATTAGTCATTAGATTTGAAGTATATTGGGGTACATGAGATAGCCCGTCGGGGAGAGCTGAGGATGGTGGAGAAGTTCCTCTTAAGGAATGCTTCAAAATCTAATTAATCTCGATGCCCTAGAACATCTAGAGCTCCTGGATTGCATGGAGTAAGAAGCAGATCCCAATTTGTCCCAATGTTAAAAAATTCAGAGTTGATGGATCTTCTGTGTTGTGAGAAGATGAGCCGGGAATTGAATATTGGCAATTTGAAGAATCTGAAAGTGCTTAATGTCGGTTGGACTTGAGTAAGTAAGTTCGTAGGTGACATTGTATTGTTTCAAAATCTCCGAGAGATTGATGCAGGTGATTCGAAATTGAGCGCATTGCCTTTTGGTATTTGCAGATTATCGTCCCTGGAAATCTTGGAACTGCAATCACGCTGGGATTTGAATAGAGTCCCTGCAATTCCCCGGAGTTTAAAGTGGCTAACCCTCTCGTGTCCCTGTCCCTCTAATGTTTTGGAGTTCAAGGACCTTGAGGAGCTATGCTTTAAGAACTGTCATTGGCCTGAACTTCCAGGGGATATGTGGATATTAGGGGATGCATACTTTTGACTGAAGTTTCTGAAATTGAGAGATTGGAGTCGTCACTCGTGCTGAACAAATTAGTTCAAGATCTTCGGCAAGTTATTATGAAGCGATAGATCCATTGATGGTCTGCCGGAGCTTCCATTTCTCTGGTGCCTTCACTGCAATGCTTTTTCTTTCCTACGGTAAGTTAGTTAACCACCTTCTTAATGGTCTTGAGCTGTCTTGACAAGTAGCCCTGCCTGAATTTACTGGCTTCCTTTCTGTAAATTTTCTCATGTTACATGCATTGCTGCATTTGTCAAAGTACTCCCTGAATGGTTTGATTTCTTATCTAGCTTTGCGGAGATACTTATCCTCTGGGACAGCTTGGGAGCAAAGCAATGGTGATCGCCGTATTCTGATCTAGCAATCAGGGATGGATCCTTTCCTCCTATGTCTCTCCTTCAATGCTCGTTCGGTTCATCTGTGCTTCTAGAACCACCTTGTTACTTGTGCCGCAAGGGGACTGACTCTGACTGCGAAGATTGCATCAAATGGAGGGCAAGTACTTGGAGGCCCAGGCCCACTCAACCGTGGACAGTATTGAGCTTCCTTTTGGCCCAAAGATCTGTCCAGAAAGAGATCCAACTCCTGTGAGGAACAAAATTGAACCGACGGAGATTCGTGTCGCCGGCGGTCGGGTCCGCTACAAGGTAGAGCCTCGAATTGCTAAATCTTTATCTATATTGTTTGAGCGCCTTCTTGGAAAAATGTTCCCCAAAGTCAACTCTCAAAAGTCTTCGCAGCCTTTGCTATATTCCTCCTTGAGTCCTCTCGAATTCATCTGTCTTCCAAATCAGTTAGCTAAGGCCTTCTGCTCTACTGATAATGGAGCAAATCGGGTCAAACTCAAATCATATCGCTGCTCCTCTTCCAGATGCAGAGTACGAAGTTTTCCTGAGCTTTAGAGGTCCTGACGTCCGCACGACTTTTGCTGATTTCCTCTATAGACTCCTGGATCGTCCCAAGATAAGGACCTTTCTCGACGATGAAGAGCTTCGCAAGGGGGAGAAGATTGCCCCTTCTCTCGTCAAGGCAATCAGGGAATCCAAAATATACATCCCGATTCTTTCCCCGGGCTATGCATCTAGCAAATGGTGCCTCCAGGAGCTAGCTCTGATGGTGGAACGTTACAAGGAAGATGAAGGTCGTCACGTCATACTGCCCGTTTTCTATTTGATGAACCCGAAAGATGTGCGGCATTGCAAGGGTCCCTATGAGGGAGCATTGGAACAACTTCGATTGAAATATGGTGACGAATCCATTAGGGCCTGGAAGGATGCTCTCGAAGAGGTAGGCCTAATGACTGGATGGCGCGTGACTGAGTCGGATAGGTAATGCAATATCTCTGTGTTTTCAATTCATAGACTTGGCTGCATGTGTTTGGTTGATATTGAATACTACATGTAAAAAATACCGGTGTATCTGCAGCTGACATACAAACTTGTGTTCAATTTTCAGACAGGGACTGGTGGCAGAAAGTGTTTTCTCGGAGGTGTGGTCACATGTAAAGGGGAACTACATGTTAGTGACAAATGAGTTGATTGGAATTGATTCTCATGTAAACCAAGTGACGGAATTGCTGAAATCAGATTTTGAAGGCGGCGCTAGTGTTGTTGGCATTCATGGTATGGGTGGTATCGGTAAGACCACTATCGCCAAGGCCGTTTATAACAAGGTCTTTACACAATTCGAGCGTCACTGTTTTCTGGAAGATGTCCGAGAAACACTATCGTTGAAGAATGACGGCGTTACAACTTTGCAGAGTAAGATTATTTCTAGCATTCTATGGGATGATCACAAGGTTAGAAATGCCAGTGAAGGAATCCACATTATAAAAGATAGAGTATGTCCCTACAAGGTTCTGATTATTCTCGATGATGTGAATGATCGGTTTTTGTTTGAGCAAATCTTAGGTGAAGTAAGAAAATTTTCCCCTGAAAGTAGATTTATCATCACGACAAGAGATAAAAGGGTACTAGAGCTGTTACAAGTATCTAAGCTCTATGAACCTGGAGGGTTGAGTCATGACCATTCCCTTCAACTTCTAAGGCAACATGCATTTAGAATGGATAACCCCCTTGAAGATAGGACAACCCTGTGTGAGGAGTTTGTAAAAGTTGCAGCAGGCCTTCCTTTGGCTCTTGAAGTTATAGGGTCGCTTTTGTTTCGTAGAGATAGAAAATTCTGGGAAGCGAAGTTGATAGAACTAAAGAGAATTCCTCCTACCAAGGTGCAGGAGAGATTGAAAATAAGCTACGATGAGTTAAGTGGTAGTGAAAAACAAATTTTTCTGGACATTGCTTGTGTTTTTATAGGAACAAAGAAGGAATTGCCTTTCCATATGTGGAGTGATTGTAATTTTAATCCAGAAAGTGGAATCAGCACTCTTATTTTGAGGTCCTTGGTAAAGGTGGGTGAGGATGATAAATTTTGGATGCATGACCATGTAAGAGACCTTGGGAGAATGATTGTTCGTGAAGGAGATGATCAACATCCTTGGAAGCGCACTCGAATATGGTCCGACGAGGATGTAGTGGACATGTTTATGAATGGAGAGGTACTATGTTTCTAGTGCTCCATTTCCTTCTCTGGCGCATACAAGATTTCCTACATAAATTTGATAAGCGACACTTTTAGCTATTGAACCAAAATGTTTTATAAATTTTCTGTCCATGAATGTTTCTATATAAGCATGCTACAAAGTTCTTAACTATTTAGGGACAATACTACATGTCATTTAGCATATTATTAAGTTCGTGATTTTAAAATTCATAAGATTAGTGGTTCTTCCATTTGATATTCTTAGAGTTTTGTGGTTATGATTACATTTTAGCAGGGAACCGACATGTTGGAAGTTCTTAGAGTTGACATCAGTTGTTTGGATTTTGAGCTCACTGAGAAAGAATTTCGTAAATTGTCAAGGTTAAGGTATCTCGAAGTGTACTCTGGAAGGTTGACTGGAGATTTCAAGAATATTCTTCCGAATCTACGTTGGCTGCATCTTCATTATTGTGATTCCATCCCTATCGATTTCAATGTAAAGAAATTGGTAATTCTGGATCTGAGACGGTGCCCTGTAACTGATGCCTGGAGATGCTGGGGTAGAATCAAGGTTAATCATTTATATTTATGAAGATTAAATTTATGTTTATGTGATATCAGATGGCCATGGGTGCGACTAGTCAAAATGATTTATTTGGAGATTATATAGAATCTGACATTGGATATTTTGATGAGAGATTTTTATGTTCTTTAATACTTCTGTCATTAACAAGATTCATTTCTAACCATCTACAGTATAAAATCTCACATACAAACGTTCCAGCATTTATTTTTTCTTAAGAGTAAAAATCTGTGTTAGCAGCACATTTAGTTTAATGATTACCCTTGTGACATATTTTGTTATCGGTGTGTTGTTATGATCCAGGAGGGACTCAAGCTGAAAGTTATAGATGTATCGTATTGCAACAAGGTGACAAAACCCCCGGATTTGTTTGGTTGCAGAAGTCTAGAACGGATGAATTTCATGCATTGCTCGAACATGGGCGGGGAACTTCACATAGGCCATTTGAAGTATCTGAGAGTGTTGAACGTTGCCGAGACTAAGATAACAAAGTTAGTAGGTGACATTGGAAGGCTTCAGAATATGCAAGAGATCAGTGTACAATATTCACGCTTGAGAGAAATTCCTTCTAGCATTGGTAAACTTTCCTCCCTCAAGATCTTGGACCTAGGAGGGCTTCAGAATGAAGTAACAGAACTCCCCACGAGTTTGAAGCGTCTAACCCTCTCATCGCATAGGGTTCCCAATCTCTTGGAGCTCAAGGACTTGGAGTGGCTACGTTGGAGTCGTGCACTTGAGATTCCAGGGGATATGTGGAAGCTGTCCAAGTTGAAGGATCTGACGTTGTGGCTGGTTGGTAACGGGAATGATGCCCTTGTTCTTGACCAAGAATCAGTTGATCCTGATGACCAGAATCATCATTTTCTACGACGTAGTATGAGAACCCTTATTTCTTCCTCGCCTACCCTTCCGGCATCTCTAAATACCCTATCGATATCGGGTTATTGCTCTGAGCATTTGGTGAGACTGCCGAACCTTGTGAACCTGAGCAACTTGACGTACTTAAATTTGTCGGATATTGGGGCACATGAGATTGCCGGTCTGGGAGAGCTGAGGATGCTGAAGAACTTCGACTTATGGAATGCTTCAAATCTTATTAATCTTGATGGCCTTGAACATCTAGAGCTTCTGGCGTACTTGTGGGTGAGTGGTTGTCGTGTCCTGAGAAAACTGCCCAGCTTATCAAATTTGACCAAGTTACGGACGCTCAAAATCTATAATTGTCCACTCCTCTCTGAAATTCAAGGGCTTGGCGAACTGGGGGAATTATCAACTTTACGGATCAACAGATGTCATCAGCTGACTGGGGTGATGGGGCTTGACAAATTGGAGTCATTGCAAGTAATGGAGATTCATGATTGCGCTTCGATTAAGAAGCTGCCTGATGTGTCTGCTTTGAAGCACTTGCGGGAGTTGAAAATTACAGGATGCAGTCAGTTGTCAGAAGCTAAAGGGATCGAGGGATTGGAGTCATTGCAAAAATTTGTGGTTACTGATTGCTTGTCGATTAAGAAGCTGCCTGATCTATCTGCGTTGGAGCACTTGCGGAAGTTGAAAATTACGGGATGCGATCTGCTGACTGAGGTGATGGGGCTTCACAAATTAGAGTCATTGCAAGTATTGAGCATTACTGACTGCGCTTCGATTGAGAAGCTGCCTGAGTTATCTGCTTTGGAGCACTTACAGGAGTTGACAATTACTGGATGCAATCAGTTGACAGAAGTCACTGGGATTGAGAGATTGGAGTCGTCAAGATGTCTAACGATTGATGAAAGGCTGAAGACGCCAAAGATGAGTGAAATGATGTTCAAATCTGAGCATGAGGGATTGGAGCCATTACATAGGGCTAACAATTCGCGCCCAAAGATGTGGTCCAGATTCCGGGGCCGCTGGGGATTTTGTCGCAAATACATTGATACCATATCTCTATGAGTATAGACATCTTGTTGGGGAGGGTATTTGTCGAAGGAGTACTTGAAAGAAGTAGATGGAGAAAGAAGCAGATAGAATATAGACATCTTGTTGGGGCCGCTGGGGATTTTGTTGCAAAAACATTGATACCATATTGCTATAGAGTATAGACATCTTGTTGGGGAGTACTTGAAAGAAGCAGATGGAGAAACAAGCTGCAAAAGTTGCTGTTCATTGTGTGTTTGGTTCCTTAATTCCTGAAAAGTCCATACACTTGAGCACTGTAAAGCTTAAGCGTTTTTATTGATCTCGTGAGCATGAGGGTCTGAAAACTACAGCAAAGATCAGGTAGATTATGTGAATGATGAGTTCTGGGTTCCATGTTTGCTTTCTTGCGATGTATATTTTTTGGGTTCTCTAGCTACTACTTAGTGGTTGTGAGGAATTGGTTGAATGATGATAATTGTATATTTGCCTGAATGACATTTTGTTGGCTGCAGCTTTTCTTGCTGACATGAAGTTTCTCTCGTCGAGGGCGAGCTGATGGTATTGTGACTTTGCAGAATAAAATTATATCTAGCATTCTGAGGCACGATCACAAGGTTTCAGATCCAAACGAATTTATTCACATAATAAACCAAAGAATCTGCAAACACAAGGTACTTATTGTTCTTGATGGTCTCGATCATAGGTTTCAGTTTGACAAAGTATTGGTGATAGAACCTGTTTCTAGGATTCTATCGGTCGGATTGTGGAATTGGGATTTAGGGATTAAGAACAGAATTAGGGATTTGAGAAGAGAAGGATAGAGAATCGGCCTAGGCCTTTAGAGGGTTTGAGAACGAGAATTGAGAAGATAGGGAGATTAGGGTTTAGAAGGCTTTTCTTAATATTCTTCATGACTGATTCTGAATAAACCACAAAGTACATATTTATAACGAAAGACTGGAAAAATCTAATAGACTATCCTAATATTACTCTAAGACTACTAACCATATCTAATAATACCCTAATTATAGTAATTATGATAATTATAATAGAACCCGAAAATTAGGTTTCTATCAATTGGGTAAACTGAAGGGCTTTTTCCTCGAGTAGTAGATTTATTATTACGACAAGAGATGAAAGAGTCATGGAGTTCTTTCAGCAATAAAAGTTGTATAAACCCGAAGAAATGAGTGAGGATCATTCACTTAAACTTTTTAGTAGACATGCCTTCGGGATGGATTAATCACAACAAGATTATAAAGCTCTGTCAAAGGAGTTCGTAGAAGTTGCAGCAGGTCTCCCTTTGGCTCTCAAGGTCACTGGATCACTATTATTTCGTCAAAATGATAAAAGTTTCTGGAATGCAAAGCTGAAACAATTCAAAGGAATCCTTCCTCCAGAAGTGCAAGAAACATTGAAGATTAGTTATTTGGAGCTAACTCACGAGGAAAAACAAAATTTTCTTGATATTGCTTGCTTTATTATTGGGGAAGGGAAAGAACAACCTTTTTATATGTGGAGTGACTGTGGTTTTCATCCTGAAATTACAATCACCACTCTTGTTCTGAGGTCATTAATAAAAGTCCACGAGAAAGGTAAGTTTTGGATGCATGATTGTGTTAGAGATCTTGGCAGAGCTATAGTCCGCGAGGAAGACTTTCAGCATCCATGGAAACGTAGCAGCATTTGGGCAAGGAGGATGCCCTGGACATGCTGACTGATGAAAAGGTATTATCGGTCTGCAATCTGGCTATTTTGCTTGGCGATTAGACCCTTTGATTAGTTGATCGTATCTTTGGCAATGGTTTAAGTTGTTCAATGCATAGAATTGGGTTTTCTTTTTCTAATGCCTTTCAAGGACCAACTCATTTTACAGGGAACGGACAGATTGGAAGTCCTTAGAGTTGAAATTGAAGATGAAAAACTTGAACTCACATACAGAAAACTTGAGAAATTCTCAGGATTAAGAAATCTTGAAGTACTGGGTGGAGGTCTGATTGGGGATTTCATGGGAGTTTTTCCAAGTATACGTTGGCTTCGACTGAATAAGCGCAGAGCGATCCCGATTGGTTTAGATATGAAGAAATTAGTGAATTTCAATGTGATCGGTTGCCCAATCAGAGATGACTGGAGAGGCTGGCAAACTATGAAGGTAATATGAATCAATGGAGTATTTTAATTCTTCACATTTATTTTTCTAGATGGTGTATTTTTGTGATCAATGTGGTATGTTATGGGGTCCAATTAAGCACCTGTGTGTTTTCATAATGCAGGTGGCGAGGAAGCTGAGATCTGTTCATGTATGGGACTGCATGGACTTAGAAGCAGCTCCCAACTTGTCCCAATGTGAAAATCTAGAGTTGATGGATCTTCGGTGCTGCGGGAAGATGAGTGGGGAATTGAATATTGGCAATTTGAAGAATCTGAAAGTGCTTAAGGTCGGGTGGACTAGAATAAGCAAGTTAATAGGTGACATTGGAATGCTTCAAAATCTCCAAGAGATCGATGCAGGTCATTCGAACTTGAGCGGATTGCCTGTTGGTATTTGCAGATTATCGTCCCTGGAAATCTTGGACCTGCAATCATAGAGTTCAATTTATGAAGAGAACATATCTATCACTGATTGCAAAACGGTTGGCTGAAGTTAATGGCCTCGAGGAGCAGTTGTCGTTGGAATCGCTCCATATTTCAAACTGCACGTCACTTAGAAAGTTGTCAAATCTGTCTGGTCTCAAGAATCTAAAGAAACTAGAGATAATTGGATGTACACAGTTGACTGAGATCGAAGGTCTCGAGGGGCTGGCGACATTACAATCGCTAGATATCTCACGCTGCGAGAATTTGACCCAGGTGTTTGGGCTCGAGAAGTTGGAGTCATTGAGATCGCTGAAGATGACTGAATGTGTCGATCAAGAAATTGCCTGATCTATCTGGTCTCAAGCATTTGGAGAAGTTGAATACTTGGGGATGCACAAATTTGTCCAGGATTACAGGGTTTGAGAGGAAGGGAGAAACCAGGAAAGCTTTTCTGTTTTTGGATGTGAGGCCGGAAATGAGCCAAACCGCAAATGAGCGACTCGACGCCCTATTTGAAAAAAGCTTGTTCGTAATAACGGGCCGTGAAAAAAATTGTGTTGGAAGTGTATGAAGAATGCTAGATTGTTTCTCTGCATCTTGCTTAATGGCATTACAATATGCCTTCATTTATACACATCTAACAACTACTCTACAAACAGAACAAAACGTGATAATGTATAAGTTACTGTCTATTTATCGCGTTTCGATTTTGGTCCAACGTATTACACCCAACAAAGTCAAAATATCATGTAAATATCACGATATTTCGTCATATAGTGATATATTGCCAATTACAGGTTACCGTCTATTTAATATTAATCTCGTTTGGATTTGGTTTTTAGTTCCCGTTTCTTCGTTTTTGCGTGCGTTTCCGAATTTCCTCAGGCCGTCCGCCTCGTTCTGCTGTGGCGGCGGCAGATTTTGGCGGTGGTGCGTTCGGAAGATGCACAAAAGAAAGTCGGCCCAGCCCGTTCAATTTTTGAAGACTAACAAAGTGGGCTTTGATGATTAAGGCCCAAGTGCAGTCTCACTTCTCAACGGTCCCATCCAACACTTTCCTATCTGGCTATCTCCGACGCTTTCCCTCCCCACAAAAACTCACCGTCATCACTCGCCGGCTATCCGAAAACTGGATTCCTATTTAACGCCCCCACATTTTCCCGCCAAATTCTCTGGTCCCGGCAATTCCTTTCAGTCAATGCCGTGCCACGGCAATGCCTCGCCCACTCGATCTCGCTGCTCTGCTCACAAGAATCTTTGTCCTTCTCCAGCTCCTCCTGATGGCGAATTGGAAGAGTAACTGCCAGGTCGAAGCAGAAGTCGGTCCCGAAGGTCTAGTTAGGGTTTCTTCCCGGCGGTGCTGTGGTGGCTCGTCCGAACGAGGCAGAGAAATGACAGCGGTCGCGACATGTTCGGAAGATCATGTTAAGTCAATTTGGTCCAGAAGACGATGAAATTGGATGCATCGACATCTCAAGGGTAATTAGCATAAATGGTAACAAACCTTTGCACTTAGTACAAAATGGTCACAAACCTTTTATTTGTAACAATATGGTAACAAAACTTTGAAATTGTATAAAATGGTCACCGCTATTTAATTTATGACCGTTTTGTTTTAAGTGCAAAGGTTTGTTACCGAATCGTTACAAATTAAATGTTGGTCATGTTTTGAGGTCGGGTAGTTTGTTCGTTAAGTATATGACACTAACCACTTGAACGACATATAAGATGTCAGGTCATGTGTGCATCGACATATTTGCTTTGCCGAATAAGAATGCCCTCAGTTGACCTTTCAATTTCGATACCAAGAAAGTAAGAAAGTAGACATCGTTTTTTCAACTAAAAAGCAGTCTGGAACTCGTTTGTGAGCCATTGAGTTCTCTCATTGTCATCCTAAACAACATAATATCATTCACATACATTAACAAAACCACCATACAACTAGAGTGAATTGTAACGGTGATTGAGCGTTCAAACTTTTGAACTTAATTTGTACAAAACGGTCACCAAAAGTCTAATTTGCAACGACACGGTAACAAAAGTTTGAACTGGTATGAAATGGTCACACTGTTTAATTTGTGACCGTTTTGTTCTAAGTAAAAAAGTTTTGTTATCAAATAGTTACAAATTAAAGGTTTGTGACTGTTTTGTACTAAGTGCAAAGGTTTGTGACCATTTATGCTAATTACCCGACATCTCAATGCTGCGTTCCGTTTATCGGCGGAGGAACGAGAATGGTGATTCGAATATCTTTTCCTTTCCTCGCCTGCGTTCGAGGTTTCTCTTTGGTTCATCGTGTACCGAAGTAGAGGTGCGTTGAGCTCCTTCTTGTTTGCTTTTGTTTGTGGTCAGGAGTCACCAAAGTCAATTGGTTACAATAGTCAACTGTTGAGGACCATCCATTGTAACTAATATTCTTCTCTTGTAGTACTGTGTGCCAATAATTGTCATTCGAAAGAATGCATTAGATAATGATATCATTATCCATGGAAGGATGCTGTAATTCATTTAGCCCGAGCAATGCGCTGGAGGAACCCACATGTCTTGGGAGCTAAATAAGAAGGTCAATATTCTTCTTTACTTCTCTTGTGAGTGTCGCCATTATTCCTTGCATCTGCTCTGCTGCATAGTTGTCTGCTGATGAGTATTATCATTCACTAGTCACCAGTGCATATATAGCATTCTGATTGTGCGTGCTGAAGGACATTACCAGTTTTGTACAGTAGGCTTTATTTTGTATGGAAGCAAAATTGAAACTACCCTTTGTCTCCAGTGGCCAGTGGGTCAGGACCCGAAAGTCAACGGTTGGTACTTATTAGTGCTCAAGGTGTCTGCAGGCTAGCTCTCTTTTAATCTATTTGTAAACCAAACTGCCACAGCATGAGATATTTGGAGCTTTTGACATCTAGGAGATTCGGTTTCTCGTTGATCAGATTTTTGGTAAGTTCTCAGACATTTAATTCATTGTGGTGTTTTCTGATATATGGAGATTTTGCTCATGGTAAGCTCTAAGCTTCATTCATTTATTTGTAGGGGGATATGGATCAGCAGATCTGGTCATTATTTCGGGCAGTGGCTTTACTTTTCTTCTCCTTGGGCATCATATTTATCCTTTGGAAGAAGTGCTCCAAAATTTCTGTCCATTATTCTTCACGATCAGAATCATGGGCAGAGCAACAACCTCTGCCTGGCCCTTCCTTGTCAGATTCTGTTCTGCCTATGGAGTATGAAGTCTTCCTGAGTTTTAGAGGCCCTGATGTCCGTACAACCTTTGCTGATTTTCTCTATAGTGTCTTGGATCGTTCCAAGATTCGAACCTTTTTTGATAACGAAGAGATTCGTAAAGGGGAGAAAATTAGCACTTCCATTCTCAAGGCGATAGGAGAATCAAAAGTGTATATTCCAATATTTTCCTTGAACTATGCTTCAAGTAAGTGGTGCCTTCAAGAGCTAGTTGAGATTGTAAAGTGCTGCAAGCAAAGGGAGGGCCACCTCATTCTGCCTATTTTCTATTTGGTGGAGCCTGAAGCTGTGCGGCATCAACAAGGTACCTACGGGAAAGCACTTGAACAGCATAGCAAGAAGTATGACACTGAAACAATAAAGGCATGGAAGGAAGCCCTTCAGGAGGCCGGGCAAATAAAAGGATGGCATGTTACTGAGTCAGATGGGTAACTCATTTCTCTCATCCTCATATTTAAATATATCCGTGCATAAATCTATATGTCCTCTCCTATACAACACCTGTATTATACATTTGCATCTTTCATCTCAATATGCCGATGTCTATACCTATTGCAGCTGCAATTTCATGTAAAGAAGTGAGAAGAGTTATCTGGAATGATTATACCTGAAGCTTGAGTTATTTAATCAGTTGCACACTTATGTTTAATTTCCAGGCAGGGGGCTGTTGTAAACAAGGTTTTCTCTGAGGTCTGGTCACATTTAATCGGGCATTACATGGTAATGACGGATGAGTTGATTGGAATTGATGTTCATGTCGAGAGAATGACAGAACTACTAATGCTGGACCGTGAAGATGTGCAAGCTATTGGAATTCATGGGATGGGGGGCATCGGTAAGACCACTATAGCAAAGGCTGTCTACAATAAAATATGTGCGCAATTTGATCACTGCTGCTTTATGGAAGATGTTCGAGAAACGATGTCGAGGATGGATGGTATTGTGACTTTGCAGAGTAAAATTATATCTAGCATTTTGAGGCAGGATCACAAGGTTCAAGACACGAATGAAGGTATCCGCATAATAAACCAAAGAATCTGCAAATGCAAGTTTCTTATAATTCTTGATGGTGTGGATCATAAGTTTAAGTTTGACAAAGTTTTCGGTAAACCAAATATTTTTTTCGCGAAAAGTAGATTTATTGTTACGACAAGAGATGAAAGAGTCATGGAGTTCTTTCCACCATATAAGTTGTATAAACCCGAAGAAATGGGCAAGGATCATTCACTTCAACTGTTTAGTAGACATGCCTTTGGAATGGATTACCCGCCAAAAGATTACATTGCTTTGTCCAAAGAGTTCGTAGAAGTTGCATCAGGTCTACCTTTGGCTCTCAAGGTCATTGGATCACTCTTGTTTCGTCGCAACGATAAAAGTTTCTGGAAAGCGAAGCAGAAACAATTCAAAGACATTCTTCCTTCAGAGGTGCAGGAAACGTTGAAGATTAGTTATTTGGAGCTCACTTATGAGGAAAAGCAAATCTTTCTTGACATTGCTTGTTTTTTTATTGGGGAAGAGAAAGAACAGCCTTCCTATATGTGGAGTGATTGTGGTTTCCATCCGGAAGTTACAATTAATACTCTTGTTCTGAGGTCGTTAATAAAAGTCCATGCGGAAAATAAGTTTTGGATGCATGACTATATTAGAGATCTGGGCAGAGCAATTGTCCGTGAGGAAGATTTTCAATATCCTTGGAAACGTAGCAGGATATGGTCCAAGGAGGATGCCTTGGACATGCTGACAGATGAAAAGGTACTGCTTAAGTTGCTCGTATTCTTGGAAATGTTTTAAATAGTTCAACACATGCAACTGTGTTTTCTTTTTCTGATTATTTTCAACTGTGATTTCATTTTAACAGGGGACTGACAGGTTGGAGGTTCTTACCGTTGACATGGATGGTGAGAATTTTGAGCTCACGAAGAAGGAATTTCAGAAATTGTCAGGGTTAAGGTATCTCCAAGTGCGCTCTGGAAGGTTGACTGGAGATTTCAAAAAGATTCTACCAAATCTACGTTGGCTTCAACTTCATGAATGCAGTTCAATCCCTATCGATTTCAACGTCAAGAAATTGGTAATTCTGGATCTGATGAGTTGCCCTGTAAGAGATGATTGGAAAAGCTGGGACAGCATCAAGGTTATCAATTTTCCTACTCCATTCTTCTTTTTGACGATAAATTTATGCTTATGTTATGTGATACCAGTGGCAATGGGCGCGAATGGTCAAAATGGTTGAATTTTGCGATTTCAATGAGATTTTCAGTCGGTAGTTACTTCCCATAATTAATGAGTCAATCCATTTCTAACAATCTACTTCATAAAATCACACCTTTAAACGTTCCAACTCGATCTTTTCTTAAAAAATTCTATGTTAACAGCGCATCTGGTTTAACTATTATCCTTATCACATATCTTGTTATCGGTGTGTTTTCATATGCCAGGAGGCACACAGCCTGAGAGTTGTAGATCTATCGTTCTGCGACGAGGTGAGAAAAGTTCCAGATTTGTCCCATTGTAGAAGTCTAGAACGGATAAATTTTGAGTGTTGCTCAGAGATGGGCGGGGAACTTCACTTTGGCAATTTCGAGAATCTGACAGTTGTAAACCTCTCTGAGACTAAGATTACAAAGTTACTAGGTGACATAGGAAAGCTTCAGAATCTGCAAACGATCACGGTAGATAATTCGCGGTTGAGAGAACTTTCTGCTAGAATTGGTGAACTTTCGTCGCTCAAGATCTTGCACCTAACAGGACTTGAGATAGAAGTACCAGAACTACCCTCAAGTTTAAAGCGGCTATCCCTCTCATCACCTAAGGTTCCCAATCTTTTGGAGCTCAAGGACTTGGAGAAGCTATGGTTAAGTTGTGATACACTTGAGATTCCTTGGGACTTGTTCAAGCTCTCGAACTTGAAGGATCTGTCGTTAATGCAGGTTGGGAATGGGATGGATGCCCTTGTTCTTGACCATGAATCAACTAAACCCAACGGCCAGAGTCGTTATTCTCGGGAACCTGGTATGAGAACCCTTATTTCTTCTTCGCCTACCCTTCCATCATCTCTAAGCACCCTATCGATTTGCGGTTGTCAGCCTTTGGAGAGACTGCCAAACCTTGCGAATCTAAGTAACTTGATGACATTATATTTGAGTCACATTGGGGTGTGCGAGATCCCCGATCTCGGCGAGTTGAGAATGCTTGAAAAGTTCCACTTATGGGACGCTTCAAATCTGATCAATCTCGATGGTCTCGCACATGTAGAGCTTCTGGAGGAACTGAGTGTGAATGGTTGTGATGTACTGAGAAAACTACCCAGCCTCTCAAATTTGACCAAGTTACGGGAGCTCAAGATCATTGATTGCCCATTCCTCTCTGAGATCCAAGGGCTTGGTGAACTGGAGGATTTATCGTTTCTACTGATCAAGGGATGTAATCAGCTGACTGGGGTGATGGGGCTTGACAAACTGGAGTCACTGCAACAATTGGTGATTACTGATTGCACGTCGATTAAGGAACTGCCTGATCTATCTGCTTTAAAGCACTTGTGGAAGTTGAGAATTACTGGATGCAATGAGTTGACTGAAGTTACTGGGACTATGGTTGGAGTGCGTACATAGTCTAATTAATTAGGTGAATGCTGAAAACTATTTGCTTGAATGACAAACATTCAGTAATGTTGCGAGATGAATGAGGGTATTAATTAATATATTGACTTCAATATTTTGCTTGCTGCAGAAGTTTGGCACAAAAGAAAGGGATGCATGTGGAAGAGATTTAACCATTGACAGGTAGAACGATTAACCCTTAGCAACATTGACTTAACTTTTTTCTTGATGATTGGATTTTATTAAGTTTGCCAGTTTGTTATTAATTGATAGAATTTCCTTTGTTTTACCAGCATCCTCTATAATTTTCATACGAATTCAGTTGAAGATCTAACAGGCAGAGGCTTGTATCTCTTTTCTTGTATTAGCTTTGCTTCCTTCGTTTCGGCCTCACCATTCCATGTCTGCCATTTTTTGTACAGGCATTGCATATCTAAAATCTGGAAAAGATTGCGACCCTTTTACCTCCAAAGAAGACCTTTTTGGATGACCCTCTTTGAGTTCCTCGGGCTATTGGGTTTATTAGGTTGAGGTTCTCTGTCTTTTTGAGTCATGATTCTTGTTTCGTTGCATTTGTGTTGGAGCTGGGAGCTGGTCCACAATTAGGAAGCTAGTGCATTTTTTTTCTATAAGTCGCTCCATGCTATATTTTTTAAATGAAGAATTCTAAATTCTACCACACTCCCACTCCAGTAATCATAGCAGATTGTTCAGAAGAAGATTGTGTGTCAAAATTCCTGTCTATTTTTTTCGTTTGGTTCTGAATTTTTGAATGCCACTTGGTTATCAGGTACAATGTATGATTTTTCACCGGATCAAGATCTCAACGAAGCAGCCAGATGGAGAAGAAGTATGTTCCCTCCTTCGTTGCTATCTCCTGTTCAAGCTCTTAGGTTGTGCTATGAGAATACTGATATATATTGTTGTTGTTTGTGGCATCATGACTATGGCAGACTTGAAGTACTGAGATTGCTAAGACTCCACGTCTTGTTGGACGCTTCAAATCCAATCAATCTCGATGGCATCGAACATCTCGAGCTTCTGGAGGAACTGATTGTGCGTGGTTGTGGTGTACTGAGAAAACTACTCAGCCTGTCAAATTCGACCGAGTTAATGAAGCTCAAGATCATTGATTGTCCACTCTCTGAAATCCAAGGGCTTGACAAACTGGAGTCATTGCGAGCATTGGTGATTATTGATTGCAAAACATGATTGAAAGGGCTAACAGCTTCTTTCATGAAGAACATAGGAAGAAAGGCCTTTTTGGACCATTCTCCGACACACCACCTTACATGGATGCTGCTTAATTTTTTTTTTTTTTTTTGTGGTTCTGGGTTCTTTTTAGATTCAAAAATAAAATCTTTGGATAAAATATTTTGGCTGATGTTGGCGGACACTAGCAGGCCAGCAGTTAAGTCAACGAACTATGTTGAGTTGTTAACGGTTAAATGAGTTGAGATGACCTTTTGAGGTCATAATTATTCGTGCTTATAAAATTTGAAATGATTTTTGTCATTATGAAATGTTGGGAGTTAAAATTGTCCATGTAAGCGGTAAATAAGGTTTTGGTTTAGTGATATTATCATTAATTTTGAATCTGAAAGTCTCATATTCGAATCCTCCATGTGATTGAGATATTAGCCCAAATAAATATAATATATTAGGTTTTTTGGTGGGAGCTATTGCGCATTACAAATTTATCAAATCTTAATTAAAAAGATGAGTTTTCTTAGGACATTGTTATTTGTCGTCCATGATTTTATTATTTGTTTGTGAAGAAAATACACTTTTATTACCCTTTTACAATATTCTTTTGTCCTTATAAGTTATAAACAATCTTGTCACGACCAAATACTCGCAGCGGACGAGCCTTCCTTGTGACCGTCGGCGGCTTTGCAAATTCCGACGACTCTCAAGTTTCAGCCTATGCTTCATGAGAGAGGAGAGTAGGAGGCTCGGGATTTGTGAATCTATTTTGCGGATGTGAGGGTTTGCATGAAAATAAATATGTTAAATGTCGTTTTTTTCATAATATTACAGACGACAAATAATAGAACTAGTTGGATTCCAAAATCATAAAGTTCATAAATATGAGACCTAACTTCTTCTTTTTTTTCTTTCAAGTTTGTACATCCCACCAAGCGAGCACATCTCATGACTCATATCATATCATATTCTATAGAAACAGACAAACGTTGAATTTGATCAAATCCTAGTAATATATGATATTGGGTACCACGTCCAACCAACAAACAGAAACCCCATAAAAAAAATGCACCATCAACAACAATATAACTAGAAACTGGCCAACTTGGGAAGGCTGTATCTGGCTGCCAGAGAGGGAGAGAAGTTTCGTCACAGTAATGGCGGGTTTCCCAGCTGAGAGGCAGGAAGATCAGGCGTTGGCGATGAAGGAGTCATGGGAAGTGGTGGCAAAAGACATCCCTCGCTACAGTTTTCTCTTCTTCACCACGTACGATCTGTAGTTTTGGTTCTTATCAGTGAAAGTTCTTCCTCTTCTTCTTCTCGATTTCCCGTTAAGTAACTGCATGCATATAATTCTGCAGGGTTCTGGAGATAGCGCCAGCGGCTAAGCAGATGTTTCCGTTCCTGAGGGATTCTGAGGTGACCCCGCAAAACAATCCCAAGCTCAAAGCCCATGCCGTCAAGGTCTTCAAGATGGTAAGCAACGTACCTAGCTACTTACTCCGCTTGGGTTACGGTACAAAACTCAGGCCTATAAAAAAAAATCGGCCAGATCATCATGATATGATAGTGATATGATTTCATATTATAAGGATATGCACAAGATTTTTGTAGCGTTTTATAGAAAAGGGTTTTGTACCCTGTTCTTTTCCATATATATATTCGTAGAAATATTATTAATTGGCAAACTTATTTTTCGTGCTTAATTTGACAGGATTAAGTACTATAAGTCTATGAAATTTAATATATTTTTGTGAGAAATAATTGAATGAAATATTAATACATGAGTAATTGTTATTGTGCCATTTATATTCCATAAATTAGAACAAGAAACATAAATTTGATAACGGAAACATATATGCATGTATGCCAGTTTCCTATTGACTGTGTTACGGTTCTTTACGTTTTTTGCATTGTCGATTTTTTTCAATACGTTTACAATACTTCTTCTGGTTTATGAATTTCGTGAGATGATAGCGGTAGCTGTGACGATTTTTACGCAGACGTGTGAGTCGGCGGTTCGAGTATGGGAGAAGGGAGAAGTGGTAGTGAAGGACATGACCCTCAAATATTTGGGCTCCCTCCACCGAAAGAATGGAGTTACTGACCCTCACTTCCAGGTACTTAACGTGATATTATATTATGACCTTCATCTTAATTAATTAACCTTTGTCCTAATGAATGTGAATAATTATTTTATTTTATTTTTAGCTTATTGTAAAAAGAATTTCTTCTTTTGCAGGTATTGAGAGAAGCCCTGTTGAGAACATTGAAAGAGGCCATAGGAGATGAGAAATGGAGCCAGGAGCTGGAGGCTGCATGGGGGGAAGCCTATGATCAGTTGGCTGCTGCCATTCGAGTTGAGATGAAGTAAGAGGAGAGGATGCCACCCTCGTTTCTGCTTCTTGTGATGAACTACTCCCAAGTGAATGTGTAAAGAGTCTATTTGTGTTTGTCGAATCGTTTTAGTGCATGACATTGTTATAATGTTTATATTGTTTGAATTTTGAAGTGAACCTTTATTTATGTAAAAAAAAATATGCATATATTGTTTGTTTCATTTGACAAAAACGTGAACGAATGTACTATATGTCGGTCTCGGTTTTTTAAGGGCTCGATTGGTTTTGGCCTTTGGGTGATAGTTTGGTGGGGATAGTTATAATGCATGCATTGTCCATAATGCATTGTTTTTTTTTTTAATTTTCTGCACAAAAAATACATGCATTGTTTTGTTGATGTGATGAAAACTATCACTCAAAATGAGTGATGATAATATCTCTACTAAAAACTCGAGATTGTTGAGATAGTTTTGAGGAGATTGTCGAGATATGGTGCCTTCTACGGTGGTCGAGATATATATATATATATATATGGTGATGACTGGTGTGCGTCAGGCGTATACTATACGCCAGGTGATCTAGTATACAAAAAGTGACATTTCTCACAAAAAGTAATATAATTTGTTGAATACTAAAACAACTATCACAAAACCCAAACAATACAAAATACATTACATCATTTTCCCTAATTGCATGTATATTACAATGCATGTATCGATCATAATGCATTGATTTAATTAGAATTGTGCAATTGATATTGTTGTTTATTTATTTTCAGCTTTATTCTTTGAAAAAGTAAAATTTTCATTGGAGAAGAGGTGCAAGTGATGATCTGGTTAACAAGTGACTTTCTTTTTTTTAATAATTGAATACACAATTACCTATACAAAACGATGCGACCTACGATACACTAAATTCATCAATTAATATGTGTGTAATATAATACATGTATTGACTTTCTCCTTTAGTTGTTGGGACCAATCTAAAATTCAATGTTGTTTCTTCAGTTAAATGTTGCAGTAGGTTTGTAAGGAATCAAAGTTGACCAATTTCTAGTTAGCTTAAATAAATAAACTGTCAAATTGAGTCGAGATTCTCAACAATTGATTCGGCGGATGGTGAACGGTGACTTGGCTCATGATTGGGGTGGAGATATCTTGGAGGAGGCTTGCAGCTTAGCTTCTCTATTTATTTGAGTTTTTTTACTCTTTTGTTCCTCGTCGACTCAATAAGGCTGCCCTTCATGTGACATAAAATGCCATTTCATCTGGAGTTCGACTATTTGTCTGTATAACTCAATTTATAACGTTTGACTTTGAAAAAAAAAAAAAAGAATTGAGTCGAAAGGGCCAAAAAGCCTGAGCCTGAAAGCCCAATACAGCTAGCCAGGGCCTAAAGTCTGTCAAAACGTCCAGAGGGGGCCGTCAATCCAGACCGATGTAGAATCCGTGTTAGCCCGTAAGTAGCCAATATCGTGGGCCGCCCCTGTAAACTTTTCCGGCATTCTATCTTCTTCGCTGCTGCGCACCGATGGCCTCCGCTCCGCCGCCGCCTCCGAAGGAGGTCGTGGTTCCGGCGAGTGATAAAATTGAATCGCCGGAGATTGAAACGAAATTATTCATTCGAATGCCTGATCGCATCTGTCCGCTACTTTAACCCCAGTCTCTTATTAAAGATACACCTTCGTGAAAATGATTGGATTCCTTGCGTCCATGGAGGAAACCATGCCTCCTGAAATCGTTCAGGGAAATAGAATCTTTGGCTGATCTGCCTCGAGTTTCAACAGGTACGGAATCTCCACTCTCAGAGATGATTTTTTTTCTCTGTCCGGGAGCGAGGCAGCGAGCTTTCAACTCCTTATTTCCTTGCTCCTGCCGTTCGGGATTCCTACTATGCAAAAGGACCAGAAGAGATCCATGGCACACTCTACTGATATCTACACTGTTGCACCCCTCTGACGTAGCCTCAACTGGAGCTTGACAAGAGGAAAGGCTTGTACAAGGCAGCGTAGGATGCCGTCGTTGAACTAGGGTCTAGGTACTTGCAGCTTTATCATTGACATCACTTGATTCTCAAATCTGAGCTTTTCCTAGACCGGACCAAAATCTTTAAATCGCCCTCTTGACAATGCATGGGATATGAACACATTGATCAACGTCAGCGATATCATCGATGTTCTGCAGCTTATATCCCAAAGGGCCTCTTGTCACGGAATGGGTATGTCAATATGGGAGTCCATGGACTTAGAAGCAGCTCCCGACTTGTCCCAATGTGAAAATCTAGAGTTGATGGATCTTCCTCTGCTGTGGGGAGATTGAGTGGGGGATAGTATATTGGCCAATTGAACAATCTGAAAGTGCTTAAGGCTTGGTGGGCTAGAATAGCTCAGGTAACTGGTGACATTGGAATACTTTCAAATATTCGAGAGATCGATGCAGGTAATTAGGAATTGAGCGGATTGCCGGTTTGGGATTTGTAGATTATCTTCCCCTTGCAATCTTGCTCCTGACAGTATGTTGGGGTTTACTGAGGGCCTCCAATCTCTGGAACTGGAAGCGGAAGGATGTTCAGGATCAATGTAACCTCTGCTACTTTCCTGTCGAAATCAGGAAATCTGAGGAGGCTAGTCCTGGATCTTTCCTGGACTGATCACCGCCATATCTTGTCAGCACAACAATACCTCCATCTCTCTGGTCTCTGGTCCCTAGTGGAAATATCTACTACTGTGTGCAAACGTTTGGCTGAAGTTAATGGTATCAAGGAAATGCTGTTGTTGAAACTGCTGGTCATTTATAAAATTGTCGAATCTATCTGGTCTGAAGAATCTAAAGAAAGCTAGAGACAATAGGATGTACACAGTTGATTGAGATCAAAGGTTTCGAGAGGTTGGGGACATTACAGTTTCTAGATATCTCAGGCTCTGAGAATTTGATTGAGGTGTTCGGGCTCGAGAAGTTGGAATCATTAAGATCGCTGAAGATGAGTAAATGTGAATCGATCAGGAAATTGCCAGATTTATTTGGTCTCAAGCATTTGGAGGACTTGGATAGTTGGGGATGCACACAGTTGACCAAGATTACAGGGATTGAAAGGAAGGAGACATCATGAAGGCTTTTCTCTTTGTAACAGTTGGCCAGGTTGACGGGCTCTAGGAGCAATTGTCATTGATGAAGAAGTTTAGCACATCAAAAGAGGATGCATGTAGCAGAGATTTAACCATTAACAGGTTAAAAGAAAGCCCATAGCAGCATCTGACTTAGCTTGGTCTTGATTATTGGATTGTTTATTGAGTAGGGCAAGGTTTTGTTATTAATTAATTAGTAGCTGATACCGCGTGGAGGCAAATAGGACAAGAGGTGGTGAATTGATTCACCTAACCTTGACTAACAACAACAGCAACGTAGTTGTCTACATTTAATCAGTCATTAAATATTGTTAAGTAGAAGACTGAAGGTCTCCCAACTTGAGATATATAACTGCTATCCTCAATACTCAACCAGAGGGTTACTCATCCAAAATAAAACAAGGTCGCACCGAGAGAGATTGAGCCTTTTCTTATCAGAGACTGGTTCTTCACATAGATTCCGGGTAAGTTATCATTACGATCTTTATTATTTCGAGCTAGACAGATTCTTGATTTCATAGTGTTTAATTTGTTTCATCTTTCTCTTTAGATTCTGTTCTAGTCAAGGTAGAAATGGCTCGAATTGTTTAATCTTTATTGTCATTTTTGGATGGCCCTGTTCTTAGAGTTATCTTTGATATTCGGCCTTTTTTGTTTGAGTCGAGCTTCTAGGAAAAGGTTTGTAGCATTGAAGTGGAAAAGTGACGAATTCATTCACTTTACTAACCTTACCGGCCCTAGCTTTGTTCTTTGAGTTTGTTTCAGGTAAACTCTCTCAGATTGTCGTCTTTTTTCAATATTCCAATTGAGTTTCGCTATGGTGTGGGTTCCATTTCCCAATCTCTTGGGACTTCCTTTTGTAATATCTGCAGGAGACGATGGAGCAAATCAGGTCAAATTCTATAGCTTCATCGTCCTGTTCCCTGGATCCTCTACCAGCTGTAGAGTACGAGGTTTTCCTGAGTTTTAGAGGTCCTGACGTCCGCACGACTTTCGCCGATTTCCTCCACAAATTCCTGAATGGTAAAAAAATACGAACCTTTTTTGACGATGAAGCACTTCGCAAGGGGGAAGAGACTGACGGTTCTCTCGCCAAGGCAATTGGGGAGTCGAGAATATACATCCCGATCCTTTCCAAAGGCTACGCATCTAGCAAATGGTGCCTCAATGAGCTAGCTCTGATGGTGCAACATTGCAAAAAAGATGAAGGTCGTCACACCATCCTGCCCATTTTCTATCTCATAGAGCCTAGAGATGTGCGGCACTGTACGGGTTCCTATGAGGAGGCAATGGAACAACAGAGTGAGATATATGACGAAGAAACCATTGAGGCCTGGAAGGAGGCTCTCAATGCGGTCGGGCAAATCAAAGGATGGAGCGTGAACGAGTCAGATGGGTAATGCAATTTCTCTGTGTTTTCAATTCATGGGCTAGGCTGCATGTGTATCTGCCGATATATAAACTTGTGTTTAATTTCCAGACAGGGAGCAGTGGCAGAAGTAGTTTACTCTAGGGTGTGGCCACTGGTACACGAGAACTACAAGTTAGTGACGAATGAGTTGATTGGAATCGATTCTCACGTAAACCAAGTGATAGAATTGCTGAAGTTAGAAAGCGGCATCAATATCATAGGCATTCATGGTATGGGTGGCATCGGAAAGACCACTATCGCCAAGGCAGTCCATGACAAGGTCATTACACAATTTGATCGTCGTTGTTTTCTGGAAAATGCAGGAGAAATACTATCGTCACAGAATGACGGCATTACAACTTTGCAGAGTAAGATTATTTTTAGTATTCTAGGGGAAGATCGCAAGCTTAGAAGTGCAGGTGAAGGAATCAATATTATAAAAAATAGAGTATGCCCCTGCAAGGTTCTCATTATTCTTGATGATGTGGATGATCGGTTTGAGTTTGAGCAAATCTTAGGTGAAGTAAGGAATTTTTCTCATGAAAGTAGATTTATCATCACAACAAGAGATAAAAGGGTGTTGGATTTGCTTCAGGTATCTAAGTTTTATGAACCTGAAGGGATGAGTCATGACCATTCCCTTCAACTTCTTCTAAGACATGCTTTTAGAATGGATAAACCCCGAGAGGACAGAGCAGCTCTGTGTGAGAAGTTTGTAAAAGTTGCAGCAGGGCTTCCTTTGACTCTTGAAGTGATAGGGTCGCTTTTGTTTCGTACAGATCTAGAATCCTGGGAAGATAATTTGAGAAAACTAGAGGGAATACCTCCCAGCAAGGTGCAAGAGAGATTGAAAATTAGCTATGATACGTTGGATGCTAATGAAAAGAAAATCTTTCTCGACATTGCTTGTTTTTTTGTAGGAATAAACAAGGAATATCCTTTCTATATGTGGAAGAATTGTGAATTTTATCCTGGAAGTGGAATTAGAACTCTCATTTTGAGGTCCTTGATAAAGTTGGATGAGGGTAATGTATTCTGGATGCATGACCATTTAAGGGACCTTGGGAGAAAGATTGTTCATGAGGAAGATGATCAACATCCATGGAAGCGCACGAGAATATGGTCCAACGAGGATGCGGTAGATATGTTACGCAATGGAGAGGTATTATGTTTCTAGTACTCCTTTTTTCCTGGTTTATACAAGATTTCGTAAATAATTTTTCTAAGTGTCACTTGTAGGTTCTGAACCAAAATGTTTCATAAATTTTCTATCATGAATCTTAGTGTTTCTATATAAGCATGCTATCAAGTTCCTCCTAACTATTCAGGGGCAATGCTACATGGCATTTCGCATGTAGTTGAAATTCAGGGTGCACACAAGATGAGCTCAATGATTGAGTTTGTGACGTTTAATTCAGAAGATTATTGGTTGTAGGGGCGAAGCTAGTTCATTGCCTGGAAGAGCAATGACCATTCGTTAATTTGGATTTTATGGTATTATGCTTAGTCTGGAATTGTAAATTTAAATGGATTTTGGATTGGTGGTTTTTGAACTAACATTGTTGTTCTCACTGGTTCGAATCACTCAAAAAAACTATTTCCTTTTTAATTTAGTGCACTTTAGATTGATTTTAAACCCATCAGCTTTCACAAATTTTATTTTTAGTCCATAAACTTTGAGAAATCTTCTTGTGCTGCACTTTATTTCATTCAAGTAACGATTAAACCCTCAAATTGATCACTAGTTTTATTCAAATCGGTAGATTGGAACTTTTCCATTCAAACTGAAAAAATTAAAGAAAATTTCTATGTAAATGCCTACTGTCTTGTTTATATTTCGTCTAACAATAAACATTTGATTTTTACATGAGAAGAAATAGAGCATGAAACTTTATTCAATCCCCAAACATAAAATCCTTGCTTTGCCACTCGATTGTACCATATGATATTCTCCCACCTCATTTTCCTTTCCCTAAATTATTGTGATTCCTCCAGACAGGATGTAAAGGTTTTGTGGGTATGATTTCATTTTAACAGGGAACTGAACGGTTGGAAGTTCTTAGAGTTAACATGGCAGATGAGAATTTTGAGCTTACGGAAAATAAGTTTCTGAAATTGTCTGGATTAAGGTATCTTGAGGTGTACTTTGGAAGGCTGATCGGAGATTTCAAGAAGATTCTTCGGAATCTAAGTTGGCTAAGTCTCTATGACTGTCGTTCAATCCCTACTGATTTCAATATGAAGAAATTGGTGATTCTTAGTATGAAGGGTTGCCCAGTAGGAGATGACTGGAGAGGTTGGGACAGAATCAAGGTTATCAATTTTCTTCCTCATAAAAACATGTTATCAATTTCCCTACTTCATTTCATCTTTATCAAGATTAAATTTGTGTTTATGTGATCTCGGATGGAAATCGGCGTGAATTTCAAAATCTTTGACCACAATTCATCCATTGGGAGATTATATGTAGAATCTTATTTTGGAGACTTCAATGGTAAATTCTGAGTTCAGAAATACATCCATAATTAACAAAACTATCTCATTTCTAACAACCAACATTATAAAATCACATATTCAAACTAGCTTTTGTCCATTTTCTTTTTTATTTTAAAATAATTATAGTTTCTAGTTATAAAAGATATGATATAAGAGGGTTAGGTGGTTGTTTTAGTATATAGTTCAAAAGACAGTTAGAGAATTAATCGAAATTACTTTAATTTTTACTTTTGTTCCGTTGAAGAGATTATCCTTGTAACATATTTTGTTGTTTGTGTGTGGGGTCATGATCTAGGATGAACACAGGCTGAAAGTTATAAGCTTATCGTCTTGCGACAATGTGACAAAAGTCCCGGATTTGTTCGGATGTACAAGTCTAGAACATGTACATTTCCGGGCTTGCTGGAAGATGGGCGGAGAACTTCACATTGGCAGTTTCAAAGATCTGAGAGTGCTAAAGCTTGGCTATACTAAGATAATAAAGTTAACAGGTGACATTGGAAGGCTTCAGAATCTGCAAGAGATCCGTGTAGAACATTCGGGCTTGAGAGAAATTCCCGCCAGCATTGGTAAACTTTCCTCCCTCAAGATCTTGGACCTAAAAGAGATGGACATTGTAGTGCCAGAACTCCCCACAAGTTTAAAGTGGCTAACCCTCTCACTCACCTCGCCTGGGGTTCCCAATCTCTCGGAGCTCAAGGACTTGGAGGGGCTATCATGGACTTGTTATGCACTTGACTTGTCTGTGAGCTGGTGGAAGCTGTCCAAGTTGAAGAACCTGACGTTGAAGCTGTTATACGAGGAATCAGTCAATCCCAACTACCAATATCGTTACTCTCCACGACGTGGTATGATAGCCCTTATCTCTTCCTCGCCTTCCCTTCCGTCATCACTAAATACCCTATCGATCTCAGGTTCTCGCTTTCAGCACTTGGAGAGACTGCCGAACCTTGTGAATCTGAGAAATTTGAGGAATCTATTTCTGGAGTATATTGGGGCACATAAGGTCGTCGGTCTGGGAGAGCTGAGCATGTTGCAGAAGTTCCACTTAAGCAATGCTCCAAATCTAATTAATCTCGATGGTCTCGAACATCTAGAGCTTCTGAAGACTCTGACGGTGAGTGATTGTGATGTACTGAGAAAACTGCCCAGCTTATCAAATTTGATCATGTTACGGGAGCTCCAGATCCTTTATTGCCCACTCCTCTTGGAAATCCAAGGGCTTGGAAGACAGGCCAGCTTATCATATCTAAAGATCCATGGATGTTATCGGTTGACTCGTGTGACGGGGCTTGACAAATTGGAGTCACTGCAAGTATTGAAGATTAATTATTGCACTTCGATTGAGTGGCTGCATGATCTATCCGCTTTGGAGCACTTGCGGGAGTTGAACAGCAAGGGATGCAATCAATTGACTGAGATGATGGGGATTGACAAATTGGAGTCGTTGCAAGAATTGGTGGTTACTGAGTGCGCGATTGAGGAGCTGCCTGATCTATCTGCTCTGGTGCTCTTGCAGAAGTTGAATATCTCCGAATGCAATGAGTTGACTGAGGTGAAGGGGCTTGACAAATTGCACTCATTGCGAATATTGAGGATTACTGATTGCGCTTCGATTAAGAAGCTGCCTGATCTATCTGCTTTCAAGCACTTGCGGGAGTTGACAATTACTGGATGTAATCAGTTGACAGAAGTTAATGGGATTGAGAGATTGGAGGGGTCAAGATATCTAACGATTGATGAAAGGCTGAAGACGAGTGAAACGATGGTACAATCGGAGCATGAGAGATTGGAGCCGTTGCATAGGGATAACAATTCGCGCCCGAAGATATGGTCCAGAATCCTCAGCTGCTGGGGAGTTTGTCTCAAGGACAGTGACATGGAATGGCTGTAGACATGTTGGGGAGGGGATCTGTCGAAGGAGTATCTGAAAGAGGCAGATGGAGAAGAAGCTCCAAAAATTGCTGCAAATTTCGAACACTTGAAGATTGTAAAGCTTAGGCATTTTGATTGATTTCATGAACTTGACGGTCTGAAGACTGCAGCGAAGATCAGATAGTTTATGTGAATAAATGATGTGTTCTGGTTCCATGTTTGCTTTCTTGCGATGTATAGTTTTTGGCTTCTCTAGCTACTACTTACTGGTTGTGAGGAATTAGGTGAATGATGTTGAGTATATTTGCTTGAATGACATTTTGTTGGCTGCAGAAATTTCCTAGCTGACATGTGAAATCTCTCGTTTAGGGCGAGCTCCAACTACTTATTTCCTTGCTCCTGCTGTGAAAAGTCCGAGAAAAGATCTATGGTGAATCACTCTACTGATTTCTACACTGATGCAACTTGCAACCCCTCCTACCTAGCTGCTGCTTCTTCCTACTGGGATGGCGGATGAACATATATGACCAGATGAAGAACAGAATCCACTCGAATGTGAGCCAAAGTGGAGAGCTGCTTCCTGCTTGCTGGTCGTGATTTTGATCCTAATGAAAGTTACATTCTCTCTTTCTGACTTGGGATGAGATTGAATAGCTCAAATTTGGGGGAGTCTTTATCCTCTGGGAAAATCAGAGGTTGTCCTAGTGCTGCAAGTGTTCTGCTTCTGCTGTCTGTCCAAATTAGCCAAACTAGCGAAGTTGACCGTTGTTCTTGGGGCTATTCAGGTTTGGTAAGTCGAGGTGCTCTTTCTTTTTGTCTCATGCTTACTGTGTCGTTTGCATTTGTGTTGGAACTGGGAGCTGATCAACATTTGGGAAGCTAGTGCATCTTTTTTAAGAGTGGTTTCAAAGCTAATTTTTTGTATGGGTTGACTTCTATCTCCCTGCCAATCTTCAGGCAGAAGTCTCTGAAGGATGCCAAACTTATGAATGAAGCTCTGAAGGTTTTCATCATCATCATGAATCTCTAATTACTACGAGAGTAGTCCAAAACTCTGCGTTTCACTTGATCATCGGAAGGTTATTTTCGTCGGTGAAATGGTAAATGCTCCCTCAGTGCCAAACTTCTTATGATGAACATCTCAGTCTCTCAGCATTCTTCACCCTTAGTCAATAAGCTGCTGCTGCTCATAATTTCATTGTCTTGTTCCTCAGTTAATACCCGGCACAGCAGTAGGGATTGACTGAGACGCTTGGGGGAGCGATCCTGGCGAGGGTTTGGAACAGCATTGCTCGCGGAAGATCCGATTATTGTAGTCGGAAGTTTTTCTGTTTCTATGTTGTTGTTCCAGCCGGTGCCAATTGCTGGAGCATGGGAGTGATGGGGTGGCGGGTGATTGCATGGTGCTTGCGGTGCTTATCGGAGACTGGGTTTTCACTTTGATTTCGGGTAAGTTATCATTACGATCTCTTATCATTTTGATCCATGCCCATGAGCTAGACAGTTTCTTGATTTCATAGTGTTTCTTTCGTCTTTCAGATTCTGTTCTAGACAAGGTAGAACTGGCTCGAATTGTTAAATCCTTATTATCATTTTTGGACGACCCTGTTCTTAGATTAACCTTTGATATTGGTCCTTTTTGTTTGAGTCTAGCTTCTAGGAAAAAGGTTTGTAGCATTGAAGTGGAAAGTGACGAATTCATTCATCTTACGAACCTTATAACGAGCCTAGCTTTGTTCTTCGAGTTTGTTTCATTTAAGGTTTGTTCTTAATCTTGATGATTAGATGTTTATTAAGTTGTAGGCAAGGTTTCTTCTTAATCAATAGAGTTTTCTTTGGTTTACCATCTTGCTCTTTAAAATTCGGTTTCCTTCATCATCAAGTTGTCGAACTGGCGCCATAAACTTTGTCGCCTGATGGAGATCGCCTTTTCAGAACCTTGGAATTGTTCACGCAAGACATCCCAAACTTCTTTGGCCTTTTTGATGCCATAGATTCTGGGGTAAATTGATTTGCTCACTGCTTGCTGAATGATTCTCATGGCGCTGGCATTTTGCTTGGCATTCTCCTTGTACTCCTTTGTCTGCTTGCCTGCTCGTTTTTTCGAGTCTTCATCATCGTCTTGTGGATCTTCATATCCTTCTTGGACGATATCCCACAGATATTGAGAGATGAAAATTGGCTCCATTTTGGCACTCCGGTACTCATACAATTCTCCATCGAAAATGAGAATTTGATTAAAAGAAGTAGCAAACATGGTATTTGAGGAAGTTGTTGCCATGGATTTTTGAGAAAATTTGTGTAGGCTAGAAATTTGGGGATTTTGGAGAGGATAGAAAGGTATTAGCTCTGATACCAAATTTGTTGGGTAATAGCGGAAGTAATGATAGAAATTAGGATCAAAACAAAGGAAACATATAGTGTTTAATCACTCAATTTAGGATTCACTCAATGTATAGAAATACACTTAACCAAACAATGCCTTAACTTTTTGGCTAATGCTCTTACAAGACTTACACGTAGAGACTTCTTTTTTTTTTTTTGTCTCACTCTCTGACCATTTAATTCTTCCAATACATACACTTATATAATGAATACATAATGGAAATGAAAGACAAACTATTAACTCACCACATGCATGGACCCTCATCTTCTTACACACATTACTTTATATGCATGAATAGTCCATTGAGATGACCATTGATTGGTCCATGCAATTTAATACATGTCTTCAATCTTCATCAAGTGGCTGTTCATTGGAGACTTGATAATGCACAACTATTATTGGTGGTTATGCCTTCTCATCATACCCACTTTAGGCTCCACTTTTATTAATTGAATTTTGGCCTACCATGTGAAGTGTTTAGATGTAGATTGATTGCTAATTACCATTCAACACCCCCTCTTAATTTGCAATCCGAAGTTGCTCATTGAGATTGGTTTGCACATTGCCATGTGAAATCTTTTCAGCATATCTTCGGTGTACTTCTCCTGTGAAATAAATATTTCTCCAGGTGACTGCTTCACTTGGATCCCAAGAAAATATTTCATGACTCCCAAGTCCGTCATCTCGAATTCTTTCATCATGGTACTTTTGAATTCTTCGATCATATGTTGATTTGTACCTGTGTAAATCAAGTTATCAACATACAAACAATCCATTAGAAAATCTTTTCCATCTCCCTTTTTGATGTAGAGAGATGCTTCACTCGGACTTCTTTGAAATCCGTTTTGCTGAAAATATTGATCAATTCTGCTGTTCCAGGCTCTCGGTGCTTGCTTTAGCCCGTATAAAGCCTTTCGGAGACGATAGACTTTGTCTTCTTCTCCTTTTTTCTCATAGCCTCGTGGTTGTTCCACATAGACTTCTTCTTCCAGTTCTCCATTCAAAAATGCTGATTTGACATCCAGCTGGTATACTGGTAACTCCAGTTGAGCAGCTAGAGCGAGAACTGTTCTGATGGTCTCCATCCTCGCTACTGGTGCATATGTCTCTTGAAGTACCTGGTGGATGTTTGATGGGGGATTTCGTGGGAATTCCTCCAAATATACATTGGCTCTGACTGAATAAATGCCGTTTGATCTCCATTGATTTAGATTCGAAGAGATTAGTAAATTTCGATATGTTCAGTTGATCAAATCCAAGATGACTGGAGAGGGTGGAAAAATATGAAGGTAATATAAATCGATAGAAATTTAGTATTTTTGTGATCCATTTGTTATATTATAGGTGTAAACAAGTACCTGTGTGTTTTCATAATGTAGGTGGTGCAGTAGCTGAGATCTGTACATTTATGGGACTGCATGGACTTAGAAGAAGCTCCTGACTTGTCCCAATGTATATGTGAGATTCCTGGTCGGGGGGTTGAGAATGTTGGAAACTTTGGCGATATCTGAGGCTCTCTATCTTGATGGCCTAAAACAACATCTCCTGCTTATGAAGATAGTTTGTGATGTACAGGAGAGACTACCAAATCTATATGATTTGACCAAGTTAGACAGAGTAGATATAAAATCCAGTGGCCTTGTCTCTGAAATCTCAAGCTTGGGCGACTTGGAGGAGTCTTTCTCCCGTCTGTAAATCAGCAGGCATATCAAGCCTTCTGGCCTTTCCGTGTTTGGAAGCACCAGAACGATTGGGTTTAACTCATACTCAGCCAATGGAACCTTCCGTGCAGCGATTGTCATCTGTTGTCACCAGAACTAATCCTTGATGTCTCTGGTCTGCTTAGCATGGCTGAGTTGTCTGTCATCACTTGCAAACACTTGATTGAGATCAGCGGAATTGAGAATGTTGTGCCTGTCTAGCTGCAAGTCAATCTGGAAGTAAGCTAGATCTTTCTGGTCTAAAGAATCTAAGGTTACTTGAGATCTTTGGGCACACAATTGACAGAGGTAACTGGCCTTGAGAATTTGGAGTCATTAGACTGGCTAGGTCTGGGTACTTGGGCATCGATTACAAAGTTGCCGGATTTATCACGGCTCAAACACTTGTTCAAGCTTAATTTTATTGGATGCATACTTACTGGAGTGGAGAAATTGAAGTTGTTCATTTGTCTGTTGGTGGATGGCTTGCTGGTGGCAAAGCATGAATATCCACTCTGCCCATATTGTCGAAATAGATCGGCCAACACCCATTGATGACTTGCTTAGGGCTCCAAGGAATCAAGGTTTGTAGCTAGCTATATCTTACTTGTGTTTAGGATTCATTTTTGTTAACTTGATTCAGGTTGATCCATGTCTGTGTCTAAGATATTACTTTTCCTCAGCTGCATTCTTGTTCCATTCGGTTAACGTGTTTAAGCACTACCACTGCAGGTCTGGTTCTAAAATTTGGAGGCATAACCAAACCAAAACGAACTTTCTTGCAATGGGGTTCATGCCTTCTTTGACAAGGCATCTCCACATTGACCTGCCCCCATAAATCAAAACCCCAATTTATGTTCCAATCTGCATGTCATCTCTGGACTGAGACCAGAACTAATCCCTGATTCTCTTATATGCAGAATATACATGACCTGTGTAAATTATTGGTTGCAAGCTGTTGACTGAAGGTGAAATTGGTTCGAGAGACTGGAAACGCTGCAGTCGTTATGCCTCCAGGGAGGCTAGATTGCTCGAGAAATTTGGCGTCATTTGGAACGATCAACGTGTCCGGCTGCACATAAGTGAAGAGCTTCCATTTTTTTGCAGAAATTTTATGGTTGTTTAGATATCAATGGTTGTTTGTTAGCAATTTAGCAGATTACTGCATCCACTCACTCGATATTCGAGTCGCTTGCCTATTTTGTTTGCGTAATTCTCACTTTGATTACCAAATCGAATCGTCAGATCAATCTTGTTTCCAGGATTTGGTTACGTTGCATGTTAGGGGAGGATGCAGCAGACAGTTGGCTGAAGTTACTGGAGTTGAAAGATTGGAGTCGTTATTCATTCGCGCCAATACTCCATGATAAATTGAAACACTATTGGGCTGGGCTTCCTTTTGGCCCAAATATCTACACACCGACCCAACTCCAAAGTCCAACCCCGATTAATCGGTTGGCCGCTGGTTGCCGGTTTTCGGGACTATCTTAATCCTGGAAGCGGAGCTCCGGGCGACGGCGCGGGCTTTCCCTTGTTCGGTCATTGGGACGTGGAGGTGGAATTAGATTCTCAGATGGCGGCCAGACTTATCGGCGGAGGGAATCATCCGTTCCACAGCGAAGTACCATGGTTTTGCTCGATTACTCTACACTCCAGCCAGGCTGACCAGGTCGCCGATATGCTCGCTGACTTGGGTCATCAATGCACAGAAGGTGAAGGACTAGTGCCCCATCCTCCGGCAGAAGTTCTACCAATTTTGGGAGACTGATTGAATGGCTTCTTGCATAGAAGCCCAGCCGTTTGTTTGCTTTGATATGTCAGGCCCCTAATCGATTAGGGACTCGCCGGATCTATCTGTTCTTGGAAATCTGGAGGAATTTGATTATCGCCGAGTGTGCACACTGTTGGAAATCGAATTCCTCCAGATTTCCAAGAACAGATAAATCCGGCAAGTCCCTAATCGATTTGCAGCCTGACATATCAAAGCAAACAAACGGCTGTTGGAAATCGATGCCTGAGAGTTCAGAGTGTTGTTGAGATCACTCAGCATGATCGATTGCCAATCGATCGCCCAGTTGCCAGATTTTGTCTCGATTCGCGAGTCTGGACTCATTGCTGTGTAGTGTCATACGGCTGACTGAGTTTGTGGGGCTTGAGATGTTGGAGCCGCTAAGATTGCTTAAGAATTGGCAGGCTGCTGGTTCAATGAAGTTGCTGCTGGATTTATATTGTTTAGAGAATCTGGCTGCTTTAGATATCAGTGAACGCAGTGAGTTAACCGTCGTGGTGGGGCTCGAAAACTTGGAGTGGTTGCGAGAGCTGAAGATGAGTTACTGGCATTGAGAACTTGGAGGGGTTGGTGATTGGTTGAAATCGCCAACAAAATTGTATGCAACCTACTCGTTTGTGGAAGGCAAACCTTTGTGTCGTTTGGTTCCTTAGTACACGTGTGTGGACTTTCATCTAAAAGCTTTATGCTCGTAGAATAATCTACCAAGTAACCTTTCCTGGAAGCACGTTTGTGTACTTTTCCTGGAATCACATTTGTAGATTATCAGTCAACTCTTGGTTGTTGGAATGACTATGCCGTGCATTTCCTTTGATATCATCAATGGTCGTTGTTTACTTTTATTTTGATGTTCATTCCAGTGGTCATTGTTTACATTACTTTTATTGGTCAATGTTTACTTTACTTTTAGCTAGCGGTTCCTTGCTTAGCTTTTGCTGTCTGTAGTTGTTGTTTGCAATTTTTTCTCTCTTTTATTTGCTTTGGGTTCGTCATTGGTACTCAACCTTCTCTACTTCTTTCACTCCCTGCTCGTTCCAAATCATCCAGAATTCAAGAGTTTCCGATCGATTCCTAAAGAGACTGCATTGGTTCTCCGGATTACGTTTGGGTAAGCCAACTAGTAATCTGTAAGTGTCACTGTGGTGGTTTGTGTTTCCGGTCTTTTGAGGCTTTGTGGGTAACACAAAATTTTTACTTATATTTATCATCTACAGAGATCGATTTGGCCGGAAAAGAATGGAGCACATCTGGTCTAGTGTACTGGCTGTGTTTGCTGTATTTCTCCCTGCAGTCGCTGGAGCAGTACTCTTACTTCAGAAGAAGAGCTCCAGAACCTCCACCTCTTCATCTCCTCCTCCTTCGACGCAGCCTCTTCCAGCTGCAGACTACGAGGTTTTCTTGAGCTTCAGAGGCCCAGATGTTCGCACAACTTTCACGGATTTTCTGTATAGTTACCTGGATCATTCGAGCATTCGAACATTTATAGATGAAGAAGAGCTTCCCAAGGGGGAGGAAATTAGGGCTTCTCTCGTGAAGGCTATCCAGGAATCCAAGATATATATTCCAATCCTTTCCAAAGACTATGCTTCAAGTAAATGGTGCCTCCAAGAGCTAGCTCTGATGGTGAAGTGCTGGAAGCAAGGAAAGGGTCACCTCATCCTCCCCATTTTCTTTCTGGTGAATCCTAGAGAGGTGCGGCATCAAGAAGGTTGTTACAAGAAAGCATTTCGACGGCACAGTGAGAAATATGACGCAGACACCGTGAACGAGTGGAAGGAAGCTATGGAGGAAGTCGGGAAAATGAAGGGGTGGCATGTGAGTGAAGCAGATAGGTAACTTTTCTGGTTTACCCATAAATTATAGAAATGATGGTTACTTATGTATTCACGGACGTTAACAATACTCCGAATAGTTTCACAGATCAAAGTAGGACAGAGTTAGTGTTAGAAACACGTTTTCTAAGGAAAACGAGTTTCTATATTATCATTATTATTAGGTTTTATTAAATATGGTTAGTAGTCTTTTAGTAGAATTAGGTTTAGTATTAGGTTTCTTATCTTTCGTTATAAATATGTACTTTGCGTTTTATTCAGAAGCAAGCAAGAACAATTATTCAGAAAAGTATCTCAAACCCTAATCTCTCTCAAATTCGTCACTTATCCCTAGGCCGTCGGCCATTCTTCTCCTCGATCCCCAATTTCCTCTTCTAAATCCCTAATCCCCAATTCTGTTCTTCCCCAAGTCTATCTCAATCCCTAAATATCTATCAATTCCCAATCTTATCACTCGATCGTTAGAACCCTAGAAATAGGTTTCTAACAGTTAGTAAACCCTATAATTTGATTGCCTTTGATGCTTTAACGTGTTCATATACGTGACATGTATACGATTTCCAGACAGAGAGCTATAGTTGCTGAAGTCTTTTCTATAGTGAGGTCGCATCTGATGAAGAATTACAAGTTAGTGACGGGTCAGCTGGTTGGAATTGATCCTCACATTGAGCAAGTGAAGGGGATAATAAACAAAGGAGTGCAAATTGTTGGCATTCAAGGTATGAGCGGTATTGGTAAGACCAATATAGCCAAAACCGTTTACGACAGTGTTAATGCACAGTTTGATCAATGCTGCTTTGTGGAAGACGTGCGAGACATATTGTCAAAGAATGACGGAGTTGTGACTTTGCAAAACAAAATTCTATCTGGCATTCTAAGGGGAGATGTCGCCGTGAAAGATGCTAGCCAAGGAATCCAAAAATTAAAAGATGCAGTTCGCTGCTCGAAGAGCATGCTCTTCGTTCTTGATAACATAGATGAGGGGTTTGTGTTCGTCGACACCTTGGGAGATTTAACTGATTTTCACTCAAAATGTCAATTTATTATTACAGCAGTGGATGAGAGAGTTTTTAATTTCTTTCAAAATTATGAGTTGTACCAACCAGAGGGAATGACTGCTGATATCGCCCTTAAACTCTTTAGTAGACATGCCTTTGGGACTGATTATCCTCCCCAAGAGTACATTGATCTATCTAGGGACTTTGTAGAAATTGCAGCAGGTCTTCCATTGGCTCTCAAGACCACAGGTTCACTACTTTTCCGCAAAGATAAAAGTTTTTGGAGTGCAAAGTTGATGCAGTTACAGGACATACCTCCTACCAAGGTGCAAGAGAGACTGAAGATAATCTATATGGACTTGACGCCCGAGGAAAAACACATTTTTCTTGATATTGCTTGTTATTTTATTGGTGAACCCTATGATCGATTGTCCTGCTTGTGGAGTGACTCCAATTTACACCCTTTGATAGTGATTGATACTCTTTGTCTCAAGTCACTGATAAAAATCAATGAGAGAAATGAATTCTGGATGCACGATCAGTATAAAATCCTTGGCAGAGCTATTGTTCGTGAGGAAGACATTCTAAATCCTTGGAAGCGCAGCAGGATGTGGTCCAACAAGGATGTGGTGGACATGCTAAGAGATAAAGAGGTATTATCTACATTATTGTGGTTTTCCTTGACAAAATTATGGATTGCACTTCAAATTTATTTTAGACAGAATACATCACTATGGCACTTCAAATTTTCATCTTAACAGGGAAATGAACGGCTGGAAGTTCTTAGAGTTAACATGAGTGGTGAGGATTTTGAGCTCACGGAGAAGGAATTCCAGAAATTGTCAGGATTAAGATATCTCGAAGTATGCTTTGGAAAGCTGACTGGAGATTTCAAGAAGATTCTTCCGAATGTACGTTGGCTACAACTTCAGGAATGTAGTTCAATTCCTATCGATTTCAATGTGAAGAAATTGGTGATCCTTGATTTGAAGAATTGCCCTGTGAGGGATGACTGGAGAAGCTGGAGCGGAATAAAGGTTAGTAGTTGTCTTACTTAATTCCATCTTTATGATGATAAAATTAGGCCATATCTGGAATGGTTGACCACAACCCATTCATGTCAGAAATTACGATAGAATCTGTATTTGGTGATTTCTCAAATCCATTTTTTGGATGAGGTATCTTCAGTCCCTAAATACTTTCGTAGTTAATGAGTCGATCCACCTCTAACCATCTACATTACAAATTCACGCATTCAAACGGTTCAACATTTATCTTTTCTTAAAAAAAGAAAACAACATTTGTCAATTGTAGCAGTGTATCTTGTTTAACAATTATCCTCATAACATATTCTTTTATTGCCATGTTTTCATGATTCAGGAGGCTTGCAGGCTGAAGGCTATAAATATGTCATGTTGCAATGACATGAGAGAAGTTCCGAATTTGTTCGGATGTAGAAATCTAGAATGGATAAATTTCAGGCATTGTCTTATGATGGGTGGGGAACTTCACATTGGCAATTTCAAGGATCTGAGATTGCTACATGTTCTCAACACTAAGATAACAAAGTTAACAGGTGACATTGGAAGGTTTCAGAATCTGCGAGAGATAATGCTAAATGACTGGAGCTTGAGAGAAATTCCTGCTGCCATTGGTAAACTATCCTCCCTCGAGAACTTGAACCTACTAGGACTTGAGATTGAAGTGTCAGAACTCCCCACAAGTTTAAAGAGGCTATGGCTCTCGTCGCCTAGAGTTTTGAATCTTTTGGAGCTTAAGCACTTGGAGATGCTCTGTTTGAATTGTGATGGACTTGAGATTACTGGGGATATGTTTAAGCTGTCCAAGTTGAAGCATTTGTCGTTGACCGATGTTGGGAATGGAAAGGGTGCCCTTGTTCGACGACTTGGTATGAGAACATTTATTTCTTCTTCTCCTACCTTCCCATCATCTCTGAACACCCTACGGATTAGTGGGTGTCAGCCTTTGAAGAGACTTCCGAACTTTGCGAATCTGAGTAATTTGATGATATTAGATTTGAGTCATATTGGGGTGCATGAGATTGCCGGTCTGGGAGAGCTGAGAATGCTGGAAGAATTCCGCTTAAAGGATGCTTCAAAGCTAACTAATCTCAATGGTCTTGAACATCTTGAGCTTTTGGAAGAACTTTGTGTGACTGGTTGTGGTGTACTGAGAAAACTACCCAGCCTGTCAAATTTGAACAAGTTACGGGTGTTTTATATTGTTGATTGTCCACTCCTCTCTGAAATCCAAGGACTTGGCGGACTGGGGAATTTATCGAGTCTTGGGATCACTCGATGCCATCAGCTTACTGAGTTGATGGGGCTTAACAAATTGGAGTCGTTGCAAGAATTGAATATTTATGATTGTGCGTCGATTAAGAAGCTGCCCGATCTATCTGTTTTAAAGCAGTTGTCGAAGTTGAAAATTACGCGATGCAATCTGTTGCCAGAAGTTATTGGGATTGAGAGATTGGAGTCTTTAGATATCCGAATGCTTGATAAAAGGCTAAAGACGTTTAAGGGTAAAAAGAGGGTAAAACGAAGCATTGAAATCAATGCTGATTAATTATCTTGTTCCGTATCAGGTGCGTTCTGGTTGACTCCCTTATTTCTTGAGCCTGGAATCCCATGAATAACTAGTAATCTATATGGTCTTAGAAATCTGGAGGAACAGATTTCAGGATTGTACTTCATTCACCTACTCCCCATAGTCTTCTTTACTTTGATTTGAATCAGTCTTCAATACCGTAAGTTCTCAAAAGTCTTTGAAACCTTTGGCTATATTCTTCCTTTAAATCCTTTCTAGTTCATTTGTCTTATTTCTTCTGATGAATGTTTCACTTAATCAATAAGCTGCTGCTGCTCTTAATATCACTGCCTTGTTCCTCAGTTAATACCCCGAGCAGCCGCAGGGATTGATGGAGATGCTCCCGGGGGGCGGGGGGATTCCAGCGAGGGTTTGGAACGAGCGTTGCTCGTGAAAGGTCTGGTTCGTGCTGCCGCGAAGTTTGTCTGTTTCGATTCTCCTGTTGTTGCCGCTGGCTCCAATTGTTGGAGCAAGGGAGCGACAGGGTGGCGGGTGATTGCATGGTGCTTGCAGGCTGAAAGCTATTAATGTATCGTTTTGCAGTGGCATGAGAGAAGTTCCAGATTTGTCTTGGATGTAGAAATCTAGAATGGAAAATTTCAGGCATTGTCTTATGATGGGCTGAGAAGTTCACATTGCTACACGTTGCCTTTTGATCTATCAATTTCATCAGTTTACTGGGTTGATGGGGCTTAACGAACTGAAGTCATTGCAGAAAGTGGAGATTAATAATTGTGCGTCGGTTAAGAAGCTGCCTAATCTTTCTGCTTTAAAGCACTTGTGGGAGTTGAAAATTACGCATCGCAATCTGTTGACTGAAGTTATCAGGATTGAGAGATTGGAGTCTTTAGATATCGTAGCCTGATGAAAGGCTAAAGGCGCACAAGAAAGACCAGTACCGAGTTCAGAATGACAACTAGTAATTTATCTGGTCTTTGAAATCTGTAGGACAGTAGGAGTAAATTATTGATGAGTGCAAGCATCGGCAGATGCAACATTATTGCATTTATCAGGAAAATTTCAGGAATGTACATTCACCTACTCTCCAAAGTCAACTCTTGACTTTGCTTTGAATCAGTCTTCAATTACCAGTTGTTGTCAAAAGTCTTCGCAACCTTTTGCTATATTCTTTCTTCGAGCCCTCTAATTCATTTGTCTCCCAAATCAATTAGCAATCAACTTCTAAGAGTTTCTGCTACTGATAAAATTACCTTCCTGAAGGAGCCTAGCTTTGTCCTTCGAACTTATTTCAGGTGACGTTTCCCAGATTGTTGTTTTTCTGCTTCCTATTAAGTTTCACGATGGTGTGGTTTCCATTTTCCAATCTCTTGGAAATTCATTATGTTGTTTCATCTGTAGAAGAAGATGGAGCAATTCAGGCTGAATCCTATCGCCTCGTCATCCCATTTCCCGGATCCTCTTCCAGCTGTAGAGTACGAGGTGTTCCTGAGCTTTCGAGGTCCTGATGTCCGCACGACTTTCGCGGATTTCCTCTATAGACTCCTGGATCGTCCCAAGATACGAACCTTTCTTGACGATGAAGAGCTACGTAAGGGGGAGAAGATTGCCCCTTCTCTCGTCAAGGCAATTGGGGAATCCAGAATATACATCCCGATTCTTTCCCCAGGCTATGCCTCTAGCAAATGGTGCCTCCAGGAGCTAGCTCTGATGGTGGAACGTTACAAGCAAGATGAAGGTTGTCAAATCATACTGCCCATTTTCTATTTGATGGAGCCTAGAGATGTGCGGCATTGTCAGGGTTCCTATGAGGGAGCATTAGAACAACATAGATTGAAATATGGTGAAGAATCCATTAGGGCCTGGAAGGATGCTCTCGGAGAGGTTGGGCAAATGACTGGATGGCGCGTAACCGAGTCGGATAGGTAATGCAGTTTTCTCTGTGTTTTCAATTCATGGACTTGGCTGCATGTGTTTGATTGATATTGAATACTACATGTGAAACAACCTTGTATCTGCAGCTGACATACGAGCTTGTGTTTAATTTCCAGACAGGGAGCAGTGGCAGAAAGTGTTTTCTCTGAGGTGTGGTCACATATAAAGGGGAACTACATGTTAGTGACTAATGAGTTGATTGGAATTGATTCTCATGTGAACCAAGTGATAGAGTTGCTGAAATCAGATTTAGACGGCGGCGCTAGTGTCGTCGGCATTCATGGTATGGGCGGTATCGGTAAGACCACTATCGCCAAGGCCGTCTATAATAAGGTCTTCACACAATTTGAGCGTCACTGTTTTCTGGAAGATGTCCGAGAAACACTATCGTTGAAGAATGACGGCGTTATAACTCTGCAGAGTAAGATTATTTCTAGCATTCTAAGGGATGATCACAAGGTTAGAAATGCCAGTGAAGGAATCCACATTATGAAAGATAGAGTGTGCCCCCACAAGGTTCTCATTATTCTCGATGATGTGGATGATCGGTTTGTGTTTGAGCAAATCCTTGGTGAAGTAAGAAAATTTTCTCCTGAAAGTAGGTTTATCATCACAACAAGAGATCAAAGGGTACTAGAGTTGCTTCAAGTATCTAAGCTCTACGAACCTGGAGGGTTGGGTCATGACCATTCCCTTCAACTTCTACGTAGACATGCGTTTAGAATGGATAATCCTTTTGAAGACATGGCGACCCTGTGTGAGGAGTTTGTAGAAGTTGCAGCGGGGCTTCCTTTGGCTCTTGAAGTTATTGGGTCGCTTTTGTTTCGTAGAGATAGAAAATTCTGGGAAGCTAAGTTGATAGAACTAAAGAGAATACCTCCCACCAAGGTGCAAGAGAGATTGAAGATAAGCTATGATGAGTTGAGTGGTAGTGAAAAACAAATTTTTCTCGACATAGCTTGTGCTTTTATTGGAGAAAACAAGGAATTGCCTTTCTTTATGTGGAGTGATTGTGATTTTAATCCGGAAAGTGGAATTAATACACTTATTTTGAGGTCCTTGATAAAGGTGGATGAGGATAATAAGTTTTGGATGCATGACCATATAAGAGACCTTGGGAGAATGATTGTTCGTGAAGGAGATGATCAACATCCTTGGAACCGGACAAGAATTATGTCGAACGAGGATGCGGTGGACATGTTAATCAATGGAGAGGTATTCTGTTTCTAGTAATGTTTCTATATAAGCATGCTACAAAGTTCTTAACTATTTAGGGACAAATAGTACATGACATTTTTCATTATTAAGTTCGTGATGTTCAAATTCATAAGATTACTGGTTCTTCCATTTGATATTCTTCTACCTCCTTCCCTTTTCCTATGTGATTATGATTACTTAAGAGTTAAGATAGGATCTAAAGGTTTTGTGGGTATGATTTCATTTTAACAGGGAACTGAGCGGTTGGAAGTTCTTAGAGTGGACATGTTAGATCAGAAATTTGAGCTCACGGAGAAGGAATTTCATAAATTTTCAGGGTTAAGGTATCTTGAAGTGCGCTATGGAAAGCTGACTGGAGATTTCAAGGAGATTCTTCCGAGTCTACGTTGGCTGCGACTTTTTAATTGCAGGTCAATCCCTATCGATTTCAATGTTAAGAAATTGGTAATTCTGGACCTGACAGATTGCCCTGTAAGAGATGACTGGAGATGCTGGGAGAGAATCAAGGTTATTAATGTTCCTACTTCATTTCATATTTATGAAGATTAAATTTATGTTTGTGTGATATCTGAAATTGGAGATTTCGATGAGAGATTTTCGGTTCTTCAATAATCAATACTTCTATTATTAATGTGATGACCTATTTCTGTCTACCTACAGTATACATTTCACATTCAAAAGTTCTTACATTTATTTTTTCTTGGAAGAGTATAAATCTACGTTAGCCGGCATATCTAGTTTAATGATTATCCTTATAACATATTTTTGTTATTGGTGTGTTGTTATGATCTAGGAGGGACACAGGCTAAAAGCTATAGATGTATCGCGCAGCTTCAATGTGACAAAAGTCCCGGATTTGTTCGGATGTACAAGTCTAGAACAGATAAATTTTGGGAGTTGCCCGAACATGGGTGGGGAACTTCACATTGGCCATTTGAAGGATCTGAGAGTGCTAAGCATTCGCTGGACTAAGATCACAAAGCTAATAGGTGACATTGGAAGCCTTCGGAATCTGCAAGAGATCAATGTAGATTTGACGCTCTTGAGAGAAATTCCTGCTAGCATTGGTAAACTTTCCACCCTTAAGATCTTGGTACTAGGGCGGCTTGAGAATGAAGTACCAGTACTCCCAACTAGTTTAAAGCGTCTATCCGTCTCATCGCCTAGGGTTCCCAATCTCTTGGCGCTCAAGGACTTGGAGGAGCTATCGTGGAGTTGTGGACTTGAGATTCCTGGGGATATGTCGAAGCTGTCCAAGTTGAAGGATCTGACGTTGGTGAAGGTTGGCAATCGGAAGGATGCCTTTGTTCTTCACAAAGAATCAGTTGATCCCGACGACCAGAATCATTATTCTCTTCAGCGCGGTGGGAGAACTCTTATATCTTCCTTGCCTGCTCTTCCGGCATCTCTAAATACCCTATCGATCGAGGGTGATGCCCCTAGGCCTTTGATGAGACTGCCGAACCTTGCGAATCTGAGTAATTTGATGAAATTAACTTTGGGTCTTATTGGGGTACGTGAGATCGCCGGTCTCGGAGAGCTGAGGATGCTGGAAGACTTCAGCTTATGGAGTGCTTCAAATCTAATTAATCTCGATGGCCTCGAACATCTAGAGCTTCTGAAGGATTTGCGGGTGAGTGATTGTCGAGTACTGAGTAAACTGCCCAGCTTCTCAAATATGAGCTTGTTACGGGAGCTCAAGATCTTTAAATGTCCTGTACTGAGAGAACTGCCTAGCTTGTCAAATTTGACCAAGTTACAGGTGCTCAGGATCTTTGATTGTCCACTCCTCTCTGAAATTCAAGGGCTTGGTGAACTGGCGGAGTTATCAACTCTACATATTCTAAGATGTGATCGGTTGAGTGGGGTGGTCGGGCTTGAAAAATTGAAGTCGTTGCGAGTATTGGAGATTCATGATTGCCCTTCGATTGAGAAGCTGCCGGATCTATCTGCTTTGGAGCTCTTGAGGAAGTTGGAGATTACGGGATGGAGAGAGTTGACTGAGGTGATGGGGCTTGACAAATTGAAGTCATTGCAAGAATTGGTTATTTGTGATTGTCATTGGATTGAGAAGCTGCCTGATCTATCTGCTTTAAAGCGCTTGTGGAAGTTGGCAATTATTGGATGCAATCAGTTGACAGAAGTTACGGGGATTGAGAGATTGGAGGGGTCAAGATATCTAAAGATTGATGAAAGGCTGAAGACGCGAAGATGAGTGAACGGATGTTAAAATTGGAGCATGAGAGATTGGAGCCATTACGTAGGGATTTGTCGCAAAGACAGTGATATCGTATCGCTATAGACAACAACATGTTGGAGAGGGGATTTGTGTAAGGAGTATTTGAAAGAAGCAGATGGAGAAAAGCTCCAGAATTTGCTGTCAAGTCGAAACACTTGAGACTGTAGAGCTTAAGTGGTTAGATTGATTTCGTGAACTTGAGGGTCTGAAGACTACAGCAAAGATCAGATGGTTTATGTGAGTGATGGGTTCTGGGTTCCATGTTTGCTTTCTTGCAGAGTTTTTGGGTTCTCTAACTACTACTTTAGTGGTTTGTGGAGATTTAGGTGAATGACGATAAGTATATTTGCTTGAATGACATTTTGTTGGCTGCAGTAATTTCCTTGCTGACATGAATTTTCTTTCGTCGAGGGCGACCTTCGACTCCTTAATTCCTTGATCACATTGAAAGTTACATCCTTTCTTTCTGACTTGGGATGAGATGTCTTTATCCTTTGGGAGAGGTTTTCCAAGTGCAGCAAGTATTCTGCTGCTCTGCTTTCTGAAGGATGCCGAACGTATGAATGAAAACTCTATAAAGTCTTTTCACCATCATCATGAATCTCTAATTTAATACGAGGGCCGTCTAAAACTCTGTGTTTTACTTAATCATCTTCCGCTTATTCTCTTCGGTTTAATGGTAAAATTTCTCCTTCACTGCCAAACTTCTTCTTATGAACATTTCAGTCTCTCCGCAAGTCAGCATTCTTCACCCTCGGTTGATAAGCTGCTGCTGCTCTTTAATATCACTGCCTTGTTCCTCAGTTAACACCCCGAGCAGCAGCAGGGATTGACGTAGACGCTCGGGGGAAGCGATTCCGGCGAGTGTGTAAGGCCCGATTCGTGCAACAGCAAACTTTGTTTGTTTCGGTGCTGTTGTTGCCGCCGGCGCCAATTGTTGGAGAAAGGGAGCGACGGGTGGCGGGGTGATTGAATGGTGCTTGTGGTGCGAGTGTGGGGGCCCCAACGGCGAGGGGAGATGAATGGAAGCGGAACTGCGATGCTGCTCCGGCCATCGGCGGCCGATTCGACGAGTGAGTGGAAGATTAGTGAAGCGGGAAGGCTAAAAAAGGAAAATTTTCACCTAACCAACAACCCCTAAGGTAGTTGTTTACACATTTGATCAGTCATTGAATATTATTAAGTACAAAGACTAATTCGCAGGCATTTTGTTGGCTGCAGAAAGTTCCTTGCTGATGACATGAATTTTCTCTCGTTGAGGGCGAGCTCCAATTCCTTGTTCCTGCTGTGAAAAAGACCGAGAAAAGATCTATGGCGAATCACTCTACCGATATCCACGCCGCATGGAGCAAAAATGGGATGAGAGATGATGGATTCACCTAACCTTGACTAACAACAACCACAAAGGTAGTTGTTTAAATTTGATTAGTCATTAAATATTATTAAGTACGAGGCTTAAGGTCTCCCCAACTTATGCTATATCCTCGATACCCAATCAGGGCATTACTCATCCAATTTGACAAGGTTGCATCTAGAGAGATTGGAAACTTTTCTTATCTGGGACTGGTTCTTCGCTTCAATTCCGGGTAAGTTATCATTACGATCTTTTTTCATTTTGATCCATGCCCATGAGCTAGACAGATTCTTGATTTCATGTTGTTTGTTTCGTCTTTCAGATTCTGTTCTAGACAAGGTTGAACTGGGTCGGATTGTAAATCTTTATCATTTCTGGATGACCCTGTTCTTAAGAGTTATCTTTGATATTGGGGCCTTTTTGTTTGAGTCGAGCTTCTAGGAACAAAGGTTGTAGCATTGAAGTGGAAAAGGGATTAACTCATTCACCTTACTAGCCTTAACGAGCCTAGCTTTGTTATTCGAGTTTGTTTCAGGTAAACTTTCTGAGACTGTCGTCTTTTTCAGTATTCCAATTGAGGTTCTCTATGGTGTGGGTTCAGTTTTCCATTCTCGGGACTTCCTATTGTTAATATCTGTAGGAGAGGATGGAGCAAATCGGGTCAAATGCTATCCCTTCGTCTTCCCATTCCCCGGCTCCTCTTCCAGCTGTAGAGTACGAGGTTTTCCTGAGCTTTAGAGGTCCTGACGTCCGCAAGACGCTGGCTGATTTCCTTCATAAATTCCTGAATAATAAAAAGATACGGACCTTTCTTGACAATGAAGCGCTTCGCAAGGGTGAAGAGATTGACGGTTCTCTTGCCAAGGCAATTGAGGAGTCCCGAATATACATCCCGATCTTTTCCCCGGGATATGCGTCTAGCAAATGGTGCCTCAAAGAGCTAGCTCTGATGGTGGACCATTGCAAGAAAGATGAAGTTCGTCACACCATCCTGCCCATTTTCTATCTCATGGAGCCTAGAGATGTGCGCCATTGCACGGGTTCCTACAAGACAGGAATAAAACGACTGAGACAGACTAAGAAATATGATGAAGAAACCATTAAGGCCTGGAAGAAGGCTCTCAATGAGGTTGGGCAAATCAAAGGATGGAGCGTGAAAGAGTCAGATGGGTAATGCAATTTCTCTGTGTTTTCAATTCATGGGCTTGGTGTATCTGTCTTTGACATACAAACTTGTGTTTGATTTCCAGGCAGGGAGCAGTGGCAGAAGAAGTTTACTCTAGGGTGTGGCCACTGGTACACGAGAAGTTCAAGTTAGTGACGCATGAGCTGATTGGAATCGATTCTCACGTAAACCGAGTGTCGGAATTGCTGAACTTGGGAAGCGGCATCAATATAGTAGGCATTCATGGTATTGGTGGTATCGGCAAAACCACTATCGCCAAGGCCGTCCATGACAAGCTCGGTACAGAATTCGAAAGTCGTTGTTTCGTGGAAAATGTACGAGACATACAATCATCGGAGACGGAGAGTGAAGCCATTAACACCCTGCAGAGTAAGATTATTCTTAGCATTCTAGGAGAAGATCACAAGCTTAGAAGTGGCGAAGGAATGGCCATTATAAAAGACAGAGTACGCTCCAAAAAGATTCTCATTATTCTTGATGATGTGGATAAAGAGTTCGAGTTTGAGAAAATCTTAGGCAAAGTAAGCGAATTTTCTTCTGAAAGTAGATTTATCATCACAACAAGATATACAAGGGTGTTCGAGTTGCTTGGAGTATCTAGGTTATATGAGCTTAAGAGGATGAGTGATGACCATTCCCTTCAACTTTTTCAAAGCTATGCTTTTCAGAAAGATGAACCCCTAGAGGACAGAGAAACTTTGTGTAAGCAGTTTGTAGAAGCTGCTGCGGGGCATCCTTTGACTCTTCAAGTTATAGGGTCGCTTTTGTTTCGTACAAGTTTAGAATTTTGGAAAGGGAATTTGGAAAAACTAAAGGATATGCCTCACCCCGATGTGCAAAAGAGATTGAAAATAAGCTATGATATGTTGGAACTTGAAGAAAAAGAAATCTTTCTCGACATTGCTTGTGCTTTTATAGGAAGCAACAAAGAATATCCTTCTTATATGTGGGAGGATTGTAAACTTTATCCTGGAAGTGGAATTCAGACTCTTATTTGGAGGTCCTTGATTAAGTTGGATGAGAATAATGGATTTTGGATGCATGATCATTTGAGAGACATGGGGAGAAGGATTGCTCGCGAAGGAGAAGGTCAACATTGTAGGAAGCACACAAGAATATGGTCTCGCAAGGATGCGATGGATATGTTACACAATGGAGAGGTATTATGTTTCTAGTACTCCTTTGTTTCTTGGTGCGAACGAGATTTCGTGAATAATTTTCTTTGAGGTCTCACTTGGTAGGTTTTGTGGGTATGATTTCATTTTAACAGGGAGCTGACCATGTGCAAGTTCTTCTAGTCAGCATGGAATATAAGGATTTTGAGCTCACAGAGAATGCATTTCAAAAATTTACAAAGTTAAGGTATCTCGTAGTGTACAATGGGAAGGTGCCCGGAGATTTTAAGAAGATTCTTCCAAATCTACGTTGGCTAGAACTTTACAGATGCAGTTCAGTTCCTATCGGTTTCAATGCCGAGAATTTGGTGATTCTGATGCTAAGAGAGAGCAATGTGATTGGTGACGGGGGATTGGGAAGCTGGGGCGGAAATAAGGTTATTAATTTTCCTATAAGAATTCAGCTTCCAACTCATGTTTTATATTCAAATGAATCCCTATAAATTGTAAGTGCTGTCATAATACAGGTGGGACAAAGGCTGAAAATTATAGATATATCCTTCTGCAACAAAGTAACAGAAGTCCCGGATCTGTCCGGATGTGGAAGCCTAAAATGCATACATTTCAAGCGTTGCCCGAACATGGGCGGTGAACTTCACATTAGCCATTTGAAGGATCTGGAAGAGCTATACGTTTCCGGCACTAAGATAACAAAGATAATATGTGACTATGTTGGAAGGCTGCAAGCGAACTGCGTAGAAGAATACTCGCACTTGAGAGACCACCTGCGCAGCTTGTCAAAATTGACCAAGTTATGGGTGCTCGAGATCAGTTGTTGCTTGGTACCCTGTAAAATCCAAGGGCTTGACCAACTGGGGGATTTAAGTATTCTAAGGATCGGCTGGTGTCATCAGTTAAGTGGGTGTAATCACTCTAGTAGTGCGATGGGGCTTGACGAATTATTGGAGTCTTTGCAAGGTCCTCCGATTATGGAGCCGCTTGATCTATCTGCTTTGAAGCACTTGCGGGAGTTGACAATGGACGGACGCCATTATATGTTTACTAAGGTGATGGGGCTTGACAAATTGGAGTCACTGGAAAAATGCGAGATTGGTCATTGCACTTTCTCGGAGAAGCTGCTTGATCTGTCTGCTTTAAAGCACTTGAAGATTTTGAAGATTTATGGATGTTTTGGGTTGACCGAGTTGATGGGGCTGGGCGAATTGGAATCATTGGGAGTATTGTCGATTTATGATAGCTGGTCGATCAAGAAGCTATCTGATCTATCTGCCTTGGAGCTCTTGCGCGAGTTGACAATTGCATGCCTTGAGTTGACTGAGATTACGGGGCTTGAGAGATTGCAGTCCTTAGGTACTTGTAAATCTTTGTATCTCGGGTTGGCGAGAGCGGAGATACTTAAGATCAATTGAGCAACCCAAAAATAATAAGCAACTATTTTGACGTGGGTGGTTGCTGCTTGTGGGACACGGACTAGCAAAGGAGTTGTGCCAGTTTTTTCCTGCAGGGATTGGGAACGACGGTTTCACCATTGGTGTTGAGATCGATCATCGCTTGCAGGAGACCAACGCATTAAGAGTTTCTGTCTTCTATGCTGTTTTTGGCTCTACTTTTGTGTCATACTGTATTTTCCTTCGGTCTATCCCTTGGATGTTTTGCATGAGGGTAATACTTCTGTTCGTCGCAAAGACAGTGATATCATATCGCTGTAGACAACAGGTTTGGGAGGGGATTTGTGGAAGGAGTATTAGAAAGAAGCAGATGGAGAAAGAAGCTCCAAAAATTGTTGTCAAGTCCAAACACTTGATGAATGTAAAGCTTAAGCAGTTAGATTGATTTCCTGAACTAGAGGGTCCGAAGGCTGCAGCGAGGATCAGATGGTTTATGTGAATGATGGGTTCTGGGTTCCATGTTTGCTTTCTTGCGATGTAGAGTTTCTGGAGATTTAGGCGAATGACGATAAGTATATTTGCTTCAATGACATTTTGTTGGCTGCAGAAATTTCCTTGCTGACATGAATTTTCTCTCTTCCAGAGCAAGCTCCAACTCCTTATTTCCTTGCTCCTGCTGTAAAAAGACCGAGAGAAGATCTATGCGAATCACTCTACTGATCTGATGTCTACACTGATGCAACTTGCAACCCCTCCCACCTAGCTGCTGCTTCTTCCAACTGGGATTAATAACTGATTCCACTCGAATGGGAACCAAAGCGGAGAGCTGCTGCCTGCCTGCTTGCTGGTCGTGGCTTTGATCCTAATGAAAGTTACGTCCTTTCTTTCTGACTTGGGATGAGATGGAAGAGCTCAAATTCGGGGGGAGTCTTTATCCTTTGTGAAGATCAGAAGTTCTCCCAGTGCAGCATAGTATTCTGCTGTCTCTGTCCAAATTAGCCTAAGGAAGGAGCGAAGTTCTCTTTCTTTTTGTGCCATGTATCTGTCCTTTGCATTTGTGTTGGAACTGAGAGCTGATCAACACTTGGGAAGCTAGTGCATCTTTTCTGAGAGTGATTCCAAGCTAGTTTTCTATCAAGCTGGTGGGATTGTTGGTTAGGCAAACACAGGATTCAATCGGTCAGAGCACCGCCCTGTCAAGGCGGAAGCTGCGGGTTCGAGCCCCGTCAGTCCCGACCTACATCCTTTGATACAGGATTAGGCGGGCATCGAAAGCATAACGGTTAGCTCCAGACCAATTGCTGGCTTCCTAGGGAGAGAGGTGTGCATCAGAGTGGCTACGAGAGAAGCCGACTTATCCGACAAGGATAAAAAAGAATCTATGGGACTTGAAGATCTACGACTACTACGACTGCGCTCGTTAACATACTCGCCAACATCTAACTCGCTACATACTTTCACTCGCTCCTTCTTACTCTTCTTACTCCAAAGGCACATGCTCTTGTACATCTGTTACCTTTTATCTTTAACACTAAGGCTCTCATCTACGAGAATAAGATAAGGACTCGATTCGTCCCCCAGGTTGTCCCCTAGGTTGAGTAATCTGTCATAAAAAACTGTAGTATCAGTACATAGTCTATGTATAGAGTCAAATCCACTCACCACTTTTAGGGGGAAAACCTGAAAGTTCGGCATGAGAGGACTGGATCTGGATAGCGTAAGGCACATGCAAGAGCAAGGATAGAAGGAATTGGATTTACATCCCGAAATTTGTATCCTTGTTGAATGACCACAGGTTTAATGTGAATCCTATGTCCACCACCAGTACCTAGCAATTCAGTGTAGAACTGTACCATTGCCTTACATCGTGTATTTGATTCACGCCATCAATTAGTTGGTGTATAAAACGTTTGAGTTGCATTCCAGTTTCGCCTTATTTGAAGGTCGGCTGCCCCAAAATTTACTTGCTGACAGTGCGTTTTGTTAGTGCCTGTGCCATGAAGTTACGGTTGGATGCCCTTTAAACGCTTTGTCGTGTTTAAAAAAAAAAAATGTTCCCTCCATCGTTAGTTGTTACGAGAAGAGCCATCCAAAACTCTGCGTTTCACTTTATCATCTTATTCTAATGGGTAGTTATCATAATTGGTCACAAAACTATCCACTTTGTACAAAACGGTCACAAATCTTTAATTTTGCACGTTTCAGTAATACAAGTTTGAGTGAATAACAAAAGGGTCAATCCATCTACTTCCGTCCAAAAATCTGTTAGTTTTGCACAGTCAGCATGACACATCATTAAAAATATCAATAAAAAAACATTTAATCATTTGAATTAACCAGCAAAACCCAACCGATTCGGTAGCTCTATACCCACCCGACCGTACCCTAATATATAGCTAACTAGCACCGGGCCCTGCCCCTTGGCCGGGAAAGTCTAGACAAAAAATATGTTCATATAACATGCTTACAATATAATAGGAAGATACGACATATCACTGAAAAAAGAAATATAATTGTTCAAAGAAGAAAAGAAAAACATACAAAATAATAGGTTTTCAATACTTAAAAATGGCAAATAGTTCAAGATTAGAGTTGTTTTTCCTAAAACATACATAATGAACCCTCAGAAGGAAAGAAAAAGATTGGTCTCTAACAGATTTTAGGAATGAGATCATTTGTAACCCTAATTAATGTCTAACAGATACACCCATATCATTCCTCTTCATAGAAAGTAGAATAAGGATCAGCTGGTTTGGAAGCATGCTAGTCGTAGTCCCCGAAGATGCCTAGAAAATAGTCCGGGTTCTCAAGAGAGCTTCAAACTTAAGGCTGAGTGCAACTAATTTTGAATTACATATGTTTGTCTTTGTCAGTATTGCTGATACTTTCACTGACTACTTTGATTGGTAAGTTGACCATAAATAATAGGGATATACCTTATTTTGACCTTGAAGTTTGTCGTAAAAGCCAAACTTGACATGAACTTGCAAATAAGACAGTTTTTCAAAATTTTGAAAGAAATGGACAAATTTGGACTGAAATTTATGTTGTTCGTTAATATTAAAAGTTAAAAATTTCTTCATCCATTCAACATACAATGCTCAGGTGGTTGCGATTGCGATGTGGCTTCCATGTCATAGGGATGATACCTTATTTTGGCATGAACTTGATGTAAAAGACAATTTTGGCTCGAATTTTCAAATAAGATAGGTTTGTTTGCACTTTGAAAGAAATGAACAAATTTGGTCCGAAATTTGGGTTGACCTTTAATATTGACAGTTGTGATAGAGAGGTTTCGGTTGCGATGTGGCTTCCAAGTCATTTATTTATAAAGTCTAAAAAAGTGAATTTTTCAGAAGAAAAAAAGACCACAAAATAGGACACTTAGTATATCCTAATATTTTCATATTTACTTGCATAAATCATATTAAAAGGAAAAAGAAATTGATTCAGGCCCCCAAAAATCCCAAAGCACGAAGCTATCTCTCTTTGTACCCCTCTCATCAATATTAACGGCAACCTAAATTTTGGGTCAAAGTTATTCATTTCTTTGAAAATTCGTACAAAACTGTCTTATTTGAAAGTGTAGGGCAAAATAGCATATTATACCTATGACGTGAAAGTCACACCACAGTCACCTTAACATTGTATGTTGAGTCATAAAAAAAAGAAATGTTTGACCCTCAATATTAATAACCGACCAAATTTGTTAATTTCTTTCAAATTCGGACAAAACTATCTTATTTGAATGTTCATGCCAAAATTGTTATTTACATCAAAGTTCAACACAAAATAGGATATTATCCCTAAATAATATAGGAGTACTAAAAATATTGGACTAATGAAGTTCAAAATGTTTCAAACAACATACAACCCTGATAAAACTGCAGTCCAACCAACTAACATTTAGAACAAATGGCTTTCCAGCAGGATAACACAACTATAAGTATGGGTGGTTCTATCATATTTTGATTAAGAAAATGACATAAGGAAATGATATACTCTGAGTATGAAAATGATGTCTAGTGGCCGGAGCTAGGGACATGGTACTATACCTTAAGCCCTTACAGATTAAAATCTAGATCTTAATTCTATGAAGCTCATATACTAAGATCAATTTTATTAGAAACAATAATCGAAGGTCGTGTTTCATCAAAATACATCAAAAAAATTATGTGCATAATCTTAGTGTTTAGGGCAAGGATTGAAAACCCTTAACGTACCGGGGGTTCGACTAAACCAGTAGGCACTATGTAGTGTTGTGAAACGACTGAATCACGGTTAACCACAGTTTTCGCATAAAATACCCTCCTGCCGACTTTTTCGGTACAACCTCTGATGAGGTTTTATAATCCTTGGTTTAGGATCTATGATTTAAATAGTTAAGACCTAGAGTTCACTCGTCAAGGGTTAGAATATAGTGTCTCGTCTCGAAATCAGGTTAATTCAAAGTCTAGATTGCCATTTCTTACCAAGGGTATGAGTTACCTTTTGATTTTACTCAAAATATGATAGAAAACACTACACACACACATACTGGTATACTACAGGAGTATAGTATACTGGTATACTCCAAGAGTATAGTATACTCCACATGATCTAGACATTAGATGTACTTTGTTGAGCTCCAATCAATCTCAATGGTCAATTATAATTTTCCATTAAATTAAACTTTGGGTTTGAGTTTAGAGAATCGGGGCCTGGGGTTTATCCATTAGAGGTTAGGGTAGAGTATCATACCCCAAACTCGGTTAAAAATCATGGTCTAGATAGAGATATCTCACGAAGAGTACCTGAAGTATAATATACTCCAGGAGTACACCAGTCTGACCCATATATATGTGGTTGTGTGTGCACATATATATTTAATATTGTAATTTGATATGCAATATTCGAATAAATGATATTTGGATTGCGGTTTTAAGATTATCCTCCATTTATAAGATAGACTACCATTATTATTGAAGTCAAAATAAAATAATAATAAATGATAATCAAAGATCCAACACTAAAAATGCTTAAGAAAGACTTAGTGGGGTAGCTAACTGTGCTGGAAAAGTCATTTGATTTTCAGAATTTTGCCTCTTGTATGTTTTTTTATAAATAAATGCAACAAATTTGTTTAGTCTTATTGGTTATGACTCTTGTCCTTGTTAGAAGAGACCCGGGTTCAAATCTTGACACCCTTCACGATTTGGAGAAATCAACAGAAAAGAAAAGTAGATCCAAAGCTCAATTCCACTTCTCGATTGATGTAGTCTACGTTCAGAGTCTTCGACGGACACGGCGGCGCTAGAGCAGCTGGATTCGCATCAAATAATTTGGGGAAAACATCACCGGCACCGCCGAAGTATCATCGTCGTTGTCTAGATCTAACGATGGCAGATTCGAAGAGGCGGTCAGGACGACAACCTCGTGGTGTCGAACGCCGGCGACTGCGGCGCCGTGATGAGCAGGAGAGGAGTCGCGGAGGCGCTCACGTCCGATAATCGAGCTTCTCGTCCGGAGGAGAAGAAGCGAATCGAGGCCCTCGACGGTTACGTGGATTGCCGCAGGGGTGTTTGGCGGATTCGAGGGTCTCTTGCGGTGACGAGAGGGATCAGAGATGGGCATCTTAAGGAGTTCGTGGTTGCCGAGCCGGTGACCAAAGTTGTGCGAATTCAATGTGTTTGGGAGTTCCTGATGTATCTGCTCTGAAGCACTTGCGGGAGTTGAAAATTAAGAGATGCAATCAGTTGACAGAAGTTACAGGGATTGAGCAGTTGGAGTCGTTGCAAAAATTGGTGGTTACTGGTTGCATGTCGATTAAGAAGCTGCCCGATCTATCTACTTTGGAGCACTTGCAGGAGTTGAAAATTACGGGATGCAATCAGTTGTCTGAGGTGAGGGGGCTTGACAAATTGGACTCATTGCAAATATTAAGGATTACTGATTGCGCTTTGATTAAGACGCTGCCTAATCTATCTGCTTTGGAGCATTTGCGGGAGTTGACAGTTACTGGATGCAATCAGTTGACAGAAGTCACGGGGATTGAGAGATTGGAGTATTCAAGATATCTAACGATTGATGAAAGGCTGAAGATGCGAAAGATGAGTTACAATATGGTAAAAACGGTGCCTGGGAGATTAGAGCCGCTACAGAGGGCTAACAATTCGCGCCCCAAGATGTGGTCCAGATTCCGGAGCTGCTGGGGAGTTTGTCGCAAGGATAGTGATATCATATCGCTTTAGACAACATGTCGGGGAGGGATTTGTCGAAGGGTATATGAAAGAAGCAGATGGAGAAAGAAGCTCCTAAAATTGCTGTGAAGTCCAGACACTTGGAGACTGTACAGCTTGACCGTTTTGATTGATTTGATGAAATTGAGGGTCTGAAGACTGCAGTGAAGATCAGATGGTTTATGTGAATTATGGGTTCTGGGTTCCATGTTTGCTTTCTTGCGATGCAGAGTTTCTGTGTGAGAGGTTGCAGTCATCGTTTTGTTTTCAGCCATTATGTGAGCAATCTTCTTTCTTTCCTGAGTTCTCTAGCTGCTACTTAGTGGTTTGTGAAGAATTAGGTGAATGATGATGAGTATATTTGCTTGAATCACATTTTGTTGGCTGCAGAAATTGTTGTGGAGATTGTGCGTGATTGATTGAGATTTAATGTGAAATTTTAACTGCACTCATTGATGAAATATTATATATTTGTTTATTTGCATGCAACCTACGATGATCTCCAATTCTTTCCAACTAGTTTGGCTTGTCAGTTTGACGTCCAAGTAGTGTGGAATAGGTTTTGTCAGATTTACTGGGGAGCATTTCATTGAATTCTCGTTTTTGTGTTTTTATGATTATATTAATGATGCGCGGGTTATCATCTGCAAGATTAACTTGAAGGATTCGGCGTACGCGTTCGGTCGATGCTTCTTATCCGAGGTTTGGGTCCTTTGTTCCTCCTTGAAGTGTGCCTTGTTTCATTTCGGTCCGCGTAAGTGTAATATGTTTGAAATTTGACCTGCAAAGTTTCTATGTATTTTGTCATATCTTGTTGTTCTCTTCTGAATACCTCTGGCAAAAAAACCCCATAAATATTGGGCGTTACACATTCCTTTTCATCAAATAAAGCAAAACCTAGCAATTTCTGAATTAATGGTTAATACCGCGTGGAGGCGAAAAGTGAGACTGAATTCATTCACCCAACCTTGATTACAACAACCCAAAGGTAGTTGTTTACTTTTGATCAGTCATTAACAATTATTAAGTAGAAGACTAGAGGTCTCCCCAACTTGAGCTATATATGTATTCCTATATCAGTGTTATATACACCATACTCATCCATTTCTCATTCAGAATTAGAGTTTGAGAGCTTCTAATTTGTTTTCAATAGAGAGACGGTATCTATTCTTCACTGTAAGTTTCAGGTACGTTATCTTTGTGATCTTTATCAGATTTAGTGTTTATTTATCATTCACTCTTGACATTTTATTTGCATTCTCTCTTATTTCTTTTCTTCTAGAGATTCCCCTTGTTTTGGAAACTATACTAGATTTACTGCTGCTACGATGTTGCCACTTCCAAGGGGGGAGTACGAGGTTTTCCTGAGTTTCAGAGGTCCAGATGTCCGCACGACTTTTGCTGATTTTCTGTACGAGTATCTGGATCATTCCAAGATCCGTACTTTCATCGACGAGGAGGAGCTTCGTAAGGGAGAGGATATTGCCCCTTCCCTCGTCCATGCTATCGAGGAATCCAAGATCTACATCCCGATTCTTTCCAAAGACTATGCTGCAAGCAAATGGTGTCTTAAAGAGCTAGCTCTCATGGTGAGATGCTTCAAGCAAGGGAAGGGGCACGTCATCCTCCCCATTTTCTACATGGTCGAACCCAGGGACGTGCGACGCCAAGTTGGCGCTTACGAGGAAGCATTTCGTGGACATGCCGAGGAATACGATGCCGCCATGGTTGAGGAATGGAAGGAAGCTCTGGCAGAGGTTGGGAAAATGAAGGGGTGGCATGTGACTGAGATTCATAAGTAAGCCTAATAATTTCTTCTCACTTAAGAGAATTTTTCCTAATCTATAATTGGACAAGTACCATTGATTTTTATATTTTATATCCAAACCATTGATTAGTATAATGGCAATATGTAAATAATTATCTTAGGTTTGCTTATCATCACTAATTTAAAACATTTCATTCTAGCAATTGTTCGTATCGAATGTCTAGTTAGATAGTGATTTACTTGTCAACATGAAGTTTGGAAACAAGTTAACGTATTTCATTTGTTTAAGTGAATGAAATGAATAATTTTACTATCCACATCAAAGGTAAAAAAAACAATAGGTCGTGGGAGGGACTTGGTTACGAAAAAATATTGAAGTTGAGGGATCATCTGTTAAAAAAAAAAATTGAAGTTGAGGGGTTTGTTAAAGAAAAAAATTCAAGTGAAGGAAATATTCATAGTTTAGGAATTCGATTGTGCATTAACTCTTAATCAAATAATAATTTCAGCTGTAAGTATTTATCATTGATGTGAAACTGATGATGTTCAATTTCCAGGCAGGGAGCTATCATAGATGACGTTTTCTCTAAGGTGTGGTCGCAATTGACGAGGAATTACACATTGGTGACGGACGAGCTGGTTGGGATCGATTCACATGTAAGGAAAGTGACAGAGCTGCTCGAGTTAAACCATGGCGGACCTAAAATTGTTGGTATCCATGGTATGGGCGGAATCGGTAAGACCGCCATTGCTAAAGCCATCTACAATAAGGTGTGTGCACAGTTCGACCGCCATTGTTTTCTGAAAGATGTACGAGAAACACTATCGGACAAGAAGGGAGGTGTCCTTGCTCTGCAAAATGCAGTCATCTCAAGCATTCTGAGGAGCAATGATCACCAAGTTGCAGATGATGATGAAGGAATACATGTTATAAGGAACAGGGTCTGCAAGCACAAGGTTTTGATCGTCATCGACGATGTGGATGATCGGTTTCGGTTCGAGAAGATTTTCGGGAGATTGGAAAATTTCTCGTCTGGAAGCAGATTCATTGTCACCACGAGAGATAAAAGAGCTATGGAGTTCTTTCAAGAATACGAGTTGTATGAACCTAAAGGAATGAGCGAGGAACATTCTTTCCAGCTCTTCGCCCGACATGCCTTTGGAGTGGATTGCCCTCCAGACGACTATGTTGATTTGTCCAACGAATTCGTAAGAGTCGTGGAAGGCCTCCCTTTAGCTCTCAAGGTCATAGGATCACTCTTGTTTCGTAAAGACAAAAGCTTTTGGAAAGCAAAGTTGAGACAACTGGAAGACGTACCTCCATCCGAATTGCAGGAGGTACTGAAGATAGGTTATTCGGAGTTGACTCTCGAGGAAAAACAAGTTTTCCTCGATATTGCTTGTTTCTTCATCGGAGAAGAAAAGGAGAGGCCTTTCTATATGTGGAGTGATTGCGGGTTTCATCCAGAAATCACAATCAACACCCTTATCTTGAGGTCCTTAATAAAAGTTAACAACAGTGGTGAGGGAGGTGAGTTCTGGATGCATGATCATGTCAGAGATCTCGGAAGAGCTATCGTTCGTGATGAAGATACTCGACGTCCATGGAAACGTAGCCGGATATGGAACACAGAGGATGCCTTGAACATTTTAACACATGAAAAGGTAACTTCACAATTTCATGATTGATATATCTGTCTTTTGTTACTTCCGGAGTACATGAATCATCGAAAGTCCCCTACAAGAAGCCTTTGAATTTTCTTTCCATTTGACAGGGAACTGATCGATTGGAAGCCATGAGAATTAACATGGAAGATGAAAATGCAGAGGAGCTGACAAGTAGACATTTTGCCAAGTTGTTTGGGTTGAGATATCTTGAAGTGGTGGGTGGAGGATTGGTTGGCAATTTCAGAGGAATTCTTCCAAACATCCGTTGGTTTCAACTGCACGATTGCACTTCAATCCCTGATGATCTGGACATGAAGAAGTTGGTTGTTTTCGACATAACCAATTGCCCTGTAACAGATGACTGGAGAGCATGGAAGAGATTTAATAAGGTAAATAACCATTCAAAGATGTTGGTTATCCTCTTGATCTGCTCTGTGTAATTTAGTTTACTAATGGTTTTGATTCACCTTGTGCGTGTGTTTCTGATGATGATCACAGGATGCGCAGAAGCTGAAAGTAGTGGATTTGACCAGCTGCTATAACTTGACAAGAGCTCCCGATTTCTTCCGGGGTAGAAGCCTGGAGTTGATAAGTCTTTTTGGTTGTACCCAAATGAGTGGGGAACTTCACATTGGGAATTCATCGAGGAATCTAACCACATTGAATCTCGCCTACACCAGGATAACCGAGTTGAGAGGGGATGTCAGAACACTTCCCAAGCTCCAAGTGCTCAATGCAGGGCACACAAGTTTGAGAGAACTGCCCAATGATCTCTACAGATTATCATCCTTGGAACGCTTGGACCTCGGGCTGGAAATGCGCGAGGAGTCGAAGCTGAAGAAAGTGGTGCCAAGACTCCCCACCAGTTTAAAGCAGCTGTCACTCTCATCCTCCAGGGTCCCCAACCTTCTGGAGCTATGGAACCTGGAGGAGTTGTGCTTCAAACACTGCGATGACCTCGAGATCCCTGGGGATATATGGAGGCTGTCAAAGCTGAAGTCTCTGGAGCTGTCGTTCTGCTCTTGTGAGAGCTTACTATTGGAGGACGGGAGTGAAATGGCTTCCCTCCCATCATCTCTAACCCACCTCGACATTTCTACTTGCTCTCCTTTGGAGCGATTGCCGAGTCTTGCTAATCTTGTTCACTTGAAGGAGATGCAGTTGTGTGCTGTTGGAGTTTTTGAGATTCCTGGACTGGGAGAGCTGAAAATGCTGGAGACTCTGGAGATATATGGTGCCCGAAACCTCACTCACCTCGATGGCTTTCAACGCTTAGCATCACTCAAGACATTGTCCCTGCAGGGCTGTCCGGTTCTGGAGAAACTGCCCAGCCTCTCGAACTTGACCAAGTTGCACAGCCTGACCATCTCATTCTGCAAGCTTCTGTCTGAAATCCAAGGGCTAGGCCAAGGTGAATCATGGGAGCATGATCTATTAGAGATGGAGATAAGGGGTTGTCCTAGCTTAGCAATCGGCCAGGGTACTATTCTTCTAGCTTTCCGGTCTGGGTTAGGAAAACTGAAGAAGCTGGTTTTGGATCTTTCGGAGATCCACGAAGACCACATTCCCACCCTTGATCTCTCTGGTCTCCACAATGTCCAGGAGGTATCCATTACCGGGTCCAGCTGGCTGACCAAGGTCGAGGGACTCGAGAAATTGGAGTCCTTGGAATCACTTTGTATGTCGAACTGCACGTCGATCCGAGAGTTGTCCTGTGGAGCTGGTCTGAAGAATCTGAAGGACTTGCAACTGGACGGATGCACGCAGCTGACCAGGGTCATAGGGCTGGAGAGGTTGGAGTCGTTAGATCTCTTAAATATGTCAGGCTGCAGATCGATGGAGGAGTTGCCGAGTCTGTCCATGTTGAGAAGCCTAACGACTTTGAACATTGAAGGATGGACACAGCTGAATGAGGTGGTGCAACTGGACACATCAGAGTCGCTGAGATTGCTGTCAATGGGCGGCTGCACATCCATCAAGGAGTTGGAGTTATCTGGCCTCTTTGATCTCGAGACTTTGATTATCGATGGATGCACACAGCTGGCTGAAGTTACAGGAATGGAAGGGCTGCAACAGCTGGAATGGGTAGATATGTCCAGTTGCCCTTCACTTAAGGAGTTGCCAAATTTACCCAGAAACATCAGTACCTTGAATATTGACCAGTGCGAGGAATTGAGCGAGGTGATGGGGCTTCTCAGATTGGAGTCGTCGTTGAAAGAGTTGAGAATGTGCGACTGTTCGTCGGTCAAGAACTTGCCAGATTTGTCTGGGTTTATGCATTTGAGATGGTTGGATATCAGGGGATGTGTACAGTTGACTGAAGTCGATGGAATTGAGAGATTGGAGTCATTGGGTACGGGTGTCTATGTAAAAGGGGATGAATAGGAATATGTGGTGGGCTATATAGAGCGCTCCCTCCCTTATCAAATAGGATGCAGAAGAGGGAGATGGTGAAAATCATAATTGAAGACTCGAACTGACGAACAAGAAAGGTAAGAAGAAGCTAAGGATATTAACGTCATTTAGAGCAAGAGAGTTATCTTTAGTTTTAGTTTCAGTAGCAACCATTTTGCAGCATGCTTTATGGTTTCTCTTTGGCTTTTTATTTTTAACCTTGTTGTTTCTCCAAAAGCAGCAGGCTGATACACCTTGTAATACTTTCATCTATACCGTAAAAAAGGCATAACAACATCAACACACACACAAAAAAAAAAAAAAAAAGAAGCTCAAAGCTTCAAGTACAAAGCTGTGTGATATGGATTTGCTCACGATTTGATCAGTTAGCTGAAATAGATGACTGCACCGATGGATGTTGGCATGTTGCACACTCAAGGCGGGTTGGATCCGGTCCTTAAGCCTCATTGTTTAAGGAGGTTCTTAAACCATTTTTCTTGACCGATACTAGATTAGGTAATTAATGAGGGGTTATTAGTTAATAGTTAGTTGGAATAAATAAGGTATTATGAAAATATAATTAATGAGTAATGATTCTCTTTCTCTCTCCCCCTTGATCTTCTCCATAACCCTCTCTCCACTACAATTAAAAGAAAATTCGAAATTAATTTAATTAAATATTATTATTTCATATTTAATAAATTCGAACTTAATATTTTTAATTTTTTAAAATGAAAATTGAAAATTAAAAATATATGTTCTCTCTCACTTCGTGGCAACTTGCAATACAGTATTAACATTTTGCAATGACATTATTAACATTTATGAAATGAATTGTTATTATTATACTCATCATTATTAACAACTTCAATATACTTATCAATTTCTTACAATTACATTATTAAAATTTTTGGATCAATTGTTACTGTTTTATAGTTTCGTCATCAACGCCTATGAATGAATCATTAAAGTTATGTAACATAGTAATTAATAGTTTGAATAACAATATCATTGATTTAAAACATCTTTAGTACTAATGATTCACATTTTCACATCAGGTTTATAACTATCTAGTCATGGCTTCTTCCAATGATTTCTAATGACATTATTAACATTTTATGATCAATTAATATTGCTTTACATTATCATTATCAATGATCATAAAGCACAATACTGATTTTCAACATCTGGGGTACTTGTGATATAGTGCACCTGTGTGATTCAGTCAAACAACATTGTCCAGAAAAATATTAACTCAAGCAAACCAACATTCACGCCTCAACACCAAACTCTTAATAACAATAGAATAAATCATTGATAACGAAAAGTATTTCGTTGAAAATAAACATAAAACATCAATGTAAAAATGTCTGACTTCAACATTATAAATGACATCAAACTTTTAATAAATATATTAAAAATCATTAATATCGAATGATTAAGACACTGATAAGAAAATAGATTTTTGTAATATAAAAATATTGACAATATTCAGATGCAATGTTTAATGTCAAATAGTACTAAAAACGCATTAATAAGTAACATATGTTTAATGGATAATGCATCCAAAAACTTTGATAATGATAGCAACTAATGATTGTTAAATACCTTATTAGATATTATTAATATCTTATTTTCAAACATTGATAATGCTTATACACGCCTATTAATAACGACACCAACTACGTTACTAACTTAGACTGAAAGATTAGTAACCATAGTTATATCATTAAACGTAAATTCACTTTTGATAATGTCATAAACAAACGAATATCTAACAAGTATGCTTGATAATGACATTTGACAAAGTTACAAACATAAACGAAAAATATTAATAATTCAAATCACTAAACATAAGCAATCTTACAAATGAATTAAAATTTTGCTAATGGTTGTATTGTGCTTGGTAAAAAAATTGATAATAACACTTCAAATGATTATAAATCATTGCGAACCAAATTGATAATACGATGTAATAGTAAATAAACTTCAAGTACCAACAAATTGAAAACACAATTTCACTTTTGCTAATGTTACAAACAAAACATAACATAAAAAGTTAATAATGTCATATAAAAGTATTAAAAAACATGTCGGACAACATTAATAATAACACAAACGAATACCTAACAACGAAAAATCTCAAACCCATGCAATGAAAAGCCCTAATGATGATTCAATTTATAAATATTGATAATGTCATTAAAAAATGTTAATACTTAATACTAATCGGAAGTTGCCAAGATGTGAGAGAGGCATATATTTTAAATTTCAAATTTCCATTTTAGAAAAAGAAAATGATTAAATTCAGATTTTATTAAATATTAAATAAAATTAATTTCATATTTCTTTTTAATTATAATGTAGAGAGGGTTATGGAGAAAATCATGGGAGGAGAGAGAAAGAGAATCACTAATTAATTATATTAATTTTAATTATATTTGCATAACCCTATTTACCCTTAACTACCTATTAACTACTAACCTCATTAACTATACCTAATCCACTATCAGCCAATAGAAAAGCTTTAAGATTTTCCTTAAGAAATGAGGTTTAAGGACTTGAACTCAAGCCACTCCAGCACCTCCGCAGCACTCAACTTTGTGAAATATAATCTGCAATTGCTGGGCAATTCTAGAATCGGATTCTAGAAGCCTTCTGTCCAGTTATTAACTAAGCCATGATCTAGAAAATCATGTGAAGAAGAACAAGACAAGAATTGCAGCCTTTGTTGATTTAAAACACAGCCACAAAAAATCAACTTAAAATCATGATATTTTCATAGTCTAAGTCGGTTGTTTGGCATTATAAATAGGCCACAAGAGGAGGCATGGGAGAGCAGAGAAAGAAAGCTAAAAAGCTAAGAAGAGAGAGAGCTAGAGAGCATAAGCTTCTTTCAACGGTTAAGACAATAAACTTGCCTAATCCAAATATGGGGAAATATGGGCTAAGTGTTAGTGAGGGTAGAAGCAGAACAATAGCATAAGAGCCGCAGCTCTTAATGTAAACGACAACAATTGTTGGAATTATGAGAGATTGTTCTGTAAGAATATTGGAGTGAAATAATTTCTTCCGATATTCGATCCTAAATTCCACCATATTTCCGCTGTGCCCCAACAAACTTCTCTTGAAGATTTGCAACTCTCTTCTGCAAACAAAATAGGTTCACCGTTTGAAGGAGCAATATAGTAGGCTCATTCTCATGAATAATTCACAACTTACACAATCAGCTTTGCATCTAGCCAGACTAAGAGATTCGGACGGTTACAGACCAGGAAGGAAAATTTATAGATGAATTGTTCGATGATACCTTAAATGACTTGGAACGACGCGTTGAAGGATCTATCTGCAAGCAAATCGACGATGAGTAGATTCCTCGGCTGCAACATAGTGTTCCATCCCCATAAAAGCATCACCTTCGCATAGATAAGCCTGCTATGACAGCATGTGATCACAGCCTGACATTTCTCTAGTTTTCGCCCGAATGTAGTGTCTGACATGTTGATCAGCACAAAAGCAGACAAACCTGAACTTGAGCATGATGTGGAGTTCAGCAAATGGTTTCAACTCTATAGCCTGCAATTCAGCAAACAAGATGATTGAGCAATGCTCACTGTTCAAGCAAATCTATTATCTATATGTACTGCATGGGATACTAATTAATTTAATTGATTAATACCACAAGCAACTAAAAAATAGGAACACTGTTCCTTACGATAATCTCGCCAACAATTTTACTGTTCATAAAGGTAATTATTCTCTGCGGCATGGTACACCAATTTGGCATAAAAACTATTGGAGGTTTGCCGAAAATTTTCATTTTTTAGGCCATGCAAATATACTTTCTATCTTTAATATTTTAATGACATATGTTTTGTCACCTAATTGTATTATTAAATCACACGTCTATTTATGTAATACGGTTCTATAATAGTTACTTACATTATAAATGCATTACATAAAACTTATGGAGAGCTATATATTTCTTTTCTTGGTAGAAAGATATATATATATATATATATATATATATATATATATATATATATGGATACGACTCGTATGCTCCAGACGCATAGCATGCTCCAGTCCTCAGTGTCGTTGATCTAATCTAACGGTGCAATATTAATAGTATTAAAATTAATTATTGACATATAATTATATTACATAATGCATCCTTTAAATAATTATATGTCCTATGAACTCCCCCAACAATATTTACCATTATTTTTCTGGTAAGATACTTTATTTTTCGGTAGAGGTTTTGATTGACCCCAAAATTAATATAATTGGTATACATAATTCCATAAAAAAATTGATCGAATTAACCATTGTTATGAAAACCGGGCCGGACCGGCCGGTCCGACCGGGAAAAATCGGACCCGGGCACAAGTCCGGTCCCGGAAGGATAAAAACGAGTGGACTTGGGGAAAACAAACTAGCGCCTAATTTTTTGGAATTTCATTTACCTAACAATTAAAAAAATGAAAGACAACGGAATTATGACCGCTAACTTCTTCCTACCCACGTGCCTTCTTACTTTTAACTTTATTTTTTTATTTTTACTATATTCTTCTTTATTTCTATATTGACCAAATACCGGTTTCAGACCGGTTTTTAATACCGGTTAATCAACGGTTATCCGATAAACCTTAAACCTCTCGTTTATCCGGATCGATATCCGGTTCGGTTTTCACAACACTGGAATTAACTGAATGAAAATTAAATTTCATCATGGCACACTACAATGCGATTATCATCATCAGTTCATCACAACTACCCCCAATTGCTACCCTTAATTTGACAACCAACATCCAAATCCAGCAACCAAGAAAACCTAAAATCCTGAAGCGATCTCATCATAGCGGTCAAAGGGATCCAAACTTAGTCCATACAATTCATGTCTGAGTGATTCAGATTATGCGGAGTTGTCTCTTGCTCTCTTCATCCACCGTAAGACTCGACCTCATCCTCGGCTTCCGACCACAATCGAT